ACACTCACTGACATTCTGTATTTCATACTATAAACACATGTATAAAAACATTTGCACATGCATTTAGCTTATTGCTGAGTAAAATATGATAATGCAATAAGGGAATTGCAATTTGTTGGTCCTGGTCTGGTAATCCCAAATGTCTGATGTTCAAAATAATGTAATTCTGCACTGCCATTAAACATGCGTTTTAAAAATGTTTAAAATTAAGTGACAATACTTATTTAAAAAGTACAGTATTTAAATATTTTTCAATGTATGCAATCATTGACAGAAAGTATGTTTTAACAGATCTGATCATGTCTCGCACAGATTGAGATCATGAGTATTACAAGTTTTCATTCAGGACCAAGTTCTTTTATACTAATTGTAGTATTTTTATGAACCGTACTTTCTGTTTATCATATGTCTTAGGAGTAATAATTAGAATAAGCTTCTTTATTTTGCATTTGTTTAAAGTATCTTGAGAGTATCGTATGGTGAGATCAGTATCGTGTATCGTTGCACCTCTATTCTTTTGTTTGTGTTGTATGTATTATTTTGCAGGGCATGATTCCTAGAGTTGATTTGAGTTTGATTCATTGAAATAGAGAGTTTGAGCTGATTCGTTTGGGTGAGGTGAGATGGTTGTGTTCAGAGCTCCACTGGTTCTGTCCGCTCTGATTAGCGGCTGGATGTTACACTAGTTAGTGGCCCATATTCAGTGTCTGGACGTCGGTCATGCACTCTAATGAGGGGCTGGAGGCACAATAGCTCTGCTTATAAAAAACAGATTAGCAGTGGCACAGAAAGTGCTAACTCATATTCAAACTATGTGTTAATTTGTCATAATTACTTTATTGATGTAATGCAGTTCTTGCGTTTGTGATTTTAACTTAATTTTGACTTCTGTTGTTGTTGCTGCGGTTCTTTACGGTTTACACTAAGATATTATTGCTTTATTAGTACTTTATTTAAATTTATATTGTACTATAGTTGATGCATAATGTGTCTGTGTTTAGAACAAAGACTTTACGTTATGATTTAAGTGTTTATTATAGGTCTTTTAACCAGTTACTACCCTAGTAAAAAAGAAATATACTGAAATATATTTGAAATACATTTATTCTAAGTAGTACACTACAAAAAATACAAATACACATTACATACTTAATATAAATACTTTGCTATTGTACGTTTGGTATACTAAACTAGTATACTTAAAGTCTGCTAAATTGGAACAACTAATTTTGTACTTAATGTACTTTAGTTATCCAGAAGTAGTTCTGAGTGTATTTGATTGAGCTGAAATGGAACTATTGCATGTATACTTCAGGTACACTTGAAATATCTTGCATTTAAAGACTGATATTATACAGAGATCATACTATCCTTACTAATAGCTGATATCTTATAACACATCTTAGGCTTAATATTAAGAAATGTGGATTGTGCAATAAAGAACTCTAAATCAGTAAGTCTTAAACGATATGTCAGTAAATATGTTAATGTATTTGCAGTATACTAAGTATGAAATAAATATATTGTAAATACATTTTGCTAAAGGTTTTTTCACTATAGGGGTATGTATGTATGTGTGTGTGCATATATATATATATATATATATATATATATATATATATATATATATTTATATATATACTTTATTTGATTCCACATTACAAGTTAATTTAATTTGGAATCAAATTTCCTAAATAATCCAACAGATTGAAACAAATCAGCACGTTGTTATGGATTACTAGAGTTCTAAGGGTACAAGAAACATCGTCTTTTCCAAATAAACATGTTTCCTATAGTTGCTGAGATTGAGCGGTACTTTGCCAACTGTTTTACACACACACACACACACACACACAAATACACACGTATATACATATATGAAAAAAAAGCTAAATAAAAATATGAAAAAAATAATATTTTTATTCATATATGTATTTACAAATCTTTTATTTGTTTTATAAATACATATCTGAATAAAAAATATATATTATAGTATTTATTTAAATGTGTATGTGTATATATATATATATATATATATATATATATATATATATATGTGTGTGTGTGTGTTAATAATAATATATGTTTATATATGAATACAAATAACTAACATAATATATATTAATATTTATAGTATAGTATACACACACACACACACATTATATACCTGCTGTACATACAGTGCAATTTGCATTTTTGCATTACTAACTTTTGAAAATAATAAACTCTGGCAATGCTGGTGTTTTGAGGTTTGTGTAGTGCCGTGTCACAGTGCAACACTAGTACTTGGCAGGACGACAGGCTTCAGTGTGGCGAGTGCTTGATTACTAGAGAGGGTTTGGCATTCTAGTCCATCTGAGATCCAGTCCAGGTCTTTCCTGAGTCCAGTGAGCAGGTGATGGTCATCTGGCAGAACCAGTGCCAGCGTGGGCAGTGCCCGTGGCTGAAGGACAGCTGGGAGTGTAATGACACACAGCTCAGGTATGTTCATCAGCACAGAGGAGTGTGTAGACCAGACCGATCCTGCTGAGGCTGATGGTACATACTTGAACTCTTATCAGCTCGTGCAATAAAACATTATCAGAGAGGTATTTTCCAGAGTCCTCACGTGACATCCAGAAACATTCAGTGATATTGATTGTATTTTTAGCTCAATTGGCACAGTATAGAGTCTGTAAGATGTACTTCTATTCATTTGAGTTTATACACATAACATTTATCAATCTTTGCTGCACTGTAAAAAAAGAAGAAATTTACGGTACAAAAAAAAAAACTGTCTGCTGTGGTTGCCAGAAAGTTACCGTATAAGTAGCAACATGTTGAGTTTTACGGACTGAAAAACCAAAGTGCTAAAATCATGTTTTTACCTTTATAATATACTGATGACTACCTTAAAAACACAGATGATAAAGACAGTCACATGATGAATCAAAGTTCATCACAAGCAGCTTTTACACAAGCTGAGGTAAATACTAATATATAGAAGATGCGCAGTGTCATACACACAAATACCAAACACCATCATGGAAACACAGGTTTTTATTTTTAGAAATCAAATCGAGTGTGTATGGGAAAGTCATTTGAGAGATTTTTTTCTTTAGTTCTACTTAAAGGCGCTTGGGAAAACATTTGTGGTGAACGGAGGAGTATTTTAGTCTTGTGTGCTGGTAATACTAGAGATCTGTTCCAAAGCCTTAGTGAATGCTTACGAAGACTTGTAGATGTGCTCTAAAAAGGCGCTTTTTTTTCTTCTCCAAACTCTAATGCATGAATCCACGTCTGGAGACGGCAATTCCATAATGCATTGCAATGATCATCTTACTAGGTTTTGGAGATTGTGTTTTCATTTACCGCCACTCTTTTTTTAGAAAGGTGGTTCCTGCATGCAAGACAGTCATTTTCTCCTTGTTGTCATTGCATTTAAGAGAGAGAGAGGTTTTGTGAGACGTAACCCTTTCCTGACCTCAGTCCCCGAGCTTTACTAAAGTTTGCACAGCAGATCTACTGCGACATTCAGGCCTAAATCTCTGTGTATTATGAGTCCATTCACATGTTCATCAGTCAGGAAATACCGCCGAACAACTCGATGGACACGAGCGTAAATGCAAGGAGACAGTAAAGACCTCCATTAATCAAGTCATTAACGAGGTTTGAAGGGGAAAGAAATGACCTATTAATGAGGTCAGTGACACAAAATGTGGAATGTGCTGGGAAAAGTTCAGGGTACCTGCCAGTTTTAATAGAGAATTTATTTCTTATTTTTTTTTTTTTTTTTTTGTTGTTGTCTTGAACAAAGAAATGAACACTATAAAAAAAAAAAACAAGATGCTTTTGGAAACTTGACGTACTCATTATTTTATAAATTTTATGCATGATGATTTTATGACTTCACATTAATTGAGTAACTACTTTGAATATTTGGACTTTAAAAAAAATATTTATAACAATGCAGGAGCTTAAAAAAAAGAGCACCCATCATGGTGTTTTTGTCACTGTTAGTTATTTGCGTTACACTTTATTTTAAGGTGACGTAGTTACGTTGTACTTAAGTACTGAGTAATCTTAATTAACTACATGTACTTACTATAGAGTTATGGTTAGGGTTTGGTTTAGGTTTTTGCTTGTAATTATGCATAATTTACTGTTATTACTATAGTAAACGCAAGTGGTAAAGTGTAACTACGTCAACTTAAAAGAAAGTGTTGCCGTTATTTGTTGTGTTGATGTAAGCTCATCTTTATTTCATGATGCTTGTTGATTTTCACTGTTATTGAGAAGTGTCGCAGTTTGTATGTCTATATTATACTAAATTATTGTTATTATCTGTATTATCACATCTTATGTTCTTCAGAAGCAGAGATTCTCTGTTTTAAGAGTTTTAGAAAACCATTTGTGAATGAAATCATGACAAATGAAATGTGTTTTAGTTGGTAATTGATCATTTGCTGAAGGAGAAATGTACACATTCAAAAGTTTGGGTTGAAAGAAGCCTCTTCTGCTCACCAAGGCTGCATTATTTTGGATAAAAAAGAAAGTAAAATCAGTAATATTGTAAAATATTATTTAAATTTTAAAAGAGCGGTTTTCTATGTGAATATATTGTAAAATGTAATTTATTCCTATGATCAAAGCTGAATTTTCAGCATCATTATTCCAGTTATCAATGTTGATTCTTTGATCAAATTTAAAAAGAACACCATTTATTTAAAATAGAAATCTTTTGTAACACTATAAATGTCTTTACTGTCACTTCTGATCAATTTAATGCATCCTTGATGAATACAAGTGTACTTTTTTTTTTTAAACTACTAGTTTTTTTTTGTTAGTTTTTTTTTTGCTGAATGAGCCGTTTCTGAAGAAGCTTGGGTCAATTATTAAGACAAAAAATTCTAAATGCAGCCGTGTAAAATAATGCTGTTGATTGTGTGCTTTGTTCTTTATTTGTCTTTATGAAAACTGCGTCCTGTCCTGATGTGCCACTAACACCTCTTTACACTCAGAAAACAGCCAAAGGTAAGACAAAGCTTTTCTTCTGTTTATCACACATCTTTGTGTATATTAATATTTATACAAATTTCATATTACAACTACAGCAATATAGTTGTGAATTACTTAAAATTATCTTCCATTTTTTTATGTCTCTGTGAATAGGTCTCATCCTAGGTTTACTTGATTATCCATACATCTTTTTTTTTTTTTTTTTTTTTTTTAAACATCATATTCAAATGTGAGGCTTTGGAGGAAGATTTATTTGTTCATCTCAATCATCATTGTATTGTATTACATTATATAACTACAGAGCTTTGATCATAAAACTAAGCATTTCAATATAATTTACTAAGACATATTATTGGCAGATATAGAGTGACGACTGATATTTATATGCATTTCATCATGTAAGTAGTCTGTAATATAAATATATCATTGATTTACAATACAAGCTATCAGAATTTCACCTTTTGGGCCATATTAATATGAGCAACTGCACCAAATTGCATATTTTTGCTCAGTTTGGGCCTCCAAATAAACTTGAGGTGTTTTTTCCATAATCTAACTTTATCAGCCATAAAAGCCTGATGTGTTAAACACGATACTCAACCAAAAACACATATGCAAACTGAAATTTGTTCAAAAATATTTTTGTTTAAAGGTTCAATAACTGTCCCATTTCAAAAACAGAGATTTGTCTGACATATGTCAGGCTTTACATGGTTAACAACACGCTTTTCACATTAAAGTGTTTCCACATGCAGTCAAAGAGGCATTTGAGCTCCTCCATCCTTCCGGTGGGTCATCAGACGGGGATAAGCGTCTGTGTGAATGTGTCAGGCCTCTAAGATCTCGTGAACAACCACAAAGAGCTACAATGTGTGAGGCAGCGAGGGACACACTGGGCCAGTGTACACACATTCAAAGCTGCATTGTTGCTGCGCTCGTCTCCCTCTCTCGCTCGCAGACGCAGCGCTGCCATTGTGCTTGGCAGACAGACTGCAGTGCAGACTAATGCTGAGCAACACCATTCCAGCTTTTCCCCTTTTTCAACCAGTTACCCAATCAGATTGCTGGAAAGCGTTTCTCCGCATACGCCAATGAACAGAGAGAGAAAATTACTAGGGCTGTCAAATGATTAATCACGATTAATCACATCCAAAATAAAAGTTTTTTTTTTTACATAATATATGTGGGTGCACTGTGTATAATTATTTTGTATATATATAAATACACACACATGCATGTATATTTCTTGTATATATTTCTTAAATATATACAAGCATGTGTGTATTTATATATATAAAATAATTATACACTGTGCACCCACATATATTATGTAAAAAAAAACTTTTATTTTGGATGTGATTAATCACGATTAATCATTTGACAGCCCTAAAAATTACTCAAAATACACTGTGCCGAATTCAGAGTTGCTGTACTGATTCACTAACTGTTAAAACTGGCTCTGTCTATAAAACTGTGCCACGCGTATTATTAAAATGTCATTGACATGAATTTGAATGCAACTTCTCCTCCTTTCTGTATAAGATTATATATATATATATATATATATATACACTCACCTAAAGGATTATTAGGAACACCATACTAATACTGTGTTTGACCCCCTTTCGTCTTCAGAACTGCCTTAATTCTACGTGGCATTGATTCAACAAGGTGCTGAAAGCATTCTTTAGAAATGTTGGCCCATATTGATAGGATAGCATCTTGCAGTTGATGGAGATTTGTGGGGTGCACATCCAGGGCACGAAGCTCCCGTTCCACCACATCCCAAAGATGCTCTATTGGGTTGAGATCTGGTGACTGTGGAGGCCATTTTAGTACAGTGAACTCATTGTCATGTTCAAGAAACCAATTTGAAATGATTCGAGCTTTGTAACATGGTGCATTATCCTGCTGGAAGTAGCCATCAGAGGATGGCTACATGGTGGCCATAAAGGGATGGACATGGTCAGAAACAATGCTCAGGTAGGCCGTGGCATTTAAACGATGCCCAATTGGCACTAAGGGGCCTAAAGTGTGCCAAGAAAACATCCCCCACACCATTACACCACCACCACCAGCCTGCACAGTGGTAACAAGGCATAATGGATCCATGTTCTCATTCTGTTTACGCCAAATTCTGACTCTACCATCTGAATGTCTCAACAGAAATCGAGACTCATCAGACCAGGCAACATTTTTCCAGTCTTCAACTGTCCAATTTTGGTGAGCTCTTGCAAATTGTAGCCTCTTTTTCCTATTTGTAGTGGAGATGAGTGGTACCCAGTGGGGTCTTCTGCTGTTGTAGCCCATCCACCTCAAGGTTGTGCGTGTTGTGGCTTCACAAATGCTTTGCTGCATACCTCGGTTGTAACGAGTGGTTATTTCAGTCAAAGTTGCTCTTCTATCAGCTTGACTCAGTCGGCCCATTCTCCTCTGACCTCTAGCATCAACAAGGCATTTTCGCCCACAGGACTGCCGCATACTGGATGTTTTTCCCTTTTCACACCATTCTTTGTAAACCCTAGAAATGGTTGTGCGTGAAAATCCCAGTAACTGAGCAGATTGTGAAATACTCAGACCGGCCCGTCTGGCACCAACAACCATGCCACGCTCAAAATTGCTTAAATCACCTTTCTTTCCCATTCTGACATTCAGTTTGGAGTTCAGGAGATTGTCTTGACCAGGACCACACCCCTAAATGCATTGAAGCAACTGCCATGTGATTGGTTGATTAGCTAATTGCATTAATGAGAAATTTAACAGGTGTTCCTAATAATCCTTTAGGTGAGTGTATATATATATATATATATACATATATATGTATAGATTACACTTTATCACTGAAGTCAGCGATATTACATGACTAACATTGTTTACTGGATAAGCAGAAATGATATTGGCCTAAATACTGAATAGTTTTTTTTTAAAGAAATGTATTCTTTTATTCAGCATTGATACATTAAATTGATCAAAAGTGACAGTAAAGACAATTGAAATGTTACAAAATATTAATTTATTATTATTATATATTTCAAAATAAATGCTGTTCTTTTGAACTTCCTATTTATGAAAGAATCCTGAAAAAGAAAATGTAACAGTTTTCCACAAAAATGTGAAGTTTTCAACATTGATATTATAAGACATTTTTCTTGAGCATCAAATCAGCATATTATTTCTGAAGGATCATGTGACACTGAAGACTGGAATAATGATGCTGAAAATTCAGCTTTGATCAAAAGAATAAATTATGATTTTAAATAGGCTATATTACAATAGAAAATCAGTTTTTACTGATCAAATTCAAAAACTTTTATCAACTCTAAATGTGAAATATCGGCTGATTAATCATACCTAGACACGTGCACTTTAATACATTTAAAAAGTCAGTTACAATACACTTATATTCAAGATACTTCAAATTATATACAACCCTCTCTGAAAGCAAGTCTGAATTTCTAATTGAATTGAATGAATAAATAAGTGCAGAACTATTTTTGAAAAAAGAAGTGTATCCGATCAGATACAGTGGTGTGAATAAGTTATTACCCCCATGCTAAAGTTGCCTAAAAAGAGGAATAAAAAATCATCTTTTGGAAATTGATCTTAATGCCTTAATTAGGAAAATGAGGAAAAATCCAACCTTTAAGGACACCAATTTTCTTTGTGTATGAATAATGTATCATAAATAAATAAATGTTCTTCCTTAAAATACAGGGTGCATAAGTCAGGCTATGTTAAATTCCCATAGAGTCAGGCAGATTTTTATTTTTAAAGGCCAGTTATTTCATGGATCCAGGATAATATGCATCCTGATAAAGTTCCCTTGGCCTTTGGAATTAAAATATCCCACATCATCACATTCCCTTCACCATACCTAGAGATTGGCATGGTGTTATTTCAGTTAGCCTAATAGCTGGTTTGATTTGCATTGAAAGATGATCTTATGGAAAGTACCCCATGCCAATCTCTAGGTATGGTGAAGGGAATGTGATGATGTGGGTCTATTTTAATTCCAAAGGCCAAGGGAACTTTATCAGGATGCATATTATCCTGGATCCATGAAATAACTGGCCTTTAAAAATAAAAATCTGCCTGACTCTATGGGAATTTAACATAGGGGGGGCCTGACTTATGCACCCTTTATTTTAAGGAAGAACATTTATTTATTTATGATACATTATTCATACACAAAGAAAATTGGTGTCCTTAAAGGTTGGATTTTTCCTAATTTTTCTAATTAAGGCATTAAGATCAATTTCCAAAAGAAGATTTTTTATTCCTCTTTTTAGGCAACTTTAGCATGGGGGTAATAACTTATTCACACCACTGTAATTTGAGATATTTATTGTTATTTCCTCCTCTTCAGAAGGATGTTCAGATAACGCCCAGTATTCTGCACGCGTGTTTCCAGTGTTTTCACTCTCTGTTCTTAATCAGAGAACATTTGGGTCAGTCTGATTTTACAGATGAGAGAGTCTGTCTGTTTCCCAGTGATCTCCAGAGAGAGAGAGAGAACTCATGTGCTCTTAAAACATGAGCGCTATATCACTGGAAAACACGTAACACAGCTCGTCCTTAATCAGGATCGCTTTTCTTATTCAGTCAAAATATGGAAACAATATGAATTTAAAAGTTTAGAAAGTCACTCTTAAAAAAAAATGTTTTTTATTCCACAAAAGGTTCTTAATAGTGGAAAAAGGTTCTTTAGATTATTAAAATGTAAAAAAAAAAAATGGTTCTTTTAAGAACTGCTATCTGAAATGTTATTTGGGGATCCCAAAGTTTTTCTACTGTATCGCTACAAAACCCCATTTTGCACCCTTTAAATCTTCTAAATCCGTTGGAGGATTTTGTTGAATTTGGAACAAGACTGTATAGACTTATATAAAAACACTTACAGTAATCTGGGCCTTAAAGGGGTCCTGCTGTGCTTTTTAACATTTTTTTAACTAACTGTCTTTAGTGTGTAATGTTGCTGTTTGAGCATGAAAAAACGCCTCAATTGTAGTCTTAAAGGGATAGTTCACTTTGAAATTAATTTGGTATGTTTTAGCTTACCTCAAGGGCATCCAAGATGTAGGTGTCTTTGTTTCCGCAGTAGTTTCAATTTTGATATTTTTAGGTCAAACCGTTCTTGTCTGTCAGTCATATAATGCAGGTCTATGGTAACTTCCTCAAAGAGCATGCACAGAGAAGTCCAAATTAAACATGATTTAATGACTCGTAAATGTAAGTACACATTGATGGCCTAAGACACGAAACGAGCGGTTTGTGTGAGAAAACCAACAGTATTTATATCGTTTTTACATCTTGTAACTGCAGGCACGTCCAAGTACTCTGAGGGCGCGGGCGCTTCGGTCTGTGCGTTACAAGAGGTAAAAACGATATAAATACTGTTCGTTTTCTCACACAAACCGCTCGTTTCGTGTCTTAGGCCACCAATATGTTAAGCTAAAACATATCAAAAATTAATTTCAAAGTGAACTATCCCTTTAAGTTTTCTTCCGGGTACGAACACATCACACTATTCCTCATTTAAATAATTCCCACCCAAGGCATACGCAGAATAAAGGGACGAGACCCGGTTGACTTATTTTAGTATTGTGTTGAAACTGGCGGTTATGGAAAGGGGCGGGAAATTTCCCAAACACGCTCGAAGCTCGATCAGACCAATCACAACACACTCGCCCAGCCGACCAATCAGAGCACATTGAGCTTTTCAGAGGGAGGGGCTTCATAGAGACAGGAATTAAACAGAGCGATACTGACAGACTGAGAAGAGAGGAGCTGCAACAATGGAGAATATGTGAAAAATAATGTGTTTTGAACATTCAAGCATGAAAAATGTTTCTAGTAGAGACCAAAAACAACATCAAGACTTTGAAAAAGGGCATAATAGGTCACCTTTAATATCTTATACAACTGAAGATATGTATCTTCTATTATGGAAATGTATCTAAGAACCGTTTATTGCAAAACTAGGGCGAATATAGTTTATGCATTAACAATTCTACATTGTTCATGATGTGAGATAAGGAAAACTCTTACTAGCCGGCTTGTATCCCTGCTCCCTGGAAACGTGTGTCACCAAAGCAGGAATTTATTCCACTGTCTCCAGATTTATGTATGTAATTAACTGTGTCTTCACGAAGACTGTTGCTGTACACAAGCACCGTAAGAATGTCTCAGGAGAGACCACAGGAGCGTTTCACTGCTCAGATGTGGCTCCTTTAGAGCTCAGAAGACTTTTTCTAATTTTTAGCTTGTTTCTTGTAAAATGAGAAATTAAAACAGACTACACAAAAAAAAAAATTTGGTGTAGAGACGATTTTCACTCCTGTGTAAATTTCACAATTAATTACACATTATAAAGTAAAAGATTGAACTAAACATGAAATTTGGAGGTAGAACGACTGAAATAGTATTTTATTGTTAAACATCTCCAATTATCCAATAATCTTTATTTACAACTTCAAAAAAAGAGTACAGTGCAAAAAAAGTACTTACAGTGTCATCCAGTAAGCGTGTAAAGCTGTACAATAAAGGTGCAGAGCATCTCTGATCATTTAATGAGAAATGTTTGAGTTCATATGAGATCTCTGACTTTTGATCAGACTTTAGGTGTAAAGTACAGATTGAGAAATTGTTTGAGAACTGAGTGAGATTACCAGGGACTTTTCCTCAGAAGAAACATCTGAGATGCAGGAGACTTTAGCAAACATTTGCTCTCCATTTAATCTCGTTCTGTTTCGGATAAACATGATGTATATTTATAGACGCTTTATCCAAAGTGACTTTGCATTCGAGGTATACAATTTATCAGTTCATAAATCAACATTCCCTGGGAATTGAACCCATAACCTTGGCGTTGCAAGCACAATGATCAACTATTTGAGCTACAGGAATGAATATAAAATTCAATATGAAATCCATTTTGCAACCTATTTTACTTCCATAATGTGATGTATTTTTGAGTGAAACAGGATATTTAGTGATAAAAGAGAGGATAGCACATGATTATATCAATTGGGAAAAGTAAGAATCATGAAAAGTGCATGTTATGTGGTATAAAGTAAATAAATAAGTGAATTTGGATTTCGTATTGACTTAAAAAAGATCTCTATTTTAAATCATACAAATTCCAATGGAAAAAAAGGACCAATGAGGTTCGATATAAAACCCTAAGGTTCGAAGCCTTTATGCCAAAAAGGTTCTATATAAGGACAAATGTCTTAAATGGTTGCGTAATACTTTCATGTTTAACGGGTTTTTTAAAAATATTTCTTTTGATAAAGTATGTTTATGAGCTGCTTAATTCATAAAATTTAATCAATTAAAACTAAATCCATAAAATGATCCCAGGGTAGGACCCCCAAAAAGTTTCTATACAGGTGAAACTCGGAAAATTCGAATTTATTTCAGTAATTCAACTTATTATATAGACTCATTACTCGCAAAGTGAGATATTTCAAGCCTTTATTTGTTATAATTTTGATGATTATGGCTTACAGCTTATGAAAACGTTTTCACAATATTCTCATTTTGAATTTGGGGTTTTCATAAGCTGTAAGCCATAATCATCAAAATTATCACAATGAGTATGTAATGAGTCTATATAATATATTTGTTTCACCTTTTAAGTTGAATTACTGAAATAAAGGAACGTTTGCAAAATATTCAAATTTTTCGAGTTTCACCTGTATATGAAGTGCCTGACAGAAGCCTTCAAGTTTCTATATATAGTGAACCTTTTCTAGTGATGATGAGGGGTGTTTTCCCAATCTCATTCACTCAGCGTGTTCAAGACAAGCAGAATCATGTTGTGTGTGTGTGTGTGTGTGTCAGGTACAAAACACATGAAGTCTTCTTTTGTCTGTCTGAGACCTGACCAGCATCAAGAGGAGTGTGTTATAACATGCCTCTCTCTCTGTGTCTGCAGGTGTTTGCCTTCGACCACTGCTTCTGGTCCATGGATGAGTCCAACATCCCGAAGTACGCCGGTGAGTCACTCTTAAACACGTCCACACAGAATCACTTTCCCCTCACTGTGCTGGATGGAGTCACACCTGCATAGTAATTATGGATTACTTTTGGTATTGTAATATGGAAAGCACTGGAAATAACATGGACACACGATGTGCCGTTCCCAGGGTGGGATCTGAGAAAAGCAGCTTAGATCACACAAAATTCCCATGCTGGTCCAGGCTAGTTTAGGCTTGGTACTGGTAATGCTGTGGTGTTCACTGACCGTCTGATGCATATTACACGCAAAACTGGAGAGTGCTTAGCATAAGTGAACACACCCATGCTAAAGTTGACTAAAAAGAGGAATATAAAATCATCTTTTGGAAATTGATCTTAATGCCTTAATTAAAAAAATGAGGAAAACTCCAACCTTTACGGACACCTATTTCCTTTGTGAATGAATAATGTATCGTAAATAAATAAATGTTCTTCCTTAAAATAAGTCAGGACACCCCTATGTTAAATTCCCATAGAGGCGGGCAGATTTTTAATTTTAAAGGCCAGTTATTTCATGGATCCAGGATACTATTAAATTAGTATTAAAATAGCCCCACATCATCACACACACACCCTTCACCACACCTAGAGATTGGCACGGTTTTATTTCAGTTTGCCCAATAGCTGGTTTGATTTGCATTGAGGGATGATCTTATGGAAAGTAAACCATGCTAATCTCTAGATATGGTGAAGAGTATGTGATGTGGGGCTAATTTAGTATCCTGGATCCATGACATAACTGGCCAAATATGAAATAAATGGCCAAAATAAAAATCTGCCCGTCTCTATGGGAAAATAACATAGGGGTGTCCTTAAGATCATTAAGGACATTAAGATCAATTTCCAAAAGATGATTTTTAGGTGTTCAAGCACGAAGTGCTGAAAACCTATTGTAATTGCTATTTGAAGAAAAAAAATATCCCCTAAAACGCATCGTGCAGCCCAAACCGTAAGGCCTAGAGACTTGAAACTCGGCCAGATGGTAGGCCACACTTTTGGGGAGAACCTATCAGAGTATGACCCCGATTGGCCCATAGGTGGTGCTACAGCAACCAAAAGTACTAAATTGCTCATAACTCCTAGACCGTTGGTCCTAGGTCCTCAAGCTTTTTACACCACTGTGATCCTTGGCTCAAGACGGACAAAATGTATATCTCCAGTTTCGATTTAGGCCAGAAAAATTTTCCGCTATGTCGAATTTTGTCCAAAACCTACTTTTGCGAACTAGTCCCTGGTTTTTCGCCCGATCGGAACCAAACCAGTCTAGGCCTATTCTCTGGACTCTCTAGATCAAAGTTTTATGGAGATCTGACCATAGGTGGCGCTATAACTGTTAAAAGCTTTAAAACCATACATTTCCTATGGTAAATTGCCTGTATTGGCTGTAAATGGTCTTTTCCATCTATGATGTCAGTGTTTAATGTATGCTAAATCAAACTTAATGTCTTTTGATGCTTTTGTGCTTAACGGCCTTAAAGGCCTTAACTGCTTGAACACCGCTAAATGCTGCTTGCAGCTTTAATTTTATTTGTTTTTAGTCAACTTTAGCATGGGTGTGTTCACTTATGCTAAGCACTGTATAACACAGAAAACAAAGTTGAATCTTTATTTCTGCTCAGTGTTGTTTTTGTTATGGTCAGTGAACGTCTGAAACCCCACACTATACTGTAGCACATTGACATGGTTCTTCAAGTCTCTGTTTAAGTCTGCCAAAATAAAGCCTGGCTGACAAACTAATGACTTAACAGACATGTTCTTACTTGGATCTGGTTCTTTCATCTGTCAGTCTTACAGTCTAATGGATATAAAGATGTATTCATGAACCTGCTAATGCAGTGTGTGTGATATTGACTCACACAGACACACTGGTTATTAAAGTCTTTTAGGAAGGATAATGTGCAGTTCCAGGGTTTTATACAGGCCTGTACAGTCAAATTAATGATGGATGCTTTGGGGAATTCCTATTTTTTCCTGCTTTTTCACAAGCCTTTTTTTCTGCTATAAAATCAAATTAACTTGATGCTTTGGGTATTTATATATTAAATTCCATCATTCAATTTACAGTTTAATTGAGTGATGTAAATTGCTAATATTTTTTGGGCAGTACCTTACTTGCATGTGCAATATTTTTTCAATGTTTTTAAATTTATTATTATTGTCTTATTGTCTGATTGTCTTAAAATTATTTATTTTATTATGTGAATATATCTACATTTTTATTTGAGCATTCTGGCATTGAAATTTCTCTTATGGAATTAATAAAGTTGAACCATATCTTACTTTAGACGGAGTCTGTCACAGTGTTGCTTTAGTATTTATCTACTATTTTAGTTTTTATTAATATTTTGAATTCGTTTTTATTTTAGTATTTTTAGTTTCTTTGTAATTTAGGTTCATTTTTAGTTAGCTTTTGTCTTCTTTTTTAAATAATGCTATTTTACTAGTTTAATTTATTGGTAACACTTTACAATACAATTACAATACATTTGTAACATTAGTAAACTACATTAGTTAACTTGGTCCATGTTAATTTCAACATTTACTAATACATTATTCAAATCAAAAAATTGTATCTTGATATTATTTAATGATTCTGAGCTGAACAATGAACAGCTGTATTTTTATTAACTAATTAATAAATACTGTAACAAATGTATTTCTCATTGTTGGCTAATGTTATTAAATGCATAATGAGACATTATTGTAAAGTGTTCATTTCAATTGTAGTTTTAGTTCTCATTTGAAACATTCAGAGTTTGTCTTTATGGACTTTGCTGTTTAACATCAAAGTAAGTTTCTGCACCACATTATGTTCAGCTATATGATTTCTCTCTCTATCTCTGATAAAAAGTGAATGGAAAAAGTAATTGCTTATTGCCCAATTACTCGTCACTTAAACGGGGTTAATGAGTTGTGACGATCAACAAAAGATCTCCAGTCTGAAGGGTTTCATGCATCAGATGTTCAGACACATATTTGTGTTCCTGTGCATGAACTGCACGAGCTGCACTGGTGCTCGGAAACAACAGGCGATGAAAGTGCTCGAGGTCCGTCTTTATTTAGCTCTTTGCACAGCTGGCTGATTCACCATGAATGTGGAGAACTGTGCATCTCGGCCTCACCGAAGCACGAACACGTCATGCGGCCGGTTTCCGCATTCACACCGCTTATTTTGGAGGTTTTTGTGGGAGGGCTCGAGGGATTTCTTTTGAGAGGAAAGGAAATGAGAAATGTGGAGATCCCTTTGTTGCTCAGCAGTGAATTGTTCCTTCATGTACAGTATATGGAGATCAGGGCGAGAAGATGTTGTTCGCGTTTTAATGTTGTGGTTTTCATGGTTTCATGTGTTTGTCTTGTAGGTCAGGAGGTCGTGTTCAAGTGCCTTGGGGAGGGAATACTTGAAAACGCATTTCAAGGATACAACGCCTGCATTTTTGCCTATGGACAAACAGGTACTGTTGCAGAGAAACATTGAGGAAACAATACGTGGTCTTTTGTAAGGGTGCTTTTTGTTGCTGATAGTGACATCCGTTTCATTGAAAGACATGAATAGATGCTCATTTATTGGCGTGAGAGCAGTGGTAATAACCCTAAAAGAGCCCTGCGAGACATAACTATAGTGTTCAAACAGGTTTCACACTGTAAAATCACACAACAATGAATTCCCCATTTCACCTTGCTTTACGGTGGACTGATGAATCTCACAAAAACATGTCCAGGTCACATTGCATGCCAACATATATATAAATATATATCTTATTTTATTTATTTTTTGGTGCATTTTTTAATGACAAAACACATTTTCACTTCAAATCATTTAAAAAAAAAAAAATTATTTCTAGTTAGTTCTAAGAAAATTCATAAAGAAAGAGTCATAAAGTAACAAGATTCAATTTTTTTCTTTGTATAAGATTACATTTTCAAGATTACATTTTTTTTCTTTGTATAAACAAAAAATATAGATAAATTATAAAACATATTTATTTATGTTTAATTGATCATTTTTATGTTAAGAAAATTGATATTTTTCTACTTTTAGTCTAAACATTTGTTAAGACAAAAAGCATTAAACAAGGAATAGAAAAAAAAGTTTTATCTTATTTTTTATTACATAAATAATATTTATATAAAAAAAATGCAAATTACATTTTTTTTCCCCTTTGTTTCAGTTCTTTAAGATTTATTTTAGATTTTTTTATTATTTTAATATAACGTTTTTTTATTGTATTATTTTTAATTATTTTATCTTGACCAGGCACAACAGATGAAAATGATCTGTAATGAATAAACTGGCTCGTCTTTTTTCAATTTGTGCTGTTCAAATCTGTGAAAGCAGAATACATTGAATAATTGTCCCTGTGGTCTGTGGGTAATCATCGACCTGATGTTTCACCGTTCGTGAACAGGAAGCTTCTGCGTTTCCAATCATACTGTTGTGTTAAACCGCTCAGTCTTTCCTCTGCCTTCCTGTCCTAGTTCTCAGACCGGCGAACACAAGCTTTCCATGCGGGCTGACGTGTGCGAACACGCCTGCTGGGTGAGAGAATGTCTTCTAACCTTTGAAACGCTGTGTTGGTGATCTGGCAGGCTCGGGGAAATCCTTCTCAATGATGGGCAATGGAGAGCAGCCAGGCCTGATCCCGAGACTCTGCTGCTCGCTGTTCGAGAGGGTCTCCAAAGAGCAGAACGAGGCGCACTCCTTCAAGGTGGAGGTCTCGTTCATGGAGATCTACAATGAGAAGGTCCGAGACCTGCTGGATCCCAAAGGGTGAGCGGATTCATAACACACAGTGGGCACAGAAAGCACAGACGTTGAGTTCTCCTCAAGTTCACACAGGTGTCGAGAATCACCGGATCCACAGAAGCTGGCTCTAAATCTGCAGGCTGTGTGAAGGATGTTCACAGTCATTGATCTGTCACACACACACACACACACACACACACACATGCGCGTCTGCACCATCTAGTGAGAGTTTGCAGCGCTGGTTTTCACACTCAGATCTGCTGGTGCTTTCAGTTTACTAAAAGTCCATCACTTTCTATTTTAATGGCTTTACACAATAATTTTTTAAGTTTAAATTGATCAAGTTTTTCTGTTTTTTTCTGTTACAGTTTTTATATTTTACATTTTTGTGCTATATATACATTTTTATTAATAGTTATTTAATTAGTAAATTATTTCATGTCCTATTTTTACAACTTTATGCCCTCATTTATTTATTTATTTATTGTTGCAATTTTATTCTTTACATTTCCAATTTTGTTTTTCATTTGTACCTTTTTTAAATCAATAATTTTTACATTTTATACATTACTTATTATTTTATTTTTTTCTTATTTTGTGCTATATAATGTTTGTATTAATTTATAGTTATAATTTAATAAGCAACTTATGTCATGTCCTGCTTTAAATGCTAATTTGGTTTTTTAGTTTAACTTTTAAAAATGTTTTACATTTTTTTTAATAGTTATAAATGTATCTTTTAAATCTTATTTATTTATTATTTATTTAAATTTTGTATCTTTATTTTTTTTTATTGTTTTCTCCTGTACTATTTACAGTATATTGTTTAAAATGTATTATTCTTTACAATTTTATTAGTAAATTATTTCTTGTTCTATTTTTATGGCTTAATTACGTCACTTTAAAAGTATTTAAAATCGTACCGACCCCAAACTTTTGAACGGTAGTGTATATATACTGTATATATATATAAATTCTTGTCCTGATATAAGCAGAAATAAATTCAAGAAGATAGTGTCAAGAGGCTCAAACAAGAGGAAGATTGTGAATCGGCATCTAGGGAAGGGAACATTAATAAAGGGCTAATGAAACTGTACTGGTATTTTCTCACATTTCTTCTCTTCCTTGCGTACAGGAGCAGACAGTCTCTGAAGGTCAGGGAACATAAAGTCCTGGGTCCGTATGTGGACGGGCTCTCTCAGCTGGCTGTGATGAGCTTCGAGGTAAACTTCATATTTTCGCCTGAAATATTACCTCAGGAGATTCATGAAAGTCTCAGTTGTTTCAATGTTACATTAAAGTTTCAACGTGTTTCTCTCAAAGTTCTGTAGGATGCCAGTGTCATATAGGCTTTCTTCAGACAGACAAAGTTCCTTGTAGTTCGAACAGCAAAAGGACAGACCAAATCACATTTTGATGTGGATTAGAAATGTCATTTTCACTCTTTCCGCTTACATTTGTGACATTTGACAAAACGTCCAAATTTTGCCAACATAATGAGAATGTTATTTTGAATGTTCTCAAAACATTCTGAAACATGTAGTAACATTAAAAAATATTTCAGAAAAAAAACATTCCATGAGCAATCATGTATAAATAACGTTTTTGTGTTAACATTATTAAAGACCAGATAACTTTAAAGGAACGATATATTAATGTTATTGGAAGAACGTTTGTTCATAACTATGAAAGAACCTTTCCAGAACATTAGCCAAAGTTCTGAGGACGTTTCCTGTTTAAAAGATGTTTGCAATTTATTATAATTTATTTATGTTTTCTCTCATTTCCCACCAACGCAGGACATTGAATCTCTGATGTCGGAGGGGAACAAATCCCGCACTGTAGCCGCCACCAACATGAACGAGGAGAGCAGTCGCTCGCACGCCGTCTTCAGCGTCATCGTCACGCAAACACTCTACGACCTGCAGTCGGGGGTCGGCGGTTCACTCATAATCACCGTTATACATTTCAAATTGTGCAGATATATGAGAAATGAAGCTTCCGCTGATATTTTGTCCCTAATGATAAACAAATTATTAAACAGTTTTGTTTATTTGTGACATACAGCATAAATCATCGTCTTTCACATAGTGGACAAAAGTGATGTCCGGAGGGTAGATTTGTTTTTAATGACCCTACAAGTTTGATTAAACCAGTGAAATATGAGGAAAATATTTAGTATTTTTGTAATATTTTAAATATGAGAGAAGAACAAAACACTAAACTTGATTAAGGTATTTATCTGACTAAATTATTTGGCAAAATACAGCGACAGGTTTTTATTTTACTATGCAAACAAATGCATAGAAAAACAAAAAACTCACAGGAAAAAGCATAGATTGACTACATTATGATCAGTTATTAATATTTGGTACATTCTCTCTTGTTTTGGCATGTGTTCATAATTTCTTTGTATAAAAAAATAATGTCGGCACAATTTCGCATGTTTCATTGCTTTATCACGAATAAAACAATTGACTCCAAGCACAATTATGCAATATGATTACAAAATCGTTAACAAATTTGTAATAATTCGAAAACGGGGTGAAGATTGCAATATTCCTAGGCTGAACGTGACTTTTGGCCACTACTGTATATGAGTCAGTCTTCATCTCTCATCTGTCACAAAAACACGTCATTCATCCTAACTTCACTTCAAACGTCATAGTAGACTATTGCTCACATCACTGACTTTAGATTATCATTCCTAAATATGATTTAAATAATGCAGTAACTTTGTTTGTAGTTCCTAATAAAGTTTTATATTCAGTTAATGCGTGGCAAGTGTTCATTTTGGACCCTGATCTATACCAGACACATGGTGGGCTGAATTGTGCTGATTTAGGACGTTTTTGTTTGTAATACTTGCTTTTATGTGTGTGAACGCAGAATTCTGGAGAGAAAGTGAGCAAGATAAGTCTGGTCGATCTGGCCGGCAGCGAGCGCGTGTCCAAGACTGGAGCTGCTGGAGAGAGACTGAAGGAAGGAAGCAACATCAACCGGTGAGAGCGCTCGCGACGTTTCAAAGGAAATGTGTCCCTTGCTTATAATCATTGAAAAACGAATAATATGTCGACAGTTTGTATGCAGTCTGGGAACTTAAGCCAGGATGAAAGAATAAAGGAGAACAGGATAAAATCTGCCAATAGGATCAACAAAACGAATAAAGAAGAGAATAAAGCAGGCGTCTTTAAGAGCATCTTCAAGTGGAAGGTTAATAGATGCAATGATGGATCCTCTAATTCAGGGTTTCCAAAACTAAATTTTTTTTATTAAAAAATCAAAATAATACACATCATTTTTTTATTTAATCATAAAAATGTCACATTGAAGTAAAAACAATCAAAATAATACACCTAATAAGAATTTGTTAAATAAATAAAATAAATAATTTAAAAATAAAAACAATTAAAATAAAATACTAACTAAACATTAATCAAAATGTCAAGTTAATATAAATAATTTTAAAATAAAAACAAAGTAAAATACTAACTAAAAGATAATTAAATAATGACAAATTAAAATAAATAATAAAAAATAAAAACAATAACAAAACTAAGAATTTATAAATCATAAAAATGGTGAATTAAAATAAATCATTAAAAATAAAAACTATTAAAATAAAATACTAACTAAACAATTAAATCATGAAATGTCAAGTTTTTAAAATAAAAACAAAGAAAATACTAACTAAAAGTTTATTAAATTAAAAATGACAAATTAAAATAAATAATTAAAAAATAAAACACTTAAGAATTTAATAAATCTTAAAAATGGTGAATTAAAATAAATAATAAAAACAATAACAAAACTAAGAATATATAAATCATAAAAATGTTTAATTCAAATTAATCATTTGAATTTAAAAACAATAAAAAAAAAACCTTACTAAAAAAAAATGTTGTGATTACCTGCATGTCATGTGACCACTATCCAACATCAGAGAACCGAAAACATGCAAATGTCTCAGGGATACTTCAGTACATTTTTTTTATCTCAGAGGTTTGTCTGACAAAAAAGTTTGGGAATCCCTACTCTAATAAAAAAAAAAAAAATCACATAAAATCAGCTAACCATGGCATGCAGCTCTATATCCAGCCCTCCCTTTAATGAGTTTGTGGTGTTTGTGTCCAGGTCTCTGACCACGCTGGGCTGTGTGATCTCCGCTCTGGCTGATCAGTCTGCAGGGAAAGGCAAGAGCAAGTTTGTGCCTTACAGAGACTCAGTGCTGACGTGGCTGCTCAAGGTCAGTGTGTCTCCTTCCATAGACCCAAAAGTCCAGGGGAATCCAACTCACACAACACCGGTTTCAGCTAAAAACAGAAAAGTTCTTATGCGTTTTGGCCATTCATGTACACGTCAATGGGACTTTGGGAGCCTGAAAATGCAATCTTTTGAAAGCGGCTTTCAAAGTGCAGGTTTTTGCAAATGATAACGTTATCGTCTCCATGTAAACTACAAAAACTTGAATTTGTGAAAACGCTGACGTCATGCGCATGTGTTCAGTGTTGTGCCTGAACGCGTTCAATGAACGATAGTTCATGAACTCGTTCATATTTTGGGCGAACGTGAACTGAACGTACTGTATTACTGCCTGATGAACGTTACGGTGAACGCGTTCATTCTGGTGTCTGTGAACGCACGCTCTCTCAGTTTAACTTCGTTCAATAGGGTGCCAGATTTCTATAGAGCCTTCCAGGCGAAAACCCGGCTGAAACGCACGTAAACAGGCCTTAATATGTAGCGAAAAACACCCAATCTGGCAACACCAGCCACCAGTGTCCCACCGCGGCCGCCGCATGCGTCATCAAAACAAAAAGCAGCATGTATTCGACAAAGCATCGAGGAGGCGTCGTATGATTATTTAAACGAGTTGTAGGACAAGGTCAGTGAGGATGGGAAAAATCGTACATTTCTGTGCAAACTTTGCCTGTCGATAAAATAATTGCTGTCTGTGGTTGTATATGGGCTGTGGCAATAATAAAAAAAAAAAATAGCTCGCAGCAACATATGGAAAAAAAGAACTATGAACTAGTTCATTTTTTGAAGTATGAACTATGAACTGAACTAGTTCATTTTAAAATTTGTGAACTGAACTTTGAACTTTCCCAACACTGCATGTGTTTCTTTAAAATAAATCGCCAACAGCATAATACAATGTTTTTAGTCATTTGTCACGGATCCGTTGTCCCTCAAACTCAGACTTTTTTTCTTCTAGAGCGTGCATTTGTACCCTCCCACATTTTCAGTAGTTTTAAGTGTTTTGAGAGGGACTTGATTACATCATTTGTGGTGTTTTATGGGTGTAAAGAGCTCTTTTAGCGCAATTTGCTCGTCCAGACTCTCTGATTTGTGGAATTTGCTGCACAGCATTATGGGTAATGTAGTTTTTCACCATGAATTCCACTGTTAAACTTGATTACTGGAGATGAGTGGTACCCGATGGGGTCTTCTGCTGTTGTAGCCCATCCGCCTCAAGGTTGTGCGTGTTGTGGCTTCACAAATGCTTTGCTGCATACCTCGGTTGTAACGAGTGGTTATTTCAGTCACTGTTGCCCTTCTATCAGCTCGAACCAGTCTGGCCATTCTCCTCTGACCTCTAGCATCAACAAGGCATTTTCGCCCACAGGACTGCCGCATACTGGATGTTTTTCCCTTTTCACACCATTCTTTGTAAACCCTAGAAATGGTTGTGCGTGAAAATCCCAGTAACTGAGCAGATTGTGAAATACTCAGACCGGCCCGTCTGGCACCTACAACCATGCCACGCTCAAAATTGCTTAAATCACCTTTCTTTCCCATTCTGACATTCAGTTTGGAGTTCAGGAGATTGGCCGTTTCTCAATATGCGTTCTTGTCTGTACTTGTGTTCTTGTGGACTTGTGAAACGTCATCAGTCACTGCCCAAGTACTGTTCCAATTCAAAGTTCACATCTAGCCAAGTCCAGTTCAAATCCCCGGATGTGTTCTTGATCCGCCCCGTTTACCGAGGATGCACCGAGAGGTGACTTGTGCGGACTTGAGACAGCCAGGTATCCCAGAATGCATCTCGCACCAACCAGCAAGCGTCAATAGCAGAGGAGAAAACCCGCGTAATATCAAAATACTACTGTTATTGTGTCATGAAATGTAATTTTAAGAGTGTTTCAGGCGAGAATGTGGTTGTTTAAAGCTCAAATCTGTGGTTTATTTATAAAGATAGCCCCTATTTGAAAAATGTCTCTGACGTTTTCGGAGTTGTGACATCCAGGCGTTCACCGCGGGTGTTCTGGAACAGCTTTTCCTCGGCTAGTGCGTCTGACGTTTGCCGCTGGCTCTGATGTCTCTAGTGGATAAACTTGACGTAATAATTCGTCTGGTGTATAAGTCGATCTTTGGTCTCATTAAACTATAGTTTGTTCCTTGGCAAAAAATCGTTTTAGCTGAGGGCAAAGTGAAGTTTCATAACTTTATATATTTAGGCTATTTAACTTTATCTTTGTAGCCTATTAGAGAGCTTACTTATGTTTGAATTGTTTGCCTTATTTATCATTGTAGATATTATTGATCATTAAAACTGACATTTAACAAAAAGAGACAGGGTTGTGTAATTTTATTTTATTTACTTTAAAATATATATTTTTTTATATTTATTTTAACATTCTCTTCACTATGTACAATAAAATAAAATGACACAACCCTGTCTCTGTTTGTTAAATGTCAATAAAAATAAATAATGTTTCATATTTTTAAAATGAAAACAAAAAGATCATGTTCATGTTGTTATAAATATATGCAGTGAAGATAATACGCGTTGCCTGAACCACATGGCCATTAGGCTACTATGTTTAAGATTTTTAAATGAAAAGAAGCAGGGTGGTGTTTTATAACATATTTCGTTTTTATTGTTGACGAAAAGAGGCAGAGTTGTAGCATTTCGTTTTATTCTTGCCTCAAATATACATAAAGATAACCGGAGTAGCCAGAGCGAGCTGAGTGACGCGATCAAGAACGCACTGTTCCATTTGCAGAATAACTGGACTTGCGTCCTCTCGTCCTCAGGAGTTCGTTCTCCTGAGTCGAACTTGGCAAGTCCGAACTGCCAAGGACGCAAGTCCGAAGTTTGCGTACTTGGTATTGAGAAACGGCCATTGTCTTGACCAGGACCACACCCCTAAATGCATTGAAGCAACTGCCATGTGATTGGTTGATTAGATAATTACATTAATGAGAAATTGAACAGGTGTTCCCAATAATCCTTTAGGTGAGTGTATATAATCGGTTAACAACCTTGTTGCTCACATTAAGGCTGCCTTTAAAGTTATTGTTAAAAATTGAGAAATGAATAGAGTTTCCAGTGCCTGAACTCTCTACTTCTACAGGACAATCTCGGTGGCAACAGTAAGACGGCCATGATCGCCACCATCAGCCCAGCCGCTGACAACTACGAGGAGACGCTGTCGACGCTGCGGTACGCCGACCGAGCCAAGAGAATCGTCAACCACGCCGTGGTCAATGAGGACCCCAACGCCCGCATCATCAGGGAGCTCCGGGAGGAGGTGGAGAAGCTGAAAGTGCAGCTCTCTCAGGCTGAGGTGAGCAGAGACTTATGGGAGATTATCAGAAGAATCTCTGACACAGGGGTGCCACGCTCCTCCAAATATGATCATCCTTGTGCGAGGGACATCCATCCTAAAAAATGAAAAGGCAGCTATATATTTTTTGCTGTGAAAAATGAATATTCAGTTCAGTTCAACTTTAGTGTCAGACTCAGGGTCCATTAGAAAACCATACAACATTACAGACACCCAACACCTCCCTAAAAAAAAAAAAAAAACACAATTACCAATTATATTATTAATGTGTAGAATATTATTTGGAAAACGTTTTTTTCTACTCGCTACAGTACTATACTGTTAACTACATAATTTCTTTAATTTAATTCATTTTATTTATTTACCAGTATGTATTTTTTTATTTTAAATCTAATTTTTATTTATGTAGTTTTTTTTACTCTGTTTCTCTAAACTTTTTAATACAAAAAAATAATAATTTTACAATTTTTTATTTATTTGACAGGGACAATGCAAACAAACATAGTGTCAAAACAAAGCTTGTCACTGAAGTGCTGCATATAAAGTTTATAGCAAATGCAAATTTTCAACTCCTGTCCCTGGTTGGGCTTTTATACACAATAAAATGTACATACTTCACTACTTCAATTTAAAATATATATATAAACATGATATATAAACATACATATCATATACAACTCTTACCTACTTACACTTTTGGTTTGTCTTTAACCAGTTTTTAAGCCTGGAAGTACACACTTTAAAGTCAGGTACAGTCTTGATGTCAGATGGTAATGAGTTCCAGAGTTTAGAGCTCTTCACAGAGAAGGTCGTCTTTTTCATGAACCCCTAGCATCATTCTATAGTGAAACTATTTTTAATAATGCTTTTTTGTTTTGTGCAAATTATAGTATATATAATAGACAGTTTTCCTGCATTCTCCAGCAACTTTTTTCCTCTCAATGCGTTCTGTAATTGCCTTCATCCCAAGGATGCAAGCGATATCTTAGAGGGCATCATGCCTTTGATACCTTAAAATGCTCCCTATGTAGACAGCTTCACTAGGTTTTAGAACAGAGCCGGTGTTAAACCCTTTGAGGAACAGGGTTATTATCGTCTACTACATTTTAACTTATTTTATTTCAGCTAAAATAGTTTGTTGAAGTACTAAAATAATACAAACTAAAACTGAAATTAAAACTATGAATATGAAAAATAAAAAACTACAAAATATTAGTACAAATATTAGTAAAATAACTCAACAAAAACCTAAATAAAAACTATATATATATATATATATAAAACGAATACTTTAACCAAAATTAAACTTAAATTAAAGTGAATTTGGAAAAATTATAATAGCATATCAATGATACTAAAATAACACTGATGGGGAGATGTTTCGACTCGTAACTTTTAATGATAACGTTTGTTATGTTGTGTTTGTCAGTCTCTGAAGGCTCCTGAGCTGAAGGAGAAACTCCATGAGTCGGAGAAGCTCATTCAGGAAATGACGGTCACCTGGGAAGAGAAACTCCGGAAAACGGAGGAGATTGCACAGGTGTCACACACACACACACACAAGCGCATGTTGGGTTTTCATGTTTAATGGGGAATTTCCATACATAATGGTTGTTATGCTGTACAAACTGTATATTCTCTCCCCCTACACTAAACCTACCCATCACAGAAAACGTTCTGCATTTTTGCATTTTCAAAAAACATGATTTATAAGCCGTTTTCCTCATTGGGACCAAAAATGTCCCCACAAGGTCAAAAGCTGCTGGTATTACTATACTATTCTGGAATTACCAATGTAGGGTTTACCAGGACCACACACACGCACACACTATTTGCATGTCTCGATGTTGAATGAAATTTGCTTACAAGTTTATTGTTGCTCAATTTCTCTTAGAAAACATATCTCAAATGAGTTCTCAAACGAGTCGTTTCTCCTAGACTGAGATGAAATGGAGAACTTTTGCTGTCAAGAATGATTTCGATAAACACTATTTTTTTTGGTCAAATTCTCGTCTAGATTTAGACAAAGAGGATATTTAAATGAAACAAACCAAAGGAAAGAGCACATTTGAGCGATAACAGTCTCACAGAACATGTGGGATTTGATTGACAGCTGTCATTGGTCTCTGCAGGATCGTCAGAAGCAGCTGGAGAGCATGGGGATCTCTCTGGAGTCATCAGGGATCAAGGTCGGAGAGGACAAATGCTTCCTGGTCAACCTGAACGCTGATCCTGCTCTTAATGAACTTCTGGTTTACTACCTGAAGGTAATAATAATAATAATAATAATAATACTTGATTGCACAGTGAGACATAATTAGTGAGGTTTGCATCTAATTTTGCTCATTTATTTCCATTGGACGCTTGCATGAGGGCTGCAAGGAATCCTGATGCTCTTTTATTTTTGATGCATCTCAAGGGACACATAAGGACTGAGTGACAATAAATAAAACATTTTTTAATGGACAAATTAATAGACATATTCAAAGGGGCCCCTTTTTCAAAGTCTTTAGTTTTTGGGTTCTACTAGAATTACGTTTTCATTCTTAAATGTTCAATTAACACATTTTTTCATATAACATATTTTTCACATATTCTCCATTGTTGCAGCTCCTCTCTTCCCAGTCTGTCAGTAACGCTCTGTTTAGTTCCTGTCTCTATGAAGCCCCTCCTTTTGAAAAGCACAATGGCCTCTGATTGGTCAGTTGGATCAGTGTGTTGTGATTGGTCAACTACTTCAAGTGTGTTTGAGAAATGTCCCGCCCCTTACCATAACCACAAGTTTCAACACACTACTAACTAACTCAACCAGGCCCCGCCCCTTTATTCTGCATATGCCTTGGGCGAGAATTATTAAAATGAGGAATATTGTGATGTGTTCGTTCCCGGAAGAAAACTCAAAACTACAATGGAGGCGTTTCAGGGAGTTCAGAAACACTGACACTGATATAGAGAATAACTCCCGCTGGAGGGACTTTGTGCTTCGTAAATTTGCAGACCTTTTCATGATCAAACAGCAACATCACACTCTAAAGAAAGATGTATGAAAGTAAAATGTATTGTTCATATACTAACTACAGTACTTTCACTACACACTCTATGCAAAGCACGACTGCAATCAAAAATGTTTGCATCCATATTTGATTCGATTCAATCTTCGTTAGGTCGAAGCGGAGCTGTCAACGCTGTCGTTCAAGGTGCATCTGCAGGTACTAGAGTCCCTGAGCTCTGATCGAGACCTGTGAGAAAAGCAGACCTCGACTGCACCAACAACAGGCCTTTGTCTGCCGCCTCCAGTCGGCTTGGCATACCAATGTTGAATTAGCATGTTAATGTGAAGGGAATAGTGCAGCTGTGGGCATAAACAACGTCCCCTGGAAGAGCAATGTTTGTGTAACTGAGCCCACATGTGTGAAAACACAGCCCTCTTTACTCCTTCCTTTGATGGTTGTTATTTTGTTCTTCACTGTTATTGTGTCGAATAATGCGAAGACGATCTGGACTTGTGTTATTTGTGGCAGGGTTATGGTCACAATGCATTTGTTGCCTTAAAATGCTCCCTATGTAGACAGCTTCTCTATGTTTCAGAACTCACCTTACATTGAACAGGGTTATCGTCATAAAGTACAGCTGTGGTGCTGTGTGGTTTCGAGCGGCTCACGTGTGAGGTGTTCTTCTCTGTGTTCAGGATCACACGCGTGTGGGTGCCGACACATCGCAGGACATCCAGCTGTTCGGCATCGGGATTCAGTCTGAGCACTGTGTGCTGGACATCACGGCTGATGGAGACGTCACGCTCTCGCCGCTGGAGAACGCCAGGTGAGACACACCTGTGGAGCACACGTCCGGCGGTTTATTAGCATGCCGTAGTGTTTGCACACAGATATACAGTTCAAACAACAACAAAAGAAATGAATGAAATGAAAAGAAAATAGAATATGTTGTACATGTGAAGAAATTTTTTTTTTCTGGGTTTAAAAATTATATTTAAAATTTTTTTTTTACAATACACGAGTCTTTGCAAATTACATAATTATATCTCCTTACACACTTAGACCACTTATTTTTTTGTGTAATTTTCACTTTAATTGTAGTTATAGTATAATTGATGGGTGTTTTTTACTATATTTGTTCACTTAATTCATATTTTTATTTCAGTTTTAGCAATTCAACTTAACTAATGTCTGTTATTATTTATATCAATTAATGTAGATGTTTTTAGTTTTAGTTAATGATAACACCACTGATTATTCTGAATGTTTTGCAATTTAAAATATATAAATATATATGCATTTTTAAGTTGTTTAAGCATTTTATTTCAGTTTTAGCAATTCAACTTCAATTAAACTGAACGAAAATGAGAAATGTTGCCTAACTAATGTCTGTTATTATTTATATCAATTAATGTAAATGTTTTTAGTTTTAGTTAATGATAACACCACTGATTATTCTGAATGTTTTGCAATTTAAAATATATAAATATATATGCATTTTTATGTTGTTTTAGCATTTTATTTCAGTTTTAGCAATTCAACTTCAATTAAACTGAACGAAAATGAGAAATGTTGCCTAACTAATGTCTGTTATTATTTATATCAATTAATGTAGATGTTTTTAGTTTTAGTTAATGATAACACCACTGATTATTCTGAATGTTTTGCAATTTAAAATATATAAATATATATGCATTTTTATGTTGTACTGTTTTTTACAATATGTTCATTCCCTCATTAAGGAATTCAGGAACACAGTCTTGTGCCTTTGTCTTATTTGCATGATTTAAATACTTTTTGCGTCCAATCAAATATTGTGTTTTATTCTGATCGTGATGTTTTAACCTTATTTTCCTGCACAGGACCTGCGTGAACGGCACAATGCTCTACTCCAAGGTTCACCTGTGGCACGGAGATCGCATCCTGTGGGGAAACAACCACTTCTTCAGGTAAGCTGCAGATTCGCACATCCGGTTCGGCGTCTCCTGTACATGTACAGGTTCATCAGAGTGAACGTGTCGTCCTCAGAATCAACCTGCCGAAGCGCAAGCGGCGCGACCGCTTAAAGGAGATGGAGAGGGATTGTTCCCGCGAGAGCTTCGTGGAGGCCGACGTGGAGACGGCCAGCGAGGCTTCGTCCGAGCAGGACTACAGCTACGAGTTTGCTCAGATGGAGGTCATGATGAAAGCTCTGGGGAACAACGGTACACGCTACAGCCTTTACTACACAATACACAGACACATGCAGGAGGCACTGCTTCACAGTATCATTTATATGGAAAATAAAACACATCTATATATACAGGGCCGGCGATTGCTATAGGCGAACTAGGCGGTTGCCTAGGGCGACAAATGTGTTGGGGGCGCTGGCGCCCTCTAGTGTCGCCCTTGGCCTACTTCCCATTAATCATAGAATAACAATGACAAGCGAAACAAAAACATGTTTATTAAACATGATCATCCTAAGGCGCCCCTCAGCCATACGTTTAATTACTTGTCAACCTGATTATTAGATTGAATGGATGATTATTGTCGATCATTTCCTAAAGGGGGGGCGGGGGTTAGTTGCGTTACGTTACGTTCTATGGTTACGTTAGGCAAGTGCTCGGCTGCTGCGCGCGCTGATCGAAAATGAAGCGGTCTAAACCCTCTGGTGCAGAGATACGAAAACGGAGAAAGCAACAAGATAAAAAGAAAGCCCAGTATAGAGGTAAGTCTTCTCATCTCATCCATTAAGGTGTCAAATGTTCTGGCCATCGGGACAACCGGGAGATTCCCGCCAGCCCGACGTGCTTTTTGGGCCGATACATACATCTCATACTTTTATTTTTCTATTTTTGTCTTAATGGCCCATAAAACTCGTACATCGGTGGCCCATTCGTTTTGTTTTGTTTTGCTTAATTGGCGGCGCTGGGTTACTTCCAAATATACAACTTACTTTCAAGTATAGAAATTTGTACAATAGCCTACTCTAGACTTGTAGTCGAGACCGCCTAAACCGAGACCAAGACACTACCAAGACCAGATGGTATCGAGACCAAGACAAGACCAAGACCAAGACCAAGACAGACCAAGTCGAGACCAAGTCGAGACTAAGACCGAGACCAAGTCGAGACCGAAGGGGAAAAAACATTAGTGTTGAAGCTAAGCAATAACTTTTTAAATGTTGTTTTGCATTTGCCTGCCTATCTCCGCTGATTTCGAAGTCTCCAAATGAATCCATTCTGCAACTTTTAAATACATAATTATATTTTTAAAAACGAAATTATAGGCTTAAGTGCAGGATCCGAAAGTTGGTCGTTTTTGTCGCTATGGTTACACACACACACACACACACACCGTTGGCGGTGCGCTCAAAGTCATCTGTCAGTTGTGCAGTTACCCAAAATCTCCTGAATGAAGGTAAAACCCATCATGTCACTGATATGTGTTTTACTAAATATTAATATATCAAAAACTGTACATGATATGTGTTTTTTAAATCAAGTGATCAAAGTGCTCGTTGCCGCTGCGATCAGTGGCGCGGATACAGTGTTTTCTCGCGTGGCTCGCGCGCACCGCACTGTCTTCACTCGGACGCGCGCTTCAATACGTTGCGGATATCGTCGTGGATATTGTAGTATTGTATTGCTCAATCCCCTGACCACTATGTCGGTCTGAGACAACGAGACCTAGACAAGACCGAGAGGTCCGAGACCAAGACAAGACCGAGACCAAAGACCGTCAAGGCCGTGACAAGACCGAGACCACGTAAAAGTGGTCTCGAGACATACATTACTAGCCTACTCATGAAAGTTTCCTTTATTTTTCAGTGCATTTGTTTTACAATATAGCCTATGGCAATTACTGTCATGGGATTAATATTATATCTATTATTATGTTGTAGTGTAATGTAGACAGAAACTGTAATTAAAAGAGGTTTGAATTTTTCTTTGTTCAATTTGCACACTGAATATGGGTTGGAGCTTTTAGTTTTGAACTCTCAAAGTGCACCAGATTGATGAATTTAACATTAAAATGCACAAAATTTTCTTACGGGGAAATACCCCCGAAACCCCCTTAACCTTGTAGCAGCCCAATAGATTGTAATAATAGTAGGCCTAGTGGTGGTAGTAGTTGTAATTTATCTACTAAAAGTTATTTATGGTCAGATTCTCATTGCTGATTATTATGAAAATGCAATAAAAATAAAATAGTAACTTATTTTTAATAAAAAAATATTTAAATTTAGCTGATTATCACATCTATTGCATACAAACCTATAACAAAATGAATTTACCTGCTTGTATTCTCATTGCTCATTTTTATGAAAATGCAATAAAATTAAATATATTAAAAATATATTAAAATAAAATATATTATTTTTAATTTATAAATAATTTAGTCCTGTCAAATCGATTAATCACGATTTTATCGCATCTAACATAAAAGTTCATATATATACACACACATACACACATATATATTTACAAACTTGTATGTTTACATCGCGATTAATCGATTTGACAGCACTAAAATACTAAATAAAAAAACGAAATAAATTAAAATGTACCGGATTATCTTTTTTTTTCAGTACAAACAAGTGGGAAAAAAATCTCCCAATGCAACACTTATATTTTCTGAATATATTATCTGAAGAAAAAAACAACAACTAATATCTAGCTCAAGTAAATATATCTTGTTTCAAGTATGTTTAAGGTAGTGTTTCTTTTCTGGAGAAAGCCAGCCATTAATATCAGTGTTATTTTAGTATTATTTATATTGTATTATAGTAAGTGTTGTATTGCATTGTATTAGCTTTTACTTTTTATACTTTCCTATTTCATTTTAGTTTAAGTTTTAGTAATTGTATTATGTGCTTTTGTCATTTTTATTAGCTTTTTAAAAATACATCTATCTTTATTTCAGTTTTAATTTACATTAAACGTATTTTATTTCAGTTAGTTGACGAGGCAATATTTCTTGCGTTTACGTTTTACATCTGATTATTTACGTTCTGTTATGTTTATAACAGAAACAGTGAGTTGATAGTTACACTGATTTATAGATGTATCAGATACAGAAAGCGTGTGTGTTTGTGTGAAGCTGTTGTTGGCCGTGTCTCCACACAGACCCCATGCAGAACGTGGTGCAGGTGCTGGAGAAGCAGTATCTGGAGGAGAAGCGTCTGGCTCTGGAGGAGCAGCGCCTGATGTACGAGCGGGAGCTTCAGTCCCTGCGGCAGCGGCTCTCGCCGGAGAAGGTGTCGCAACACCAGCGCTGCAGCAGCGACCGCCTGCCCTTCCCCACACACTCCACACACAGCAAAGAGCGGCTGTGGACAGAGGAGAGGTGAGAACGCAGACTCGCCCTTTAAAGCTACAATCGGTCGTTTTTTCACGCCAGAGGTCGCATTTTCGAAACGATAACAAAGACGAAGCTTGATGAGGCTATGAAGGAGAGTGGAACGATATGGGAGATGATGTTTTCACCATCCGGAGATTTATGGAATTCACGAATCATATAAATTATTTATCAGCTAATAATAGTGATGCACCGATGTGAAAATTGTGGCCGATACCAATAACCGATATTAATATTGCTGTGATGGCCGATACCGATATTTACCGATGTCGATATCTCTGTATAGAAAACACATAGCGAGGATTAGGGCTGCACGATATCGGTAAAAAATTACATGGCGTTATTTTATTTTTCTGCGATTATATATTGCGTATATATAAAAACAATTTCACCAGATGACTTGAATAGCTCTATTTGGAAAGAATGAATCATTCTAGAATGACTGGGGTGGTTTTGTCATGGATATTGATACTTGTTTTATTTCTCCGTTTTTCCCAAAGCCTGCTTGCCTCAGTTGATCTACGTTTACGTTTTTTTGGATTTTCTGTTCTCGCCAATCAATAATCGTGAACCATGATGACTGAACGACACAACAGCGGCCGCGGCGAGATATTGTATCATAGATATGGATACATAGATCCCTTTTAGCGGCTTACCAATAGCGGCCCATTGAAACGGCCGATAATGAGGCATCTAAGTATTATATCTACGTCATTGATATGCAACAATGTCAAGGGACGAGCAATTATTTAAAACTCTAATTTCTCTGGATTTACAAATCCTTGGGAATTTTTGGAATAATGTAATTACACAACTGCATGAAATATATCACACTGTGGAAGTGTTTTTTGAATACTTTATTACAAAAATCTTACATATTGTTGCTTTAAATCCTGATTGGATATACCATTCAAAATATGCATATCAGGTGCTGCATAATCCTGCTGTGTACCTTTTTGAAACAGCCTTCGTGTTGGAGATTGTGCCTATGATGCTCCCTACATAGGCAGCTCACTAGGTTTTGGAGTGGTTTCATATTGTTTACAACCTGTGATTTCACACTCTATCTCGCCCAAACATACAGACACATTCTCACACAGAGAAGTGAATCCTTGTAACACTCACATTTAACATTCCCTGGACATTTTTGCTCCATTCACCCAGCCATGCTTTCTCGTGGTCCGCTAGTGTGTCGTGGTCTCAGTGAGGGGCTCGTGTGAATGTGCCTCTTGTGTTCTTCAGGGACGAGCTGTTCCGCCAGAGTCTGTCTCGGCTGCGCGAGCAGGTGGTGAGAGCGAACGCACTGGTGCGAGAGGCCAACTTCCTGTCCGAGGAGATGCTCAAACTCACCGATTACCAGGTCACGCTGCAGATACCAGCCGCCAACCTCAGCGCCAACCGCAAGGTGCGAGTACACACATTTACATTCCTTCATTCAGCAGACGCTTTTATCCAAACCGGCGGACAAGCAATTTGTCTTAAGACCAAACAATACAGACACCCAAAAAGACACCAAGCAAAGTTACCCATTTATTTATTTTCTCATTTACTTATGTGTTTATTAGCTTATTTATTTATTTTACTTATTCATTCGTTCAGTCATTCATTCATTCATTTACTCGTTTATTTACTTTATTCTTTTGTTTACTTGTTTGTTTGTTAATTTTTTTCAATATTTTTTTTCTCATTTATTACTGTTTTTATTCTTTTATTTAGTCCTTTATTTACAGATTTACATTATTTATTAATTTGTTTATTTCCTTATTTATCTTATTTATTTACTTTATTAATTAGTTTGTTTACTCATTTATTTATTTATTTTTGATTTTATTCTTATTATTTTTTATTTCCATAATTTTTCTTGTTTATTTATTTTTTATAATTTTATTTATTTATTTACTAATTTATTTAATTATTTACATTATTTTTTATTTAGTTGTTTTTTATTTACTCATTTATTTATTTGCTTATTTATGTTTCTTATTCATTTAATATTTACTTATTTATTCATTCATTAACCAACAATAAATAAAGTAAATAAATATATAAGTAAATTAATGAATAAATAAGTAAATATTAAATGAATAAGAAACATAAATTAGTAAATAAATAAATGAATAAATAAAATGATAAAAATAAATAAGCAAGAACATTTTTAGAAATAAAAAATAATAAGAATAAAAAAAATGTAAAAAAATTTATCATTTATTTATTTTTCTCATATATTTACATGTTTGTTTATTTATTTACTCATTGATTTATTTATGTTTTTCATTAATCCATTCGATAGTCTCTGTATCATTTCCTCTGTGATATTAAATTGATGTACTGCAATGATTTTAACCCCAGCGTGGCGCTATAGTCAGTGAACCAGCGATCCAGGTGCGACGTAAAGGGAAGGGAACGCAGGTTTGGACCATCGAGAAATTAGAGAACAAACTAGTGGACATGAGAGACCACTACAGGGACTGGAGGGAAGGCACACAGGAAGTGGTAAGAAATCGAAAGAAATTTATACTTCAGCAAAGTCTCATCAAATTGATCAAATGTGACAGTAAAAATTGTAATGTAACAAAAGATTATGCTTAAAATAAATGCTTTCCTTTTTGAACTTTCTATTCATAAAAGAATCCTGAAAAAAAAACATTTTCCACAAAAATATAAAGCAGCACAACCCATATTGATAATAATCATAAATGTTTCTTGAGCAGCAAGTCAGCATATTAGAATGATTTCTGAATGATCATGTGACACTGAAGACTGGAGTAATGATGCTGAAAATTCAGCTTTGATCACAGGAATAAATTACAGTTTAAAATTTATTTAAAATAGAAAACAATTCTTTTAAATTGTAATAATATTTCACAATATTGCTGTTTTTTGCTCAAATAAATGCAGCCTTGGTTGGTGAGCATAAAAGACAGACCCCATTTTCTGTAAAAATCCCTTTTTCCTGCATTTTCACCAGGTTAACCTGCTGCACAATAAGGCAGGAGATCCGTTCTATGAAGCTCAAGAGAATCACAACCTCATCGGCGTAGCAAACGTCTTCCTGGAGTGTCTGTTTCATGACGTCAAGCTGCAGTATGCGGTTCCCATCATCAGCCAGCAGGGAGAGGTGGGCAGGATCAGTGCATGTTCACCTGCTGAACCGCTGTTCAACGGCGTCTCTCATTCCCCTGCTGCTGCTTTGGCAGGTCGCCGGTCGTCTGCATGTGGAGCTGGTCCGTGTGAGCGGAGTCGTGCCGGAGCGTCTGGCGGGAGGAGACGATTCCTCCGAGAACTCCAGCGAGAGCAGCGGATACGAGGTCATGGACAATAATGGAGAGATCGTCCACATGGCCAGAAAACTCACCTGCAGGGTAAAGGGCTCAGTATTTTGTCAATTTTATACTCAATTATTTTATCAAACTCACTCATCTCTGCATCTGCATATATATATATATATATATGTATATGTGTGTGTGTATATATATATATATATATTTACACATTTCTTGGCCAAATTGTGCAGCCCTGCAAACAAACACAGCAAACATGCCATTGTTTTTCAGCAACAGTAAATGTATGAAAATCATCTGTTGTCTAATTATAACTTTTTAATGAAAATAATTTTTTATACATACAAAAATGGGATCATATTTGTGGTGAAATCAAACAAATCTGATCTACTGGTCCTGTGTTTAATTGAAAGAATCAGATGTGTTGAGTGTAGTGTTATTTTAGTTAATTGAAATACTATTAAAGTTTTTATTAATATTTTGAATTAGTTTCTATTTTTATATAAATCCATTTATTTATTTATTTTAATAATTTAATAATCCATTTTTAATAATTTAGTTATTTTGTAAAAAAAAAATATATATATTTTTTGTTTATTTTGTAAAATGTTTTTTTTTTTGTCTGTATAGTTGTTAATAATTTTTATTTCAATTTTAGGTTTAGTTATTTTAGTTAAACTAAATGAAAATGAGAAATGTTGCCTTGATAACTAGCTGAAACAAAACAAGTCTAAGTTTTTTTATGTTTTACTTTATTTCAGTTAACTTTTATTTTATTTCAAGCAACAAATTGTTTTTTTTTATGGTTTTAGTTTGAGTTAACTATAGTAACCCTGGTTCAGTGTTGTCATAAACACTCACTAGTGTTCTCCTTGTGTCAGGTGCGGATCCGAGAGGCGTCTGGTTTGCCTCTCAACCTGTCCAACTTCGTCTTCTGTCAGTACAGCTTCTGGGAACAATCAGAGCCGGCTGTGGCTCCGCCCATGATCAGCCCGGACACGCCCACCCCGCGCACCCCCGACGCCGAGTTCACTGTGCGCTTCCACCACTGCAGGGTAAAAAACTCTTACAGAAGACATTTACTAAAGAGCCAGTGCTGTTTTAGTATCATTGAGATACTGTTTTAGTTTTTATTCATATTTTGAATGTTGTTTTTTTATTTATTTATTTTCCATTTTCATTTGTTTTAGTTAAAGTTTTTGTAATTTAGTTGTGTGGGATTGCCTTTTTAGTAAAAAAAAAAAAAAAAGTCTATTAATTAATTTTTAGGTTTAGTTATTTCAGTACATTAAGTTAAACTTAATATAAATGAGAAGTGTCAACTTGGTAACTAGATTTAAAAATGTTTTCTTATATTTTATTTCAGTTAATGTTAATTTTATTATTATTTTTTTTTTTTTTTGTCATACAACAAAAATGTTTCTTATGGTTTTAGTTTAGTTAATTATAATAAAGTACCCATCCACATGAACTTGTATATGGGGAAACCGGATGTATTTCAGCTCAACACACCCGTTTTATTCTTTTATTTATTTTATTTTTATTATATTTTTTGTATTATTATTACTAGTGCTCCTAGTGATGAAACAAGATCGAGTGAAGGTGAAATGCAAAAAAAAGAGGTTTTTATTTATTTATTTGTATGTATTATTATTGTTTTATTTATTGTTATTACTTGTGCTCCTAGAGATGTGATAACACCTCTAACACCAAGTTAGTTTTTTATGTTGAGTGTCTGTAAATCTAATAAGAGTGTCTGTTTTGACATGGACCAGTTCCCCTCTGTTGCACAATCAAGCACTCAGATGCTCTTCAGAACCGGTAAAAATCCAGTGGGTTTCTGCTTATGTTGGCAGGATTTTGTGGTGCATGTGACGGAGGAGTTTCTGGAGTTCATCTCAGATGGAGCTCTGGCCATCGAGGTTTGGGGTCATCGGTACGCAGGTAACGGCCGCTCCGTCTGGGAGCTCGATGCAATGCAGGACAAGACACGGACGCTCAGAGACAGGTGCATTTACTTACAGATACACACACTTTTTCATGCATGTAGACTAGTGTTGTCAAATGTACTTTGGTGCCAAGACGATGCTTAAATTTTAAAGTTGGCATGAAATGGAAGTTGCAATCGTATTTTCGGTCCCACTTTATATTAAGTGGCTTTAAGTACAATGTATTTACATCGAATAATAAGTACAATGTACTTGTGTTCATGTTGTATTGTAAAACAATTTTGCTGCTTTTGAGGTGTGATACGGGTAAGGTTAGGGTCAGGTGTGGTGGTATGGGTCGGTTTAAGGGTGGGTTAAGGTGTAAGGGAAAGGTCAACAGTGTAATTATACATGTAATTACTTAAATTAATTACGTCTGTAATAACATGCAGGTATTTTCAAAATATAAGTACAATGTAAAAACATGTAAGTCCATTGTATCAAATTATTAATTTCAATGTAAGTACATTGTACTTAAAGCCACTTAAGATAAAGTGGGACCGTATTTTCTTCCCTATTGTGACATATATCTGAGTGAAACCGCTTCCCGAACAAGAACAAATGTAGGCTGAGACTTAATTTTGTCCGTAGGGAATTGATTAGATGGTTGTGGTTTGCTATTGGTGGAAGACATGTGAGTGACAGGTTGTCAGTAAACACATCATCAGAGAAGAGAAGAGATGTCACTGCAAGAGAGAGACGAAGTTATTTTAAGATTACAAGGGCACATGAATTAAAAAAATTATGATGTGCATGGATGAATCATTTATACAAAATACTGCCAATATACCATAAAAAAGATGTCCATATTGATTTAATGGTGACTTAAAAAACCTAACGATACCAGCCTTTCAAAACACTCCCAAACATATTTGATATTAAAAGTTTTAATAAACTTGAATAAAAGTTTTTTTTTAATGGTATACACTGCAAAGTTTCAGGAGTGATAACTCTAATAAAATGCAAGACTGAATCTGAAATTACAACGTTTGGCATTGTAATAACCAGCAAGTGACGGGACAAAAAAATCGGATATTTCTAAATACTGTAGATCTGAGAAATAAGTCTGTAACCTGTAATGGGCTTCTGTGCTTTTCATTTCTTCTTTTGGTAACACTTTACAATAAGGTTTAATTTGTTAACATGAGTTTACTACATTAGTTAACATGAACTAACAATACTTCTAAAGCCATTTATTAATATTAGTTCATTTTAATTTCAACATTTAGTAAAATTGGTCCCCGAGGACCATGAAATTTGACTGGTATTGGGAACGACTACTGAACGTTTGGTATCGTGGTAGTCTTTCATACATGTAGACGTGTGTTCAGCTGTGTGTGTGTGTGTGTGTTTGACAGGTGGAGTGAAGTGTCTCGTAGGATAGAGCTGTGTGTCTCCATACAGGAGTTGAATGAGCAGGGCGAGTATTCGTCTGTAGAGCTGCATCCCAACAAAGACATCAGCACTGGAGGCGTGTTTCAGCTGCGGCAGGTGCGACACTGGCACTTCAATCTCATTCACAATATCATAGAGGCTACATTAATCCAGATACATTTGAAAACGGCATTTTCATTTCAAAATGCTCTCCATTTACACTAGCGTTTCTCGCCCACACACACAGGGTCACTCCCGGAGGCTTCAGGTGTGTGTCCAGCCGGTCCAGCACTCGGGGACTTTGCCGTTGATGGTGGAAGCCGTTCTGTCCGTCTCTATCGGCTGTGTTTCCGCTCGCTCCACAAAACTACAGAGACCTCTGGACAGCTATCAGGTGATTACAACGGACACAACACACTGTTAGAGCAGAATCTGGAGCAAACCAAAAACTTTTTTGTGTAGTTTAAGGTGAAGTACTGAATTAACTAAAACTAAAACTGAACTATATAAATATATTTAAAAAAATAAAAATGACAAACACACAACATAGTTACTAAAACTTGATTAAAACGAAAATACAAAAATAAAAATCTAATTCAAAATATTAACAAAAACTATAATTTTATATCGATGATATTAAAATAACATTGATCTGGAGCATCATTCACTTACAATGTTAGATATTAGTAAAAGGTTTTCCTTTTTTTTCTTCTTTTTTTTTTACAAAAGTGCAACAACTTTGTGATGTGTAAAACAGAAATACAAATCTGGTTTAAAAAAAAAGGGAAAAAGAGAAAAAAAAGAATAAAGAAATAAATATGCATGCTGTAATGTGACATCAAAATATAATTTCATACAATTTGTACCACTTATGTACCAATTGGTGTTTATGAAAATTTAAGCAGCTCTACAGAAGACAATAGTGTTATTATTCTGCTCAAGTCAATTCAATATTGATTCAGTTCAGTTCAATGTTTCAAAGTTAATCAATTATGCCTTCAATTTCAGCCATTTGGTTCAATGCTGATTCAACTATGAAAACATGTTAAAATGACACCATGCATCCCTGAGGAGTCCTTCACATGGAGTGTGAAAATCAAGCTGTTGATCTAGTTGTTGTTGTTGTTGTTTGTGGCTCCTGTTTGTTGCCACTATATCCCTTCCTTGTACTCAACAGCTTGATATGGTTGGTATTCATCTTTCTTGAATGCCGGTTCTGGAAACATGACCCCCCAAAAGAGTTATAATTGATTGATCAGTTGTGATTTTGTCCTTTCAACATCAATTTTCAACATGAAGGGCTTTGTAGGGATGCATTGCTTCATTTTAAAGTGCCCCTATTGTGATGATTGCCTATTTTGTGTGTTAAATAGCTGTTTGTGAATGTAAAAGGTCTGATTCGTTTCAAAGAACATGATAAATGGAGTTATTGTCTTCCAAAAGAGAGAACCGATCTGAACTGCCTGAAACGAGTCGTCAGTAGTTCTAGTCTTACTTCCTGGTCAAACCTACGTAGGTTTGTAACAAATGTGCATAACGTCTATGTCAAGAAGAGGCTGTTTTCTGCGCTACGAGAACAAATCCACTTTGCATGCACTTCCATAGGATGAGATTGATACGGTAAAACCGATGCCATCATTATGGTTCAGATCACTGTGTATGAAGGGCTGAAGAAGATCCGGAGCTCAAATTCACATATGGTGCTGGCCGTTTCGTATAGACCAAGCGGTAGACCAATCACAACAGACTAGGCCATCTGACCAATCAGAGCGGAGTAGACCTATCACAACAGACTAGGCCATCTGACCAATCAGAGTAGAGTAGACCAATCACAACAGACTAGGCCATCTGACCAATCAGAGCGGAGTAGACCAATCACAACAGACTAGGCCATCTGACCAATCAGAGTAGAGTAGACCAATCACAACAGACTAGGCCATCTGACCAATCAGAGCGGAGTAGACCAATCACAACAGACTAGGCCATCTGACCAATCAGAGTAGAGTAGACCAATCACAACAGACTAGGCCATCTGACCAATCAGAGTAGAGTAGACCAATCACAACAGACTAGGCCATCTGACCAATAAGAGTAGAGTAGACCAATCACAACAGACTAGGCCATCTGACCAATCAGAGTAGAGTAGACCAATCACAACAGACTAGGCCATCTGACCAATCAGAGCCGAGTAGACCAATCACAACAGACTGGGCCATCTGACCAATCAGAGCAGAGTACACCAATCACAACAGACTTGGCCATCTGACCAATCAGAGCAGAGTACACCAAGCTCTCGGAAAGGAGGGGTTTAGAGAGACCAGATACTTTATCAAACCAATTCAGACATTGAGAGATGATCCAAGGTTTTTTGAGCTTGGATGCATGTAAACCTATTGTAGGAGACTCCAAAACAAAATCAGGAACCTTTAAAATACCATAATAGGGGCACTTTAACATCTGTGTGAATGGGCGTTTAGAGTCATGTGAGAGTCAGTTCAGCAGAGTGTGTGACAGACTGTATTCTCTCCTGGCAGAAGGAGGAAGACGACGATATGGATAGTTATCAGGTATTCTGACTTCCTGCTGTCTGTCCCACACGCATGATGACAGTGAGCTGCTGAACATGTGCTTTCAGACAGGAGACAGTACGTGGGTCGCCTGGATGAAATTATAATCATCGCCCGTGTCTGAAAGCCTGATATTATAATCTTGCTGAGTTTAATGTGAGAAATGCTTCCAAAGGAGCTGTGAGATCCTAAACCTTTAAGTGTGGAGATTCCTGCACTAACACTCGGCTGTCTGTCACATGATCAGTGCATGGCTGCATGATTCCTGCATGTTGAAGTCCATTTGAACCGTACTAGATGGAGCTGCTTCTGACGGCTTCATCTGTGTGGGTTTGAATGTAAAAACGGCACACTGGATTTATTTGTTTATTTTGGTATTGTGCAAGGATTATATTGCAATTTGATGCTTGGCTCCAAATGTGCACCTGACACCGTGTCTACACCGGACGCTACAGGCGAATGTCTGATTCACGACGCCTCAGAATCAGCTGTGAGAAACATTTTAAGCTGACCTTGATCAAATGCTCAGAAGTTACTGAAATACTCAATGAATTAAATTTTAAATAATATAGAGCTACACTGCAGGCCAAGAGGGGTTTTTGGAGCAGGCAAATGCCTATTTAATAGTAACATGTAACAGATAAAATCAAATAATTAATCAAAATAAATGTACACAAATGATATTTGTAATTTTAGACAGTGAAAATCTGTCAACAGAAACAACATCCTTATCTAATGTACTCATGAGCCGACGTCATTTTATGCTCATGTATGAAATTCTGTACATGTAATGTTGCAAAAACTAGCCCGACAGACCGTCGGCTTGGTGTGTCACGGCCCTTATCATAGATATAAAGTTGATTATATCAAAAGAGTTATTTCATTTTGACATGTTGCGACACGCCACTCGCGTTACTGTAGACACGGTGTGAGATGGATGTGCTGTATTGTAATCTCTACAGTGGGAATGTAATTCAAATGGGATTTTCAGATTATTTTCCAGTCACTTTAAATTGTGAATTGAAATGAGCTTAATGGTGTTAATCGCCCACTGATGGCAGATGAAATAGTGGTCTGCAAATGCAGTTTAGCTGAGGTCTCACTGTTCTTCTGCTGTATGTGAACAGGAGGAGGACCTGAACTGTGTGCGGGAACGCTGGTCTGATGCCCTCATCAAGCGCAGGGAATATCTGGAAGAGCAGATCAAGAAGATCTTCAACAAGTCAGGTTGGAGTTTAAAGCATGTGTCATTCTGGGATTTTCTGGTGACAGTTGTTTACATACAGTTTGATTAGAGTTATGAAGCTGTTACTGCTGTTCATGAGGATAAATGTCTCATGTTTGATTACCGGCATTCTTCACAATATCTTCTTTAGGGTTCAACAGAATTAGACAGTAATTACACAGTGAATAACAGTTTGGTAATGCCGTCTTCTCAAGCTCATAAACCTTGGTGTTATTTTTGATGCTCATTTGACTCTGGATGCACATACTAGGAGTATCTCAAAATCTGCATTCTACACTCTATTAGGCTGTGTCCGAAATCTCCCACTACTCACTATATAGTGGACTATATAGTGAGCTCGCCATTTTGTAGTGCTATCCGAATGTCTAGTGATGTTTATTATACCCTATATAGTCCACTCAATTTATCCCAGAATGCATTTTGAGAAGTAGTGTACAACCGATGGTCACTAACCCAAGCCCTACATACCATCATGCATTGCGCTGATCGTAAAAGACCCATCAGCATCATCTTCATCTTTAACTTACAATTTGACGACGTCTCGCTAGCGTAGCAAGAACAGCACGTCGTTTTCTGTGTCTAGAAATCCTGTTTCTTTTGCTAATCCGCAAAATCTTCTGAATCACGAGAACAAACAAACAAAAAAGATAAATATTGAGTGGCATCTCCACAGAGTCTAAAAGCTGTTTTATTAAGAGTATTATGAGCAAGATATTTAATAACGTAGATCTGTTTTTTTTTTTCCTAATGTCGACAGGCAAGAGAAAACGGTGTGGCGCGAAAATTAAAATATATGAAATATGTGTATTAATTTTATTTATGTTTATAAGTTATAATCATGTGTGGAGTAACGGATTATAACAGAAACGGCCAGAAATGACTTTTAATTTTACAATTTTGGAGAAATAAGCTCAATATAATGTAATGTATTTATATATTAAAAAAAATCTATTTAGCCCAGAGCTGGCTCGGCACCAGCTGACAGATGATGGCGCGTTTAAATAGTGCGACAGTAATGACGTAATCAACGGCGCCGAGAGACGATCGAGTAGTGTCCGAAAGTGGTGTTTCTATTATGCTGGTGAGCCCACTATATAGTGCTTTACTCCCTACCCCCTACATAGGGGTTAGGGAGTAGTTGTTTGAGTGGAGATTTCGGACACAGCCTTAGACAAAAAGTTGGACCCTAGACCAGTGGTTCTCAATCCTGGTCCTAGGGAGCCACTGCTCTGCACAGTTTGTATGTCTCCCTCATTTAACACACCTAATTCAGATCATCAGCTCGTTTGGAAAGAGCTTTATTAACTGAAGTGGGTGTGTCAGATAAAGGAGACCTATAAAATGTGCAGAGCAGTGGCTCCCTAGGACCAAAATTGAAAACCACTGCCCTAGACCCTAGGATTCTTGACTCAATTTTAAAGAGCTCTTTGTAACAAAAAGGTTCTATATAAGGAGAAATGTCTCGTATGATTGCATAATACTTTCATGTTTAACATGTTATTTAAATTTTTTCTCTAGTGATAAAGTATGTTTACGAACTGCTTACTTCATAACATTTAATTAAAATTAAAAATTAATTCAAACAAAATGAATTAATTAAAACTAAATCCATAAAATGATCCCATGATAAGAACCCCTAAAATGTTCTATATATGAAGTGCCTGACGGAACCCGTTAAGCTTCTATATAGAACCTTTGAGTGTAGAAGAAACCTCAGCAATTTTTCCAGAATCGGAAATTTTAAATAAAAACATTATTATTATTAGTCATAGTAGTAGTAGTATATAATGGGCTGCCTTGCATCATGGTGCTGGTGTCATGCTTGTGCATGTGATTTTCAGAGAAGTCTGAGGAGGACGTGGAAAGAGAGGCCAGACTGGTGGAGCAGTGGGTGGGTCTGACGGAGGAGAGGAACGCAGTGCTGGTTCCGGCCCCTGGCAGTGGCATCCCAGGGGCCCTGGCGCACTGGTGAGAACTTATCCACTGCACTGACACGTTTTAAAAAATGAAATTTTCCTCAGTCAGGCTTTTAACTAGCAAGATTATATGCCTACTAGCTATTATTAAGGCAAGACACTACATGCGAAACCAGTGTCTTCTGGTCAATTATGGGCTATTTTGTCTCCTTTTTCAGACTGGTGGTAAGAAAACATCCAGAATACACTTTTGAGTGCTTATTTTTATTACACCTTATCTATTTGTATCTGTAGATTTCAATTAGAATACGTATCTTTAAAGCCGGTGAGTTTTGAAATCTCCACTTCAGCAGCTTCACATTCACTTTTCACAGTTTTATTTTATATCTATATTCTGAAGGATTCTTCATATATCATTCGCCTGATTTATATCATATTTTATTCCTAAAAACATAGTGATTTTTTTTTTTTCTGTCTGCTTCAGTGTTTTCTGATTTATAGAGTGATAAAATGAGATATTCAACCAAATGAAACAGGAATTGTGATCCTGGCTTTATCCAGTGTTTAGATTTCTGTTCTGGAAATGTATGAAAATGAGTGCATATTTAATTAGATATGCCTAAATTGCATATTTAAACATAACATTTCAGAAAACTTCCAGATTCTCATGACTGTAATGCATTCAGACATTCTCATCATTAGATTCACTTTACTGTAATAGTCATTTATTTTTATTATAAATTCACATAAAATATAATAATATGCTAAATTTATTTAACTTAAGTAATTTTCTATCACCATTTCTTCTAGTTTTGAACCTACACATTACAAGAAATTGAATAACATGGGTTATTAAACAGTATTATTATTTATTATTTACTCACAGTGTTATTATTTAAAGTCAAAACATGCAGTTCACAACCTTTTTAATGGGCTTGTAGCGATTCTGAAAGTTAACATTACTTAAATGACAAGCAAGGATGAAAACCTGCTATTGAATAAGAGTTTTAGGGGAAAAGTGAGACTAGATACTAAACTCTGTTGTTGTTGCTCAAGGGTTCCTCCTAGTGGCATGGAAGCTCATATTCCTGTGCTGTTCCTGGATCTGAACGGTGAGATATATTGATCTTCAGGGTTTAAGAGCTTAAGGTTTTGCTGATTTGCATGCCCCTGCTAGATCAATAATTTAGACTTGTAAAGGAGACGTTTCTGTGTGATTGTTATTTTAAGCTGTAATGTCTGTTTTGCAGCTGATAACCTGACAGTTAATGATCAGCTGACGTGTCATCATCACGCCGCCGGCGTGAACTCAATTCTTCCCAAAGAGCACGGCAGCCCGTTCTTCTACCTTCCCATCATCAGACACAGCGATGATGAGGTAACACAAATTATGGGAAATAACATAATAATGATTAGAGTCTATATATTCTGATTTCTCATACGTACACGTGATTACTCTCAGGTGTCGGCTGTGTGTTCCTGGGATTCATCCATCCACGACTCCATCCACCTGAACCGGATCACGGTGCCGAACGAACGGATCTACCTGATCGTGAAAGCCACGGTGCAGCTCAGTCATCCGGCCTCCATGGAGCTGGTCCTCCGCAAGAGAATTGCAGTCAACATCTACAACAAACAGGTCTGGAAACAGTCAAACAGCTTGTGTACGGTAGTGTCAATGTGATTGGTCTTTATCACTTTCTTAAAAACATCGTCCTGGTCGAATTGTGCATTGATTCTACATTTACATTCATGTGTACAATCAATTGCCAAGGAATAAAATCAAGGTCCGTCTCACATTTGTTTTGTTGCACTTAAAAACGTTACATTACTGAAGGAAAATGGGTTTTACACTGACTTTAAATAGTACTGCTTTTTAAGATGCTGCTTTATCCATGAAATTCAATTTCTTGTAATGTGTAGGTTTCAAATTATTTTTCAAATTATATATGATTTATTAGAAAATTAGAACATCTGTTTAAGATTTAATGGTAGTAAATTGAATTGTTTAAGATTTAAAGAATACTTTAAAAAATATGTTAAATAAATGTACCATAAAGTATTTTTGTTATTATTATTGACTGTACTTCTTTCATTTAAGCAAATTAAAACTATTCCATATATTAATGTTAATCTAAAGAAATTATCCAATAAGAGTAATGAAAATTTAAAAAAAATAAAAACTCAAAAGGAAAATCTGTGGATGCATTACAGTCATTGTCACTTGTCTTTGAAAATAATTTTATTGTTAAAAAACCCCCCCAAAAAACCACAATGGTCCTAATTGTGTGTTTTAGTACCATTGTGTTTTTTTTTTTGTGTTTTTTTTACAATAAAATTATAAATCTACATTATAAATCTTATAAATCTACATATATAGCCATTTTTGTTGAAGTTTATTGAGCTGTAAGGACATGTATGATTAGCATGTTAATGTTAATAATGTAAATATATGACTATATATGTCTTGTAGAGTTTCACTCAGAGTCTGAAGAGACGGATGTCTTTAAAGAACGTTCTCTACTCATGTGGAGTGACGTATGAGATTGTGTCCAACATACCAAAGGTACAAATTCGCATTGTTTTCTCTTCATATTCTACTTTCTGAATGCACCGAGCACACACATACACACACGTGTGTTTGTGAACAGGCGTCCGAAGAGCCGGAGGAGCGCGAGACTCTGGCCCTGATGGCAGCGCGAGGAGAGAGCGAGGAGACTCTTGATGGAGAGACGTACATTGAGAAATACACCCGAGGAGTGCTGGAGGTGGACAATATTCTGTGTCTGGAGAGACTCCGGCAGGTACGGCGTCGCTTTCTGGTAGATTTCGTCTTGCTACCTGCTGGTTTCGTGCATCTGGAGTGTTTAGTGTGTGTTTATGTGTTCGTTCAGGCCGTGACGGTGAAGGAAGCTCTCTCTGTTAAAGGCAGACACATACGGCGCAGTCTCAGCACGCCAAACGTCCAGCACGTAAGACCTGATCTACTCTCTGCTCATGGATAAAGACAAAACACTGTTCAATGTGTAACAGGACTTAAATCTGTAATGTATATTTGTTTAGACCTCTTGTTGTAAATCAGATGGGACAGGATGTGAGGATGAAGACATGAAGGTTAGTGAACACTTACTAAGTTCACAGACCGTGTGTTGCTGTTGTCAGTGTCTCTGTCTGAGCTTCGACTCCCTTTCCACAGGCTCAGTGTGACGGTCACGTGGACATCACTGAATCCAACTTGCATGAAGCTTCACTCAACAGTCCTCTCTCGAAGGAAACGCCTGTTAAAAACAAAGAGAATCATGGTAAATGTATGTGTGATGGTGAACTTTTCCTTCACCAGGGATGATTTGAAAGACAATTTTTTTTTATTAAGCATTCTAGTTTTAATAAAAACCTTAACTGTAGTTAAAAATATTAAATTGTTGAATATTATTACTAAATAATTTAATATTATGAATTAAATTATTATATATATATATATATATATATATAAGGGCTGTCAAATTGATTAATCGCTCTAGCATAAACGTTTGTGTTTATATAATATGTACTGTGTTGTGTTTATATATACTGTATGTGTGTGTACATGTGTATATAAATATATAGTATATGTGTGTATGTATATGTACACACATATTATATAAACACAAACTTTTATGCAATTTGACAGCACTAATATAAATGCACAATGTAACTTTTCAAGACTTATAAAATTAAAAAATATTTACAATTGAGCACAAATTGTGATATTATTATTAATTACAATTTTATAATAAAATTAATAATATTAATAAAATATATTGTGTATTTTTTATTCAATTTTTATTTTTAAGAGGGTTGGAATGATAAATTTACCATAATTTCTCCATTGTAGGCTTGTCATACTCTTAGACCTCTTGACTTTTTCTTTGAAGCACATTTAAAAAGCCTCATTTCATGCACACTTTCTCCTCAGGGTCGGTGCCAGAGAGTCCGACGTTCTTTAACTCGAGTCCGTTTAAAGTTCTGTCGCCTCAACCGCCCAAGTTCCTCAAATCTCTCATGCCAGTGAAGGAGGAGAACAAAGTCAAGCGTTCTCTGGAGTCGCGGCCACTTCTGGGACAGGAGGTGACACACACATACACACACACACACACACGATGCTTCACTCTCATTATGTGTCTCATTCTCACTCATATTGTGCTTCCACCCTCCACCCTCCACATTCTCTTTTCATTATATTTTATGACCTGACTGATTCCAGGCTCTGATGCCTTTTTAAAAGAGTTTCTAATGGCCTTAAAACGGTTCCATTTACTCTTGGCCACATCAATGTGTCTCTGCAAAACGAATATAAATCTGATCTTCAATTCCCACGCTATATGCCAATTCAATGGAGTTCACATTAACGAAATTAACAGATACGAGCTGCATTTTATTTATCATCGGCTAATTTAAATGTCAAAGACCGCAATAGGAGAAAGAGCTGCATCAGATGTGTAAAGGAGTTTGAACAGTGCCGGGAATTCCTCCGTCACACACACAAGATCTGCTACAAGGATACCGTACTGTTAATAGGCAACTTAGCTCCTAAAAACAGGTTTGCTTGAGCATTCTGTCCTTTTTAGGGTCGCATCTTGTGACATCATTTCCCGTTTTTGGTTCGTTTAGATCCGTGTTGTGTTCATATTTCAGTCGAACCACACCAGAGTTCATTTGAAAGTAAAACGAGACCCATCTTTTCAGCGCCTGTCGTCTTGTTTGGTGTCACCAGGGTTCAGATGGCAGCATTCACACTTATTAAAAAAGGAAAAAAGTCGGCACACCATGGCTCCAAAAATATGAAACATTTAATGGTAGACTCACACACAGGTGGTAACCATTACATTTTTCATATTTTTGGAGCCATGGTGTGCCGACTTTTTTCCTTTTTTATTAATTTCCTTGTTGAGCACCCAATTTGAGCAACATATTGCTTTGCTGTGGATGTGCGTGCTTTGGATCTGATCTTACAGCGTTCACACTTATTCAAATGAACCACACTAACAGAGCAATCACAACAGTGTTTGTTTTAATCAAACCAAATTTGCCAAGTGTGAACACACCCTTAGACTCACTACTTTTAATGAAGATGATTGACTGTGTGTTGAGCTTCAGGATACAACGGCAAACTTTCAGTTTCATTTGCAGAAGCTCGCACAAACTGCCACAAACGAAACTGAAAGTTTGCCATTGCATCTGAAGCTCAACACACAATCATCTTCATTAGACAGAGTGAGACTAAATGATCAATTACCAGTCATGAATTACCAGTGCTGATGCAGCGCGGCCTTTGATCTTGATATTAGCTGATGATAAAAAAGATGCAGCTCATATCTGTGGCTTTTGTTGACATGAACTACGTTGACTTTGCATGTAGTGCAGGAATTGAAGATCAGATTTATACTCGTTTTGCCGAAACCCAATTACATTCATGAAGCTTCAGCCAGGATCCAAAATTAACACAAAATTAAGTTCCAAATGTGAGTAAAAGAGTTATTCACTAATTGGCTGAAAATATCATTACTGTCTGCTAAAGAAGAATTAACCACCCAAATGAAAACACAAGGAACACAAGTATAATATTTGAATAAAAATAATGCAAAATATATCATTTTATTCAGTGAGGAATATTTATTGCTTGTGAATCTCTTAATTCATCTTCTATTAGATGGTGTGGAAGTTAATTTCTGGACCCTGTACCCAGCATGCCTCAGTCCCTCAAGCCTGTTCATTTATTCAGACTGACCTGTATATGATACTGAACCTATTAACCAGCAGTATGAGTTTAAAGCAATAGTTCACATAAAAATGTAAATTCACTTTGCCTTTATGTACTTACCCTCATGTCGTTCCAATCCAGTATTATTTACTTTCGCATATGAAACAAAAATAGATGCTGCTCTTTCATGCAAGGAGAGTGTATAGTGACTTATACTAGTGTTATTTTAATATTATTTATATACTATTATAGTTATATATTAGTTATTATATTATTAATTAGCTTTTGTTTTTATATTTTCAGTTGTCGTTTTAATTTTTACACATTTTGTAATGTGCTTTTGGCATTTTTATAATTTCTCAACCGTTTTACACGTAAGTTTAAAATATTCTAGCTGAGTCCCCAGCATGAGTTTTTTAAGGCGACTGTTATAATTAGAAAATATAACATTATTTCCATGGCAACGCCTCATGCTTGTGTCACACCGCAGCCACAATAGCGCTGTATGACTGATGTATTGCTTTTATTTCATTTATCATTTTCTATTCAAAATACTCACAAACTTGTAAACCCCTTAAGTGTCACCGGCCCACCGGTGGGCCCAAATCCATTACATTTTTAAAACAGTAATATCCTATACTAAACCTAAACTAATATTGACAAACTATATATCATTTGAAAGTTTACAATCTCTAGTTTCCATATTTTGTGATTGATTTTCAAAATAAATTACAGAGGAGCCGTAATTTATCAATTTGCAACAAGAATATTTTCATACTCCTAAGGCGTGTTTAGACCTTTATTTTGAAATAGTGATGAACATGAAAAATTATGAAAGAAGGGTAGAAACCTCAGTTTGTTTTCATGCCAAGAGTTCAAAAGATAGCATCCATTCAATTATTTTAGAAAAAAAGGTCTGAAATTTTTTTAAATATAAAGAAAAAAATGATAGATTCACCATTTGTGATGTGGCAGGAAGCTATAACGCACATACATGTTCTTTTTGTGTTTCTTAGAGGTTGAATTCATATCAAAATCTGCCAAACTTCTCATATTACTTCTGAATAGGATGTCTACTTCATAAATTGTAAGAAAATTGTGGAAATAATGGTTCATATCACTCAAAACACATTTGGAAATGGAGGCGCCCTTATATGGGCAGTAATGGAGTCTGGTTGTCACCTAGTGAAAAAGTTTGGTACTGCGCCCAAACAAAATCTTACTGAAAGCTCATTTTTTGAGATATCAACCTAAAATTTGAAACACAACTTGTTCAGATTTTTGGCTTTGTTGTTTTTTTTTGCAGTTTTAGAGTCGCCCAGATTTTGAAAATATATATTTTATATAAAATATGAATAATTACATTTTTTAGATTGTACATTTTCATAAACTCAAACTTCTATAACCTTTTTTCTGTTTCACTTTCTTAATTTATTTCACTTCTACAAAAATCTGCCAAATGTCTTCTTTAAAACAAGACCAGTCTTACGTCTATATTCCAAAGCATTCTTGAATTACAACCATTTAAGTTCGAAATGTGCATTTTCATGTATATTCAAAAAAGGGGGGGTGACACTTAAAGGGTTAACTATATTATAAAATATCAGGTATTCCGATCGTCAAATAAATGTAAGTGAATGTGTTTTGTCATTTAAACACCTTTATAATGATCATGTTAGTTGATCTATAATGCAACTTAAAACACGTCATCAAATTATATTTGAAAGGATTGTTATTGCCGCTTACATAGACATAAACAATAATAACCCTGATTTATACTGACAAAAATGACATAAAAGTGTCAGTCGTCTATGACTCGTGTGATATTTAAGTCACAATCCACTAGCAATGTGTGGAAAAGAGCAGCTCTGACATAATACAAAACATCTGATTTTGTGTTCATTGAAAAAGAAAAAAAAGGAATGTCATGAGCTTTTGTGTGAACTATTCCTTTACTACTGATTCTATGGCTGATGATCTCATCCAGTGCATGTGTACTCGCTTGCCTCACATGTGATTAGGTGTCTAACTCAACAGCCTGTGTGAGTGTTCGCTGTGCTGCATGGCCTGTGTGAAGTGTGCTATTGTCACCTGATTGCAGAGCATGCGTTGGTTTGTGGAGAGCAGCGTGTTGGGCCTCACCGGCCCCTGGTCCGGCCCCTGGTCCAGACCCAGGGCTCAGAGCGAGGGCCACAGCAGCAGTGACATCATCTGCAGCAGGGCCAATCACAGACAGCCCAGATTCAGCACTGATCTCACTCACACACTGCCACACGCTGCTGTAAGTGAACACACGCATAACCAGTCTGATGCATGTCACTACCTGGACTTGCGTGCACACGCATACTAATTAATACTACTAGCCAGGGCCCTGTTAAAACACAGGAATACTCTGGGTTTTTTACAACATCTGTGGTGTGCTGTCAAATGCCACAGAAAATCATCTTCAGCCCGCATATTATATATCAGTCAATAACAAATGTCCAAGACAATGAAAAGCGAAACTCTTTTGTTTGTATTTTGGTGTCTTATATTTTTGAAATTTCAAACGCTTTTCAAGCTAATTTGTTAATATGCTAAGCGTAATTTAATTAAAAATATATAATTATTACTTGTATAATATATATTTAAATTAACGTTATATATATAACTTCAAACTTATTTTTGCATAATTATTGCACTTGCACTGACAGAATCCCATATATGCAGAACCTTAGTATTTTTGTCTCATTGTCAACATCTAAACATTCTTAAATCAAGATACACTTGAGAAGCAAAAATTACTTTGGATATTAAGTCTTATGTTCCTGAAAAATGTATCTATATTAAGTGAGTTTCAGCTTAAAACAAGAACAAATATCTGCCAATGGGGTAAGAAAAATAAACTTAATTCAAAGGGGAAACAAGAATATTTTTCTTCCCTTATTGGCAGATATTTTTCTTAAACTCACTTTACTTTCAGAAAATATGTCATTTTGTAAGGTAAACTCACTTTACTTTCAGAAAATATGTCATTTTGTAAGGTAAACTCACTTTACTTTCAGAAAATGTCATTTTGCTTCTCAAGATATTTGTACTGGAAAAAAAGACTGAGTAAGAACATAATTTTTTGTAGTAGGCTATATTAACCTGAACTGAACATGAACACATGTATAACACAACTTGAAACTGAGAGACCGGCCCTGTCTTGCACTCTCAAACTTCCTGAGGTCTCAGAACCAAATTCATTACAACATTACATACGTCCAGGAAGGTTTGATTTCTGCATTGCATCCCTTTAAAACTGTTTCTGTTTGAGTGAAGCTTATGATGCTGCCGCCTCATTGTCATCATTATCATCATTATCATCTCAGCATTATTTGCATCTCATTGAGTGTGTGCATGAATCCCTCAGCTTGTGTTTAACTCACTGACTGTGACTGCAGCACTTCACATATCACATTGCTAGTTACAAAGTAAATCAACTCTGTTTACACCGTGTCTACACCAGATGTGAACAGTGTGCACTGACAAAACAAGATCAGTCCTTTTATAGTCAACAGAGTTGTCTACACTACTACACTACATGTATGTGGGTGTGTTAGGGGATCAACGACTTAGATTGTTTTAAGTAGACATTTTGTGATTAAAGCTTGAGTTGATGTTGACTAGTCGCTGATGATGTTATAAATGAACAAATAAGCCTGAACCTCGAGCTGAGACTCCAACGCGGGTTTTCGTGTGGACAGATATGGCATATGACACAGCGCTGCCCACAAGGCTATTGCTCCTACATAGCAGCTTATTTTTATCAGTTCTTTTGTCTTTGGGTCGTTATATTTCTCTCAGATTTCTGCTCATTCTAAATCAGAAACAGATAAAGTAGCACAGTAAAGATTATATTTATATGAATGCATGAGTGAGAGAGTGATTGCGTGTGAATTGCACCTGGTACGTCTCTACTAATAGTGAAGCTGTGGGTTTTAGTTGATAAGAAATATTTGTTAACTTTTCAGTTTCTAAGCTATTTTATTAATAAATCACAGAGCAGTGTTGACAATACATTTCTGCACGAGCAACTGTCTGTAGGTGTGTGCGTTACAATGCAGCAGCACATTAGTTTAGAACAGCGTAAACGTACGCGTACAATAAGCTGTTTAAAACATGCATTCACCCAATCAATTTTTAGCATCCATATGGTATAATCAAACATATCTTGTGGAGCGCTCTCAGAGTATGCATTTATTTATAATTTAAACTTTTGGCAACGAAGTGGACTACTTATCCTGTTGCGCCCTCTGTAGGCCATGATCAGCGACTAGTCTACACATCCAGTGTTGTAGACACAAAGTCGTAATATAGAAAGTTGCTAATATGCTTCAGGGTTTCATCACAAGGGGGCAGTAGCGTCTAACTGCTTTGCTGTTTGGTTTCATGTCTGTTCATTGATGATTTGTCAGGATTCAGAGGAGGAGGATCCCAACATGGATTCAGCCTTCACCCGTTCTAGTATTCCAGGTCTCGGGTCTCTGGAGCTCCAAAACTTCAAGCCTTACATCCCAGAGAAGTTTGCGAACTTTGAGGTGTACAACGCCAGTCTTGAGACCCAGGGGGGGACTGTATGCGTGCAGGGGGAGTTGGCGCCTGGGATCGGGGTGTTATCGGGAACACGGGTTGCGGATAAAGAAGTGTCCCGTAGTCCCACGGCCAGCAGCTGCACAAGCGGCTATTTCTCCCATAGTGCCTCAAATGCCACGCTGTCCGATGTGCTCTTCAGCGGCAGCGATAGTTGCGACCAGCTCAACAACAGAGAAGCCGCAGACCCTCAGGAGCACGGAAGAGGGTTGCATCCTTCCAGAAGTGCCTTGGGAACCGAGACCGTTCCCTCACTATCATCCTATCCAGCCCAGACCGTTCCCACTCAGCACTGTTCCCGTCTCTGCACCGACCAGGATTGTTCCCCTTCGCTTCCCCACAAATGTATCCTGAGCGTCAGCCAAGAATTCACAGACTTTAAGGGTGCAGATGAAGGTATAGGGGTAGATGACCTCTGTAACTTTAGTTTGAAGGCAGAATCAATTCCCCCAGCCAAAACGCAAGACATGGATCATCCGTCCCAGTGCCATCTCCACAATGGAAAAGAGTCTCCCAGTGTTCCTGTACCTCACGCCAACCCAGATCTGGAAGAATCTCGAGGACTTGAGTTCTCCGAGGATGCAGAGCTCTCGGTGGACTCTAGTGAGGACGAGAACACACCAGTTGCTCAGTTGCCGGACTGGATGGCCCCCGGTGAGCAAGTGTGGGTGGGCAAACGCAGTGGGATGGTGCATTATGTTGGAGGGGTAGAGTTTGCCAAAGGAATCTGGGTTGGAGTGGAGTTGGACCTTGCTGTAGGTAAGTAAAATTACTCTCAAATCAAGATCCTTGTAACCTTGAATTGAATCTCAACTCAAAATCCTTTTAACCTTAGACCTTTCTCATCCTTCCAAAGGCAAGCACAATGGTACGGTCCAGGGAAGGGTGTATTTCCGGTGTGCCACAGGTCATGGCGTCTTCGTGAAGCCATCCTGTTTGACCCGGGGGCCTCCGTCCATAGACACCGAACCTCAATCTGTGCTCCAGTAGGGGCAGGACATTGACCCAATAGTTGGTAGACGATCTCTTCGACACCAGCACCAGCAACCGCCTGGACAAACCGAGTGCTAACAGAATCCATCCTTCTGATTTGTTTGTCACATCAGAGATTTATTGATTCCTCTTATTCCGTGGCAATAAACACTACCTGTGCTGAAGTTATAGGCTTATTTCAGTATCATCTTTGAATGTCGAGAGTTGCACAGTTGCACAAACAAGTTTTATATATCATGTTAGCTTTGATATAGCTGAAATACTAATTTCCATCTTCATTAATTCTTCACCACTTCTTATATGACTAAATGTATTAATCAAACAATGCCTAACAAAAAATATATACTTTGAGTGAGTTTGAGATTTGGATGTCTGTTCTAGGTAAGAATGTACTACTGTTTATGAACATTTTTGTTTGTGTGATTATATCAGGTATTACCAAAGACATAGCCTTTCAAATCTGCTGTGCAAACTTACTTTGGAAACGTGTTTATGCTTGTATTTGTTCGACCGATTTATGCTAATATGCTAAGTGCCATTTTTCTGGTTAGAAGACCACATGCCCATCGGATTAAAAAATTTGGTTGATTTTTTTTTTTAGTTTAATGGTATTTTGAACGGACGCCAAGCCTGTTGCTCGTACTCTGTTGCGTAATTGGCTTGTTGAGTACTGTAACTGTTGAAGGACTGCCAATATTTCTATTAACAAAGCTGTCTGAACGCTTGCACTGGAGTAACTTATCCTGGATGCACATTAAGTTACATAATGCACGAATTTTTACGCATTCTCAGATACTGATTTGACGCTTCTCAGGAGGTTGACAGAAGTGACTAACTTTTGTTGTCACCTGATGCGGAGAGCACCTTGTTTTCTTTATCAGACCCTTGCCGGTATTATTGCAAAATGGCGATAATCTGATCTGCTTTGTATCGGCTATAGACCAGAAATGCCCTAAAATACTGACACAAGCCCCACATGAACGGGGACTTTTTAGATTATCGACTTCTAGGTTTACCCGCCTAATAATGAAGCTTTCGAGCATTTAAATCCATGTGTGTTTGACTGTCAAGAAAGATTTTATTAGTTTGTGATACTAAAGCCAATATTAATGTTTTTTTATAGGTATAAATGGGAGACGGGGAATGGGACATAGCCTGAATAATGCTTGTATGTTTAGTGCCATGACCAGTACTGTTATTATTGCTCTGTTTTACCTAAAGAACTGTGGATCTCATAAGAAGTGAATACTATTGCTGTCATTGGAGACGGTTAAATAAAAACCCAAGACCTTACTTAAAAGAAAACAAAGCTGCTCTCCTTGACAAGGAGATGTACATAAAATGTATGAACATAGTATTTACAATATTATAAAATGTACAGAATTGTATTTATATTGTATCTCTGCAGATGCTGGTACAAAAATGTTGTAGATTACAGAACGTTTACAAATGCTTGTTTTGTGTGTGTTCTTCCTTTGCATGACATATTGGTGGTTTTTTATTTGATTTGAAAGGTTTGCTCATCTGAACTATTAATTTAAATACAATTTATAGCAAAATATAGCAACCAATGTTTCTCCGCCTTTGTTGCTGTATTTTGTTACATTTAAAAAAAAATCTAAAACCTCAGCCCCTACAATTATTCACTTATTATCTTGTATTTTTTTACACCTTTAATCTTCAACCAAAATGTAGTTTCACCATAAAAAAATGACATAGTAATTTTGCAAAACTGAATTCAGAACATCAGAATTCAGGTTTAGACCCTTGCAACGCAATCACACAATTTTTAAAAGACAAACAAATTATCTTAAATTAATGAATGAATAATTTGTTGAAGTAGCCTACAGTAAATGGCTACCAAGGTGTATATTTCGGCAAGAGTATTGTTGTACTAACTCTTGTGTTCTGGCTGGCTGATTTGATCTCTTCCTCACAAGAATTAGGTTGAGTAACTCTGAGTCTGAACTTTGACCTGCATTATCATGTTAAGTCCCTGGGTCACTAGGTCACTGTGTCAGATTGAAGCAGGGAACATCTGCAATAGAATCTCTGAATACTGTAAAGGACTTCACTGAAATACAACATACATTTATGCATTTCCCAGATGGCAGATGCTCTTATCTAAAGGAGCTCACGCTATATTTGGAGAATTAAACCCATGGCCTACATCCTAATAACTACAAAGTTACCTTTAATGTTTTAGCATTGAGCACAGTGAACAAAATTAGCATACATGCTGACAATTTGTTTGTTTGTTGGTTGGTTGGTAAACCCTTCCTTCAAATCATTATTATAGAGGGACAAAGCATTACATCATTGCTGCAGTTAAAATTAGATCATTTGGACTGGCAACAGGCACTAAAAATATTCTGAAATTTAAACTGCAAAATCATTAGTCACTTGAAAGTGAGTAAGCAATAAATGTGGTCACCTCAGTCAGGGAACAGGAGGGCGTGGTTAATGTTGATCGTGGGCGGGGTAAAATTGTTAATGGGCGGAGTCTGTCCGCGTGTGAGTGAGAGGCGAGAGCCACCAAAACCATATTGCATGTAGTTAAGTTCCCTCTCTTGACAGACGCATTTGTTTGCTGTGGTTTATTCTGCCTCGTATCAAATAATTTGCGCTGTCACATACCTCTGTTACCGATACCTTCCAAGAATACGAGTTGTTATTTATTTAACCAGTCGTAGTGAAACTTTTGCACTGTTTGTTTGTTTCGCTGAACTGCGCGCGCCCCGTCGTGAGGATGCACAGCTCTCAGAAGGACACCACATACACCAAGATCTTCGTCGGAGGTCTTCCGTATCACACCACCGACTCCAGCCTCAGAAAATACTTTGAAGTGTTTGGAGAAATCGAGGAAGCTGTTGTCATTACAGACAGACAAACTGGAAAATCCAGAGGCTATGGTTTTGTAAGTTGTCTGTCTGTCTTTCTATATCTGTCTGTCTAGATTTACTTGCAGTCAGTGTTTCGTGTAATTCATTACTAAGTTAATTACTGTATTTTAATTACTTTTCCTTTGAAAAAGTAAAGTAAGGGATTACTTATTAATGTTTCTGAAATTTAATTACAGTTACTTCTGATTAAACTGCATTAGATACTGTGTATAGACAATTGAACAATTCTAGATAAAAACAATAGCGGATTTAACATCAAAATGTAATGATTAAATGTATGTTTTTAATGTAACAATCTCCCTTTTAAATACTCAAGAACAATTTATGTAATTTTATGTTATTTATTTGAAAGAGCCGTTTCATGTCTGTCCTTGTATTGTTCAACTGGTTGAGGTTGATATGGGATTTAGAAAGTGAATAGTAATGCAGCACTTTTTAGAGAGTACAGTAATCTAATTACACTGTTGAAGATGTAATTAGTAGCTAGTAATTAATTATTTTTTTAAATATAGAGTAACTTGCCAAACACTGCTTGCAGTCACTTCCCATATTAAACACTCAACACATCCCATACACATTGAACATCATTGAAAACACCGCATGTATCTGTGTGTTCCTCTTTTCATGTGTGTGTGAAGGTGACGATGGCTGATCGAGCTTCTGCAGAAAGAGCCTGTAAGGACCCAAACCCCATCATAGACGGTAGAAAAGCCAACGTTAACCTGGCGTACCTGGGGGCCAAACCACGGATCATGCAGCCAGGTAAGAGGGTCCGGTCACTCGCCGCTGACCGGAAGCTTCACGCTGTTGGCGGACTAATGCAGAGTATCAGAAACCATGCAATAAAGACAAGCTGCATGGCACAGAGCATCACACTGTGGTTTCTAAATAAAAAAAATCCTTTATGAGGTTACATAGTGAATACAGTAATGCTTATATAATTGTCACAGAATTATTTGTCAAATGCGATAAAGAAAAATACAAAATATTACTTGATACGTATGATAACAATTTTGTAATCAAATTAATATGAATGTTCTTGGCTTTTTCCCCCCTTGTAGAATAAAGCCTATCTTAGTCATTGTATGCGGTTTTCTTGTATAACGTAAATATAAAATTAAGTGTAATAAGGTTGTCTTTCTCTACAGGATTTTCATTTGGTGTCCCTCAGATACACCCCACATTCATCCAACGGCCTTATGGGTAAGTGTGACAAGACTATTGATGACTATATTTTTTGTGTAGTTTGATTAGTTTTAGGCCTTCTCTCATTTATATCTACATTCTCTTGTGTAAAAATATGATATGGGAAAAGCCAAATTTTGTCATCTTAGACAAATTTGTACCATTGACTTTCTTTAAAGGTGATGTGTGTGATTTTTTTTTTCTCTTTTTTTTCTTCTTTTAAATGATTTCTTGTATCACACCTTAAGAGTCACTCTAAGTAAATAGTTCATAGAATGATCTGTTTATTTGAGGATCGCGACACACCCAGCTTAAAGGGAATGTTCTCAGAACGTTGGCGTTTGACCAACATTCTGAAAGTTCATAGTTATGATTATGAACAATCAGAAAGTTATGAACAAACATTCTTCCAGTAACGTTAATAGAACATTTGTTCAGAGTTACCTGGTCTCAAAACATTAGTACAAAACTGTTGTAGAACAAGAATTTAATGTTCGAAAACATTTTAGTTGGACTTTCGTCTAACATTTTTAACAAAATGTTACTACTCGTTTCAGATTCAAAAGTAACGTTTATGTTTGAAAAATTCTAAATTGGAATGTTCCCTTAACATTCGTATATAACCAAGAAATAAACTGGACATTGTGAAAGTTCAGGGAACATTCATGACTTAGCAGAACATTCTTAGAATATATTTTTGTTAGCTAGGTAGCAACATTGACCCAATAGCATTATTTATAGATGTCTGGAAAATATTTTTGCAATTCCATTTGGTGATGCTCGAACATTACACACGTCACCTTTAAAGATAAATGTGTGATGATCAACAATATCATATTCCTACATGTTGCAATATTCTGTAAAGTATAATTATGTTGATTTCTGTGCATTTTTGTTGGATTCCTGTGTTATAAAATGTTGTTCTCCTTGTGTCATAGAGATAGTGAGGATGAGCATTCCCCATTACTGTATCCTCCCCCTTTCCGCCAGGTTATGAGGTGTGTGTGTGCTTTTTATCTTTGTGGTTGTTGTGTGGTTTTATATGCACTGTTGTCAACTCCTGAAAAGTCTACGTCTGTCACTTCCTCTTTCCAGCGTGACTCAATGTAATGTGTCTCTCTCTGATCTGACAGGCTCTCTTTCGGTTAACATAACCTAAGAGGTGAACGAGCTGAACAAAGTCAGAATTCATAAGTTCTACCAGTAGACTCAAACACGTACACTCTCAAATGGTGATTAGCTTGCATGGACGTTGTTGTTTTTTGGAGAGTAGCTTTTGTGTGCGTTTGGACCTGTCTGAAGTGGTTTTCATAGCTAAACCGTGTGCTTTTAATAGAAATGAGTGTATAGTAGGACGTGGGGATTCGGGGAGACGGTCGTATCTTTGTCTTGGGGTGCTGGGAACGTCTTTTTCCATTTTCTTGATGATTGTGCACAGCTTGTTCTTACTGATTTTTATTCACTTGAACAGACGTTTTCAGTGTTCTGTTGTTGAAGGGGTCAAAGTTTGTCTTTCTTGACTGGCTCACCCTCAAAGCAACTCAATGGCTTGCATGTTGCAGTGTATCTCATGTGCCTCCGTTCTTTTATTTTACTAATGAATCGTTTGTCTTTTCCCCTGACTGTCTTACATTCACTTTTCCCTAAACCTCTTTGTGAAAAAATAGAATTCTGTATTCATTCTGTATTGGCTAAAGCCAGAAGCATTCGCGCCAATTCTGTTTCTTTCAAATAGTGGTTAACTGGACATTCAATTGATTTTAATAGAGTTCAAATCTAGACATTCTAATAAGCATAGAATACGCAACAAAAACAAATATCATCAATGATTTCTAGTGTTGCAAGTATATGGTAGTGGCCAAAAGTGATGTCCGGCCTAGGAAAGTCAACATCATCACACTTTCTTTAAATATTATTAAAGATATTGGAAGCATATTGTGTAGTTGTGCTTGGGAGTCAATCATTTTTTTTGTCATAACGCAATGAAATCGTGCCGACATCATTTTAGGCCAGGCTGCCATAAAAAGAAACTAGGAACGTATGCAAAAACAAGAGAGAACCAACCAACGAAATATTAATAACTGATTATGTTGTAGTCAGTGTATGCTTTTCCTGTGAGCTTTTTGTACCTTAATCAAGTGTTTTGTCCTTCCCTCATATTTAAGGTATTTTTAAAAAATCTAATATTTTCTTCATATTTTGATGGTTTAATCGAACTTGTAGGGTTATTAAAAACAAATCTCCCCTCCGGACATCACTTTTGGCCACTACTTTATTTGTAATTGACATTTCTTTCACTCCTTTGCTTGTCGCAATGCGCTGTGGAATTGCCTTATCTGCAATGCATGTATGCGATACTGCCTTAAAAAGTAAATTACTGTGGGAACATCCAATAATCAGTTCTTAAACCATTATTAAACCAGATTCAGGTAGCTGCAACAAACATGCTTTTTGTCATTTTTCTTGTAAACTGACTTTGAGTACCTTAAAAAGCAATCTATACATAAAATGTTATTATTATTAAAGCAATCCTTAGAATGCAACACGTTTGTTATGCATTTCAGAATGCAATAACATGTGATGTAGAGTTGGCGTAGTTAAAAAGTGTGTTTATGTACTCGTGTAAGGAATATTTTGGGCCTAAGAAACCCCAGTATTCAACTGTATTGTACTACTGACCGATCCAGTACACAGTTACTTCTGTCCTTCTAATCTAGGAAGATTCAGTCAACTCGTACCGATCAAGGAGAACATTATATCCCTCTGAGGACTGAACCAAAGACAACAGCTGAACTTTAGTTTGGAACACAACGACATTCAGAGTGGCCACGAGACGACAGGTGTTCAGAGACACAAGATCCGTGTGGCCGAGAGATCAGCCCCTCTGTTTCTGTGATTTACAAAGTACCTTAAATTAGCCCTAACCTCTAGCCTAACCCCCGTAGGAAGAAAGTTGCCGGCGCAGCTTAGTAACAGGGGTATTTTTAACAATGACATGCTCGGAATTAGGTTGAGTTTTACACCACATTTATAATTATATGTTGTATTAAATCTCACCTAATCGAAAATACTGCATGTATACGAATCATTCAGTTCATTTACAGGAAAATGGTTATATACTAAGTGCGGGATCGATTTACAATAATTTGTTAACATGAACTAACAATAAAAATACTTCTAAAGCATTCATTGGTTAATTCCAACATTTACTAATACTTTATGAAAATCAATAAAGTCTCTGTTAATATAATTGAATGGACCTGAGCTGACATGAACTAACAATGAACAGTTGTATTTTGATTAACTAATGTCAACCAAGATTAGTTCATCTAAAGTGACCTTATTTTAAAATGTTACACTACATGCAAATCATGTAGTAAAATGAGTATCAGTATAATTAAGTACATCGAAATAACTTTTAAGATGTGGCCAGTCGTTACAGAATCAAATTAGTTTGGACCGTTTTGCCTTTACACACGTTATAGTGTGCAGTAATGCGTGTGTGTTCACAGGCCGCTGGTAATGAAGGGTTCAGGACTGGGTAAAAGTGTTAGGCCATGTGTTGCTGATAGCGTTGCTCATGCTCTCGTTTTATGATGGCAAGGGCAGCAGAAAATAGCCTCGCCACAGCCTGTCCTGTCACTCCAGGAGACTGACAGTAAGGAGTGGTGTGTTGGAGACTCATCAATGGCCAGATTTAACATGAACACCTGTTGTTTTTGCATGCTTGCCGGTTAGGACTCATTTTAGCCATGGAAAAATATAAATAAAATCTGCCCGGCAACAAAGGTGATTTATTTTTGCAATTTGTCTGGCTCAGAAATAAAGCCCTTCCGCTTGTAGAATTTATTACTTCTAGCATCTTTACACTGTCAAATGTAAATAAAGGTCAATTAAGCAATTTTAGCCATTTAGATTAGCAGTGTGTATACCAGACTTTCTGCTGATTTGTTTTTCGTATGTGGAAAATGATTCACAGATGAAGAATGTTTCTGATTGGCTAAAAAAAGCACTGGCCACTGTCCTGAAACTAAGTGTGTGTCCTGTTTAATGACAGCTGTGCACAAGAATCAACTTTTGAGCATATACATTATTTATTTATTTATTTATTTACTTAGTTTTTGCATTGTGACATTATTTATTTGTTTGTTATTTTCACATCACATATCATTGGAGTATTTTATGGAAGCTTTATAAAATATTATCTTACAATTCAGACTTTTAAACTCGGAATTGTGTTAGAACTGGTGTTTCTCAGTGCGTTTAGCAGATTTCCACTCTTCAAGCGTTGTGTTTGTGTGCAGTGGACGCACGCGAGTGTGTGTTTTTTTTTGCGTGTGTGAGTTAACTGGATTTCTCTTCTTTCTTTTAAATATTGTTTGGTTTGATAGTAACATTGACCCTGTTTATGATTGCAGAATTGGTGTCGCTCTATTTATTTTTTTATTTTTTTGAAAAGTTTTTTTTTTTTCCTGCTGTGATATTGATCGATATGCTTTGATATCCATAGTCACTTTTACCCTGGCATTTTTTTTGAGAGGCAATATTAGGGCGTGGACTCATGTTTGGATGCTGAGTTTGCAAACGAAATAGGTTTGCCATGATAATTAATGCAAGAGCATTCATTTGAATTCTCATTAAGAACTAAAATGGTCAGCTCAGTGGACTCTTGGTAGTGGCGGCACTATCTAATGACATGCATTTTGTGATTCACCAATTAGGCCTCATTCATGAATTACAAGCAGAAAGAATGTCTGTGTAAAATAGTCATAAATCTAAAACTATGGCCATGTTTGTCCCTGTAGACTTTTAGAAAACAAAACTCGCTTAGCTTACTGTATACAGTAGTGGCCAAAAGTGATGTCCGGAGGGGATATTTGGTTTTAATGACCCTACAGGTTTGATTAAACCATCAAAATATTTTATATTTTACATATGAGAGAAGAGCAAAACATTTGATTAAGGTATTTATCAGACAAAAATATTTGACAAAAAAGACAAACTACAGCTACAGGTTTTATTTTACTATGCAAAAAGACCATAATCAGTTATTAATATTTCATTGGTTCTCTCTTGTTTTTGCATGTGTTCATAATTTCAGCCCAGCCAGAAATTATGTCTGCACAGTTTGGCATGTTTTATTGTGTTATCACAAATAAAACAATTGATTTCAAGCACAATTTTGCAATATTATTATTATTACAAAATCTTTAATAACATTTGCAAAAAGGGTGAAGATGTCTATTTTCCTAGGCCGGCCACTACTCTCAAATCATCCTTCATTCTTTGATGGAAATGGACATTTTGAAATAAAATTTCTGAGTCTTTTGTATTATTAAGACAAATAATTTCATAGCTTGTATTTTAAATGCAGTTCAATAATATTTTCACACTTTTTGCTTAATTTTACCTATGAAAACAGTATAGATCAGATAGATCAAATCAAAATATTGTTTTGTACTGTTTATCTTGATTTATATGATCATTCATGTGATCATTTATTAGATGCAAATGATGGGAATGACAGCACAAATGCGTAAACGTTTATATAAAACATTTGCACAATACAATTTTGAAGTGGTTTACTTTAGTCTTTGATTATAAAAATATAATATTTAATGACACATTTTCATATTCTAAGACTGAGGATCTGGGACGAGGGTTATAACAATACAAAAATAATATATAAAACAATAAATGAAGACTATAATTCATTACGACCTTCATATAACATAGAAAGTAGAAATTACCATCTTAGGTAAATTCTTGCAGTAAATTGAATGTGAAAATGTATATAGAAATTAAAATGCTTTGATGATTTACATGCTTGTACTTCATTAATGAGGCCCATTGGTATTTTTAACATTTCAGTACAAACTGTTTAAAACAAGTCAAATACTGCAAGTTCATTGCATCTTCTAAAGTGAAATGATAGAATTACTGACAGCTGATCATTGACTCTTCCCAGCATGCTCTACTATTGTGGCAATTCTATTTCTTTGAATAACCCTTTAGTGCACTGTGCGGTTTCTCTGTTGAAGTGCAGCTTTTCTGGTTCCCAGTTTAATCCCAGCATCTCTGTGTCCCTCAGGATTCCTGCTCACTATGTGTACCCGCAGGCGTTCATGCAGCCGAGCGTGGTGATCCCGCACGTCCAGCAGTCGGCGGCGTCAGCGGCGGCCGCAGCCTCTCCGTACCTGGATTACACCGGCGCCGCGTACGCGCAGTACTCCGCCGCTGCTGCCGCCACCGCCGCCGCCGCTTACGACCAGTACCCGTACGCTGCCTCGCCCGCCGCCGCGGGCTACGTCTCCACGGCCGGCTACGGGTACGTCCAGCAGCCTCTCGCGTCTCCGGCGCCCGGGGCCACGGCGGCAGCCTTCGCTCAGTACCAGCCGCAGCAGCTCCAGACGGACCGCATGCAGTGACACCCAGAGGAGGAAACCTGGTCCTTTGACCATTCGTGACTGTGCCACTTTTTACCGTGTCTGTCAGCCAAAGAAACTTTTTTTATTGTTCCGTTATTGTGATTATTATGTTCTCGTCATTTTATTTGTAGTATTTAATATTTATTACGGAGAAGAAAGCTGTAGGCTGTAGCTTGTCAAACATGATGCTGTTCATTAACTCTAATCTAGTTTCTTTATGTACAAGTATTTAAGGATTATTCTCACCCTCATGTCACTAAAAAAACCTTACACAAAATGAGTAGCTCTTTACAATAAGGTCTCATTAGTTAATGCATTTTCTAAAATGAAATAACAACGAGCAATTCATTAATATTTGTTAATGTGTTAGTTTTCATTATAAGTTCACATTGTGCATTAATTCATGTTAAAAATGTATTGGTAGATGTTGGGATTAACATTATATGTTAATACATCAGTATTTTTCATTGTTAATTCATGTTAACTAATGTACTTATGAAACCTAATTGTTATAAGTGAGACTTTTTGGTTTGGCTATTTACACTCCAAAGTGGCCAAAAAGCACCATAAAACCATCATATTCACATTTGCTTTCATATTCAGAAATGATACACTAACGGCATGCAGATGCATAAACATCAAATCTTCAAAATTCCTGCTTTTATTTCCCACAGAACTAAATTCTGACCAACATGAGGGTGAGTAAATCATGACAGAATGTATGCGTTTAGGTGAATTATGCCTTTAATGCATCACAGGCTGCAGGTGTCACCATTATTTGTGTCTCATCTCTATATTGATGGATGCCTGATTATTTTCCTAAACTCACAGCTATTTAAAAATTGCACCTTGGCATCTCACGGTCATGACCTCTGATAACCTCATGAGCCTGCATATGTGACTGTTGAAATGATTATCATGCGTTTGGGTTAGGAAACAAGACAAAAGTTCCTTAAAGGACAGACAGCAGACAAGAAATGAAGGGTTTGATGTGTCTGCAGACAGTGTTCAGCAACTCTGTGCCTTATACTGTAACTGATAGGAAATGTTTAGTTATACTTGCACATCTGTTGGGGTTATAGAAAAGGTCAATTTTATATTTAGAACTAAATATTCAAAAATAAAAGCTATGGGCACTACTGAAAGACTGTGTACACTGTATGTTTCAATATTAGTGGGCCTACTGATCACACTACTTTGGATTAATGTGCCTTATTATGGTTAATAAATGGAAGGGAATGTCATTGGATTTGTTGTTGCCTTTGTGTTATTTGTAACATTATGCTAATAAAGGGACTGTGGAATGTGGCGAAAGGAAATAATTGCAATCAAATGTGCAGCTACAGAATTGATGTCCAAGTATTTTTTGTATTAAAAGGCCATGTCTAACAACACCAGTCCACTTGCAACAAAGTTTGCTTTTCTTTAAACAAGCTTGGTCTTGGTAGGTCATTATTTACACTTTGCGCTCTGTTGATAAAAATGCATTTGCTAAATATTGCAGTATCACACCGAATGAGTGACATTTGATAAAATGTGTATAAAAACATTTCGGATGATTTATTAAAAAGTATTTTGTCTCACTTATTTTATGTGTATTTATTTTTGAACTCTTGTTATAATTATTAGTAATTTACAGCAGCCAGAAATAATAGGTAGATAATGTGTAAGCACAGTGTGTTTTATAAGACATTAATTTTATTTTGAAGTTATTTTCTGCATTAAAAGTCTCTAGACTCATAAGGCAGAAATCTGTCGATACACCCTCTTACCGTCTTAAATTCTTACATTCAAAATTAAAACAAAAAAAGCTGCATAGGCCTACTGTATTACAGATAATATCAATACAAATGCCTTTTCCGTGTATTGAAGGACTAAATACACAATAAAACAATAGAATAATCAGCAACATGTGGTTAACACTGACACCTGCTGGATGCGATGTCAAATTACTATCAGTGCAACATCCTTTACCCTTAATAATTAACATTATTTATTTTAGCTAGAGAGTTTTTTGTATTAAAATCACTTAGATGATAAAAAAAATATATATACCCATGCATAATATTAAAATATAAAATATAATGTGCACACCGATGCAGCATCAGCTGTGTCCCGCTAGGCGGCGCGCTGCACTGGACTCTTCTCTAAAGGGAAGCGCGTTCACGAGAGTCGTGGTCTGTTCGTGTTTACGAAAGAAAACGGACTTTTTATTACGAATCTACAGGTTTAATTGATTAGGTGTGTTAATTAAATTCGAAAACCCAACTCTACTCTACAGCGCGCAGCTTCATGTAAGTTTAGATACTCTCTTCATCACTGAAGTGAAAACGAAAGTGTGTCATGTTTCGCAATTTTACACTGATTCGTCTCTTTTGTTCTCTTACATTGTTATTTTGTTACTGTAACCATTTGTATATTCATATTGAATATTTGGGATCGTAATAATAGCGTTATTATTTCTCGACGCTCTGTTACGTCGTCTTACCAGAGATTTTTTTTATAGTTTTACTTTTACACCACTTTTTTGGAAGTAAATGCCGATTTTGAGGCCTGGAAAGGCAAATAAATGGCATTAAAAGTGAATGTACATTTGTTATAGACAGTAAATGTATTTTGTCTTTATGCTTTATGTATGTTTGTGAATTCTTTTCTAGATAGCCTACTGCAAGATTTTCATTCAGTGAACACTTGAGTGTTGATGGTCAGGCTGGGAAAATTACTCAACATTATTTTTTATATAAATTATATATGTATTTTATTTGTATTGTATTTTGTTTATATATATATACACATATATACATACTTATACACACACAGTATATATATATATATATATATATATATATATATATATATAGATTTATTTATTTGTTTATTTTACAGTACTGAGATCCAGTCATGGCACAAAACAAAGATGGATACACTCGCTTTGACAACCCCCCACATGTCACCACCATGGATCAGCCTGCGCCGCCAGGCTTCATGATGCCTCCCCCTTCTTATGATGCCAGTGTTCCTCATGAAGGAGTGGGTCCTGGAGTACCTGTTACCGTATATGCTGGACCCCCGTATGCACCACCAACTGCTTTTGGGAATCCCATGTACGGACAGGGAGGGTCTGGATATCCACAGCAACCGTATCCTCAAGCAGGACCTTACGCCACAGGTCCGTACAGTACTGGACCGTACGAACAACCACTTCCGTATGGTAAGAGATTCAACCTCACATTTGGGAATTTTAATACATGCTCTTTGTTAATAAACTCTCAATATCCTTTTTGTTTTGTGAAAGAAGCGGCAATGGGTGATCCAGTGCAAAACGGCCCACCTCCAGACTATGAAAAGGACCAGTTCGAAAGCTTTGGACTCGATAATAAAGTCATCAGAAGGATGTTCATTCGAAAGGTAAACACTGATACGGAGCAATCCTTCATGACAGCACCAATAAAAAGATTCAACACACTCAAAACAAGATTCAAGTTCAACAGAAAGCATATATACAGCATCATGTATTATGATTATTAAAGGGTTAGTTTACCCAAAAATTATCCCATAATTTACTCGCCCTCATGCCATTCTAGGTGTATATGACTCATCTTTCAGCCAAACACAATCGGGAGTTATATTAAATAATATCCTGGCTCTTCCAAGCTTTATAATGGGAGTGAATGGTACCTCATCTAACCATCAAAAAAGTAATCCATACGCCTCCAGAGGGTTAATAACGCCCTTCTGAAGCGAAGCCATGCGTTTTTGTAGGAAAAATATCCATATTTATAACTTTATAAACCATAATCACTGGCTTCTGGTAACGGGAAGAGTGACCTCTGACCTAACGCAAGACTTATTGACGAACGTGGAAGCGCAGAGGACAGAGCGAAACAAAACACCGTTCACGAATTAGAAGTCTAAAACGAGAACTTTTAAAGAGAAATGTGGGAGGAGCTTAGGTTTGTTGCCCAGCCCTATTTGTTTTATTTGTTTGAACCACGAGAAGCGTTTACTCTCACCTAAGATTACGCCACTCTTACATCCTACGTCATGCGCCGGGTATATTTATTAAATATATATTTACAAACTTTTATGTTAGATGCGATTAGATGGTAGATGCGATTAATCACGATTAATTGATTTAACAACACTAATATATATATATATATATAATTTTTTATTCATGTAATGAAAATGTTTTTTTACATTTTAGTTTTAATTAACTATAGTAACCGTGCAATGAGGCCCGTTAAAACCCAACAATTATTTTTTTTATTTTTTTTATGGGAACAAAGAACACAAAGTTATCATGGATGCTACAATATCAGACAGTATCACAAAATAATTCCAACATCTTGATATACAATATCACACTTTCCACAATGGTTTACATACATAATCCATTTTTCCCAAAACTTGTTACATTTGTCAAAATTGAGCCTTAATATAGGCCCTGTAAGCCTCTCCATACTGTATATTTCATTTACGATCCCTAGCCATTGATCCTTAGTTGGAGGGTAAACCTGCAACCATTTACGGGTTATTGCTTTCCTATTGCTTGCTAACAATATTTTTAATAAATATTTATCCTTGTCTAAAACATTTCCTGGTATTTTACCTAAATATATCGTAATGAATGAAAAATCAACCTCTACTCCCATAATTATCCTAATCTCTGCCACTACTTCTTGCCAAAAGAATTGTATTTTTGGGCATGCCCAGAAAATATGATAATGATTAGCCATCGGGGTTTCACATTGCCTCCAGCAAAAGCCATGGCTCTGTGAGCCTGTATGAAGTGCTGTTAATTTGGGAATTTGACTAAATTCTTCCATCCAAATTCCCTCCAGGATCCAACAATGAATTTTGACGTTGTGTTATTTCTGTACTTGTGTTGTTCAGGTGTTTGCTGTTTTAAGTGTGCAGCTGGCAGTGACCTGTGGCTTCGTGGCCCTCTTCACTTTTGAGCCTCACGTCAAACTGTTTGTGACGAGGAACACGTGGACGTACTGGGTCGGCTATATAGTTTTCCTCGTGCCTTACCTGGTCATCCTCTGCTGCGGAGAGTTTCGCCGGAAGCATCCGTGGAACGTCATTTCTTTGGTGAATCTTTGATTGAAACAGATTTAAATGTAAAACGTTTTAAATTCTCCTTTCATGCATCGTACTGAATGATTTCTTGCATTTCAGTCTATCCTGACACTGGCGATGTCCTACATGGTCGGGGTGATATCCAGCTTCTACGATACTGAGATCGTGGTGATGGCTGCCGGCATTACGGTGGTGGTTTGCTTCACGGTGATCATCTTCTCTCTACAGGTCAGCGCTCAATAACCGCACACTTTCATGTACTGTGATCAGGGTTTGAAATCCAGAACTGGTTGTGTGCAACATCCATGTTTTATGAATGATTGCAAGATTTTTTAAAAATACTAGAAACAAAAGATTGTCATGAACATCTACTCTGTGTTATTTTAGTATCGTTGACTTGACACATACAGTAGTGGCCAAAAGTGATGTCCGGCCTAGGAAAATTGACATCTTCACCCTTTATTAAAATGTTATTAAAGATATTGTAAGCATATTGCATAGTTGTGCTTGGGAGTCAATGGTTTTATTTGTGATAACGCAATGAAACATGCGAAATTGTGCCAACATCATTTTAGGCCAGGCTGCCATACAAAGAAACTAGGAACGTATGCAAAAACAGAAGAGAACCAACGAAATATTAATAACTGATTATATTGTAGTCAATGTTTGCTTTTTCCTGAGATGTTTTTGTTTTTATATGCATTTTTGTTTGCGTAGTAAAATATAAACCGGATATAAATATAAAGCTTGATATTTTTTCAAATAATTTTGTCAGATAAATACCTTAATCAAGTTTAGTGTTTTGCTCTTCCCTCATATTTGAAATATATAAAATATTGTCCTCATATTTTGATGGTTTAATCAAACTTGTAGGGACATTAAAACAAGTCTCCCCTCCGGACATCACTTTTGGCCACTACTGTAAAATATAGTTTTTGTTCATATTTTTTAATTAAATTTTAATTGTATATTTTCTGTTAATAATTATTGCACATAATTTAGCACGTTACTGAAGTTTTACTCATTTTGTTTTCTTTTTTAAAATATGCCATTTTTATTTATTAGTACTTGAAATTAAACTAAATAAAAATGTAATGTTGCTTTGAAATCTAGCTAAAGTAAAATACATTTTAAAATATTTTTTTTATTTCAGTTAATGTTTATTTTATTTCAACAAGTACCTTTTTTTATGGTTTTAGCTTCAGTTATCGATAATAACCCTGTGTCTGCTTTCTTGCGTGTGTACAGAACAATGTACTAAAATAGTATTGTATTTTAGTCATCTCTAGTGTTAGTGCTGTCATTTACGTAAGCTGATTTTCATAAATATCTCCTGTCTATTCACAGACCAAGTATGACTTCACTTCCTGTTACGGGGTGCTGTTCGTGTGCTTCATCGTCCTGTTGTTCTTTGGGATCCTTTGCATCTTCCTGTACAGCAGGATTCTGGAACTGATCTATGCGTCGCTGGGTGCGCTGATCTTCACCTGTGTAAGTGCTCCATTTCTTTAGCTAGAAATATTGAATTCAATCATAAAAAGGTAGAATAAAAATAAAACATGAAATAATTTGATTTGTTTACCTGCATGTCGTGACCATTATATCACAGAACTGTGAACCAGTCCTTCCAGAAAAACAAGTTTTTTTTTGTGATTGTTGCGGGCAAAAATCCTTTATTATGCGGCCAATGAAATTGCGGGAACTTGCAAAAACGGCGGTTTGATGAATAAGAGAAAAAAAAGTGATTCCCCCAACACCCTGTTCTCACTAGGATACTACCTTAATGTAAAGAGTCATTTTTATTACTTCCTATGATAAGCAAGCATATACATCACAGACAGTGCTGGGAATATTTCAGTTCTCATCTTGTTTTATTTCAGACCTTAAAGGGATACTCCACCAGTTTTTCTTATTAAACTATGTTATTCCCTTAACTAAGACGAGTTGATACATACCTCTCTCGTCTCAGTGCGTGCACTATATCGCTCTGTATTGCCGCAAAACTATGTTAGCACTTAGCTTAGCCCATGCATTAAATATGGGCCAAGCAGAGAAGCGACCAAACACTTCCACGTTTTCCCTATGTAAACACAGTTACTCGAGTAGTGTAACTTGACCTGGGCTGGTGACACAAAATAAACCGTTGCGCTTTTCTAAGCGTTTAAAATTGATGACTATATTGTATGGCGGAATACCATAACAAGTGCTTTTGAGCACTTCGACTTGGCGCAATAATATCTTCACTTGTGAAAAGTCCTCTCACCGGCTCCCGCTTCCTCTCCCCCTCCCTCTGACATTTCCGTCAATACAACCAACGTGACATGCGCCGGTAGTAGTAGTTCGAGCGGAGTTGACGAAGTAACAGGTTGTTGGAAGCTAGTTTGTGTACAATAATGGTTAAAGCGTGCATCGTAAAGGGTTGTGAAAATAAGGAGAATGTAGTGCTGTCATTTTTCACCGAATTCCAACACACCACATACAGCGGAGAGCTTGGTTAGCTGCTTTGAACAAGAATCCCAAAACACCATTGATGACTCTGAAGAAGTGGCGTGTTTGCTCCGAACATTTCACAAAGGAGGACTATACCTGCACAGGAACACGCCTAAAGGATGAGGCTACACCAACAATATTCAGATCACTTACAGAAAGCCCGTGGTCTTTCGCCAGCTCCGGTCTGTTCTGGATCATATCTTTCTTGCCTCTCACGGTCCATAAGAGCTAATTCCTCCTCCGTGTACTCGGGTTCAAACAGATATGGCTCTGGGTCTGCTACAAAGAAGTCATAATCATCTACAAAGTCCGCCATTGCAAATGATCTGCAGTTTGCTAATAGCACAGGTAGTAAAAGTCACGTTGGTTGTATTGACGGAAATGTCAGAGGGAGGGGGAGAGGAAGCGGGAGCCGGTAAGAGGACTTTTCACAATTGAAGATATTATTGCGCCAAGTCGAAGTGCTCAAAAGCACTTGTTATGGTATTCCGCCATACAATATAGTCATCAATTTTAAACGCTTAGAAAAGCGCAACGGTTTATTTTGTGTCACCAGCCCAGGTCAAGTTACACTACTCGAGTAACTGTGTTTACATAGGGAAAACGTGGAAGTGTTTGGTCGCTTCTCTGCTTGGCCCATATTTAATGCATGGGCTAAGCTAAGTGCTAACATAGTTTTGCGGCAATACAGAGCGATATAGTGCACGCACTGAGACGAGAGAGGTATGTATCAACTCGTCTTAGTTAAGGGAATAACATAGTTTAATAAGAAAAACTGGTGGAGTATCCCTTTAAAGGGGTCATATAATGCCATTTTTGTACAAGCTAGTATGATTCTTTAGGGTCTAAATTAAAAGTTTGTAATACACATTAATTAAAAATTCTCATTAGTATTGTAAGAAAACACTTATTTTACCTGGTCAAAAACAGCTCTGTTTTCAGCACGCCGGTTCAGTGCATATGCCTTTAAATGATAATGAGCTTCGCTCACCCCGCCCCTCTGTTCTATGCGTACACCGTTTGTAACACAATAACTAGGGGTGTAACGGTACACAAAAATCACGGTTCGGTACGTACCTCGGTTTTAAAGTCACGGTTCGGTACGTTTTCGATACAGCAAAAAGTAAGAAATGCCAGAGAAATTTCCTATTTGTTAAAAGAAAAAATATTTTTTAAATAAGTGAGTTTTCCTACATCTTGAAACTTTCAGGTTTATAAATGGGGGTCATCTTTGAAGGATGAACAAATAATGTTTTGGTCATCACATTAAAAATAACATTTAAATATATGAAGAGTTTAGATGCAAAAGCCATTTGAAATTTTCTTAGAATGATCATTTTTATCAAGCTTGTATATTTAAGTTCAGTAATTTCACTTAAATGGCAATGAAGATTGCCTATTAATTGTCATTTGAGTGAAATTACTGAACTTAAATGTACAAGCTTCATAAAAATGATCATACTAATTTCTAGAAGAAAATTTCAAATGGCACTTATAGAGGCTTTTGCATCTGAACTCTTCATATAGGCTATTTATTTATATAATATTTGAGTTTTGAAGTGCTGGAAAAAGATGTGTGAAGTAGGCCTACTTGAAAGCATTTCACTATTCCAGCCAAAATGGTTACAGTTAGTGTTACTATATTAAATCCATGGTGAATGTTGCTGGTCTGTGGACGTAAAGTATTACTAGTTCATTCACGGCACAATATTTCTCCTGGTGTCCACGTCAGCGCTGTTTGATCTAATAGAGATCTACGGTTAATAACGGAGAAATTTGAATGCTTCTCACTAGATCTCGCAGCGATGTTATTACTTCAGTGGCGAACTCAAATGTTTTCTTCACTGGATCTCTTAGCGCTGTGTTGTAACGGTTGTAACAGTGTCGCTTGATCGAGATCGGCTCCCGCTGCACAGATGTTGCTGCTCTGCTCCGAACTGATAAACGATCCGTGAAGCACAATAGCGCAGTTTCGTTCCGGTTTCATTACGCTTGCCATTTGATGTTGCGCAACGTTGTGATCGCGCCAGCGCGAATTTTGTCGGCAGGAAAAATGGTCCAAGGAATCGTTCGGTTTGTATGCGTACCGAACCGGAAGCCTCGAACCGAAACGGTTCAATACGAATACATGTACCGTTACACCCCTAACAATAACACAATAACCATAACGCGTTGTTCAGTATAAACGTGGGATTATGAATTATATTGAGAACATCAAACATAGAAAACATGCCGTAATGTACCCTGAGTGTAAACCTTAGACGCATTCATTGTGAAGCGTGCAGCTAGCGATTTGCAAAGATTAATATAAATATTAATATAAAGTTTAATAAAACGTCACACTCAGTTCAGTTGTTCTAGGTTCAGCAGGAATACGAATATCTGGTACCGATCCTTTTTTCATGAGCAGCTTCTTAGCAAAACCAGCTTTATACTGACCCTCGTTTATAAAGCAGTCTGGTGAGAAATGATTCGCGCAAACATAAGAGCATTGACGTTTCTCGTGGGGAATATTCCCTTCGAAAACAAACTCAGCCACTGCGTCTTCAGCGGTTCGGATTTAGGAACATTAAAATGACTGCTGTGTTCGTTATTACACCCAAGAACAGAACACCACAATCGCTTAGACGCCATTCTGCTCATAGACAGTGCTCCAGCATATCAACAATGACCGCGCCGGTCCGCGCAGACTATGATTGACAGCTCCCTCACGAGCGAGGGCGGGTCTGTGTTGAAACCCGGCTGTCAATCAACAATCGTGGGAGGGGCTTCCGAGCGTGTGACGTCACAAAATCGAACGGCTTGATTTGAGGCAGGGGAAAACATATAAGGAGATTAAAACAAAAACACTGGATGGATTTTTATCATTTTATGATGGTTGTGTACAGGCACTGCCAACACACATTTCAGTACAATCAACTTGTAAAAGTGCATGTATCATTATATGACCCCTTTAATAAAAACATCAAACTTACAAAACATTGATGAGTCAAACAAGTTCTGTAGCTTTACAAAAGGAATATGCTACAACTTCTGTAAAAATGAATAAATAAAATATAAAAAAATAGAGTGTGCTCCTGTTTTACAGCTTTTCGATGATGTTCACGTCGCATAATTACGTCACTTCATAACGTTCCCATGGCAACAGGGGGAAACAGCTGCTCTTGTGTGACGCAAACGCAATTTTTCAACTTTCTGCTAAGATATATGTGACTTTTTTGCAACGAAAATGCGAGGATTATGAAATCATGCAAGCCCCGCATATTTTGCACGGAAATCGGCAATTTATGCGATCGCATAATCGCGTTTTTCTGGAGGGACTGGTGAACATGCAAATATTAAGTTAAATTATTAAAATATGAACCCTCTTGGCTCTGGAGGTTTTTTACATGTCAAATACTAACCAAACTAAACTACTGTATAACTAAATATTAAATCTCAGGGGAACTTCAAGAAAGTATTTGAGGTCCAAAGAGTTTGGGAAACCCTGCTGTAGATAAGCGCTTCATTTCGACTCGTATCATACAAGAAAATAAATGAAATAATGTCCCGATTGTATTGCAGTTCTTGGCCGTGGACACACAGCTGCTTCTGGGGAACAAGAAACTATCCCTGAGTCCCGAGGAATACGTCTTCGCCTCCCTCAATCTGTATTTGGACATCATCCAAATCTTTTTATACATATTGCGAATCTTTGGAAGAAGCCGTGGTTAAAATTCCACCATTGGAGATCATCATGCGTTCGTGCTTCCAGAAACAAGCGCAGTGTGGCGCTTTCTTCTATGTTTAAATGCTTTCTTGTGTCCCAGTTTGATATGCAGACACAACTATAATTAATCTATTTGTGCTTCCTGATATGTATAACAATGTGAAGCTCTAGTGTTTATGATCAGTGATTCATTTTCCTCTCTGCTGTACTTCTGTTTATATTATCCCTTCTTGATATTTTTATGCATTACATTTTACCTTTAAGAAGGGAATAAAGACATTTTTAGGAACAAATTCATTGTTTTGGACATTTTTTCTCATCTCTACAGTTACATTCCGGTTCCATTGATGACATCATAGTAGCATTCTGATATTGTACTTTTCTCAAAGACAGAAGTAAAATCATTTGTGTTTGATCTGGTGGAGAGTAAAATGGATGAGGTAAAAAACATTGAGGAACTGTGCCATGAAATGGATCGTTTGGATAGTGAAGAAAATCCCGAGCTGAACAGATTTACATCAACCGATGGTCTGATCAGTCATACCGGTAGGAAAGGAGGTGTTTTTTTTTGGCCCCATAGTATTTAATATTGATGAAGAAACATAAGATAACTTTGTTTGGTTGTGCAGCCAGAGCTGATGCAGTTTAGGGTTATTATCATTACATAAAACAAACTATTAACATTTCTGAAATAAAAGAAGTAGGGCTGTCAAACGATTAATCGCATCCAAAATAAAAGTTTTTGTTTACATAATATATGTGTGTGTATGATTATTTTTAATACATAAATACCCACACATGCATGTGTATTTAAGAAATATTTGCATGTATATACTGTATATAGACTGAATGTAGCCTATATATAATATATATTTTATATAAATATAAACATTTTATATATAAAAACATATTTTTCTTAAATATATACGTGTGTGCATTTATATACAAAATAATTATACACAGTACACACACATATATTATGTAAACACAAACTTTTATTTTGGATGCGATTAATCGTGATTAATCGTTTGACAGCCCTAAAAATAAGATATAAATATTAGTTGAAAAACGAAATTGTTGCCTAGGCAATAAACTGAAATAAGTTAAAGCACTAAAATTATTAACCGTAAATAAATTAAAAATAAAATTATTAGCAAAATAAAAAAAAACTGAATAAAATGACAAAGTTAACAAAATGAACATGAAAACTAAAAATATAAAAATGAAAGCGTATTTAAAATATTAATAAAACTGCATGAATTCTTGAATAGATCATGAAGCCATACTGTAAATATATAGTGCATATCATGAAGCATGGCCTCCTTTATAAATTCACATAATTTGTAATCTCTCCTACACCCAGTCCAGGGAAATATGTTAGACTTATTCGCTATTTTATTGTAAAGACTGAATTTTATCGTGACTGTAATCCAAGTCCCTTTAAGTGCTGTATATAAAGTCTTTGCTGTAATTCAGGCAGGAGGTCGAATCTTGAGTGGAGCGCCACCGTGGACGAGAGCAGATTCAGTGATGAGCTGTTGAAAAGAGCCCATAAGACGTCCTCACCTGTCAATCTCCTGCACACACTGTCAGCTGTCAATCACGCGGAGCTGCCCAGCTGCTCCTTCACACACCACACACTCAGAGGTGTGTAACCTTCATTTCACACCAGGGTTACCATACAAAAACATGTCCGTTACTTGAACTGAAATCAAATCAAGTTGTAACACTTTACAATAAGGTCTCATTTGTTACTGCATTAACTAGCAATAACAGGTATATACAGCGTTTATTTTCATGTAAGTTCACGGTGCATTAATTAACTTATGTCAACACAACAGACACAACTTTTGATCTTAAAAAAAGTACTGGTAGTGTTGAGAAGATTAACATTAACTAAGATTCATAAATGCTGTAGAACTAATGTAGTTACAAAAAAGGGACCTTATTGTAAAGTGTTTCCCATAAAATATGTATGAAAACATTAATTTCAGTTAGTTGCAGAGGCAACATTTAGTTTAACTTTAATGTACTGAAATACCTCAAATCAAAACATAAATAAAAACTAGATGACTTTTGAGCTCAAAAAGAAATAATAAAACTTTGTAACATTTATTTTATTTTTGTAAAGATATGTATAGACAGTTTATATTTGTCTACAAATAGTTTCATGCATGATATCACTTCCAATTTAGCTATTTTACTATTATAGTTTTTATTAATATTTTGAATTAGCTTTTATTCTTATATTTCATTAGTTTTTATTTTTGTTTAATTTAATAAACTTAAACTTATTTTAGTTAGTATTTAAACTGTCTAATCCTCGGTTCCACCTGACCAAGTGTCGAGGTGTCCATAAGCAAGACACCTAACCCCAGCTGCTCCCGACGAGCTGCATGGCTGCCATGTGAGGCAAATTGTAAAGTGCTTTGGTGGCCATTGGGTCTGTGAAAGCGCTATATAAATGCAGTCCATTTACCATATAGCTAAGGGTTGGACAATTAAACTGAAACACCTGGTTTTAGAACACAATCATTTATTAGTGTAGGGCCTCCTTTTACAGCCAATAAAGCATCAATTCATCTTGGGAATGACAGATAGAAGTCCTTCCCAGTGACCAGAGGTATTACGAGCCGTTCCTCTTCCAGAACAGTATCAGGTCACTATATGATGCTGGTGGAGGAAAACGTTTTCTGACTCGCTTCTCCAAAACACCTCAATAATATTCAGATCTGGTGACTGTGCAGACCATGGGAGATGTTAAACGTCACTCTCATCTTCCTCAAACCCTTCTGTCACAAGTCTTGCTGTGTGTGTTGGTGCATGGTCATGCTGATACACGGTTTGAACATCAGGTGCTCATGATCCTCCAGAAGGGTTCGGTAGTCCTCGGCAGTGACGTGTCCGTCAAACACAGTCAGGATTGTCATGATATTGCAGCTCAAACCATCACTGATCCACCCGTGCTTCACTCTGGGCAGAAACAGTCCGGGGGTTCAGACTCTTTAGGGTTTCTCCACACCGTAACTCACACAGATGTGGGAAAGATAATGAAGGTGGACTCATCAGAGAACGATGTGTTTCACATTATCCACAGTTGGGCAGCTGTGTTTTTTTTATTTTTATATATATATATATATACACTCACCGGCCACTTTATTAGGTACCCCATGCTAGTAACGGGTTGGACCCCCTTTTGCCTTCAGAACTGCCTCAATTCTTCGTGGCATAGATTCAACAAGGTGCTGGAAGCATTCCTCAGGGAGTTTGGTCCATATTGACATGATGGCATCACACAGTTGCCGCAGATTTGTCGGCTGCACATCCATGATGCGAATCTCCCGTTCCACCACATCCCAAAGATGCTCTATTGGGTTGAGATCTGGTGACTGTGGAGGCCATTTTAGTACAGTGAACTCATTGTCATGTTCAAGAAACCAATTTGAAATGATTAGAGCTTTGTGACATGGTGGAAGTAGCCATCAGAGGATGGGTACATGGTGGCCATAAAGGGATGGACATGGTCAGAAACAATGCTCAGGTAGGCCGTGGCATTTAAACGATGCCCAATTGGCACTAAGGGGCCTAAAGTGTGCCAGGAAAACATCCCCCACACCATTACACCACCACCACCAGCCTGCACAGTGGTAACAAGGCATGATGGTTCCATGTTCTCATTCTGTTTACGCCAAATTCTGACTCTAACATCTGAATGTCTCAACAGAAATCGAGACTCATCAGACCAGGCAACATTTTTCCAGTCTTCAACTGTTCAATTTTGGTGAGCTCTTGCAAATTGTAGCCTCTTTTTCCTATTTGTAGTGGAGATGAGTGGTACCCGGTGGAGTCTTCTGCTGTTGTAGCCCATCCGCCTCAAGGTTGTGCGTGTTGTGGCTTCACAAATGCTTTGCTGCATACCTCGGTTGTAACGAGTGGTTATTTCAGTCACTGTTGCCCTTCTATCAGCTCGAACCAGTCTGGCCATTCTCCTCTGACCTCTGGCATCAACAAGGCATTTCCGCCCACAGAACTGCCGCTCACTGGATGTTTTTTCTTTTTCGGACCATTCTCTGTAAACCCTAGAGATGGTTGTGCGTGAAAATCCCAGTAGATTAGCAGTTTCTGAAATACTTAGACCAGCCCTTCTGGCACCAACAATCATGCCACGTTCAAAGTCACTCAAATCAACTTTCTTCCCCATACTGATGCTCGGTTTGAACTCCAGGAGATTGTCTTGACCATGTCTACATGCCTAAATGCACTGAGTTGCCGCCATGTGATTGGCTGCTTAGAAATTAAGTGTTAACGAGCAGTTGGACAGGTGTACCTAATAAAGTGGCCGGTGAGTGTATATATATATACACAATCCGGGTTAGTACCTGGACATCCCTTTCAGAAGCTTCCTCTTGCGTCGACAGTTACTCTTGTTGGATGTTGTTCGTCCTCTGTGGTTTACGTCGACATGACTCTGGATATTACACCTCTCGATACACAAAGACTTGCTGTCCTGATCACTGATGAACCAGAGACACACACCAACAGTTTGTCCTCTTTTGAACTCTGATATGTCTCGCATTATGTTGTGTGGATTGCAATAGTTTATGTAGGCTACAGCTGTGCTATTGGTCTGCTAATTCAGCCTTCACACTCGACTCTTACTGATGAATGTAAATCAGTGAAGATACACGCATATATAGGCGTGAAACCTCCAACACTATATTGGCCAGTGTTTTCATTTTCATTCTCCAACCCATGTATGTATACTTTTTTCAGCTTTGTGTAAAATGTTTCAGTCAACAGTAATAGTTTTAGTCAACAATAATAACCCTGGCACAGAATTTAAACGGCAAAAACCCGGAGCAAACAATGAGTTTGAACTTTTAAAGCAAAAAGCTTTAGCTGAACCTCATCTGGTCTTGTGTGTACTGATGGTTAATCTGATCTATTACTGCAGATCACAGCAGGTTACTGGGTGAAACTGCCTTCCAGCTGGACCGGCGAATCCTCTCACATGTTTTCCAGGAACAGTCTAGACTGTATGGATTCACCGTGCAGAACATACGGGATAAAATAGAGCAGGTGAGTGGGACATGATATTGACGATATTGTAGGGGAGACCAGGGACAGTTGTAACACTTTTTGCAATTTTTAGCAATACATCAAAAACCATTTATACTGGAATAACCAATTTGTTATATTATAAACTTCAATCGGTCAACTGCTGAAACAATGTATTTAAGTGGTTTTATGAAATATGTACAGGTTGCAAAATTAATTTTAATACAGTCTCTCCACTGTTACAACCGTCCCAGTGTACAGGGACGGTTGTAACACATGTCAGGGACGGTTGAAACATGTCTAAAATATAGGCTACATAATGAATTAATCATAAAGCCTACTCAAAATGGACAATATTATTTATCAGTCATCCCAGCGGGCACCTTGACGTCAATTTAAAATCAATATGACATCAAACATTGATGTCAAAATAACATCACGAAATAGGTCAAAAATTAAAGTCATATTGACGTCAAAGTGTCGGTCAAGATTTCGACCTCTGATGATTATGTCAAAACATAACCAACACCATCAGATCACCTTTACTCTTTGTTCATCTAGCTGTTCACCACTCAGTTTCAGCAGCCAAACAAAATCTAAAGTTAAAAACATTAGGGTCAAGAGCCCAACTAAAGCAAACATTGATCACCAAAATGGTGACTTCAAATTGTGATTTTCTCCTTCAGTGAATCTGCTTGTTAACATCAGGTGTTCATCAATAATGACCAATCATCACTCAATTAATCACTTAATTATCTCATTAACTTTAACACTGCTTCAGACACTGTTTGAAAAACAGTCAATGTTTGATGTCACATTTGTTGAATTGATATCGAAGCTTGATATTGAATGATATCAAAATAGCATTACAATGACATCAACATCATGACATCCTGACGTCAAATAGATGTAGAATTGGCATCAAATGCCAACAAAGCATGACATCAAAATAACATCAAAATGATATCTGCAGAGGTCAAAATCTTGACATCAAATTGACTATAATAATAAGTTAATTAGCTTCATTTAATGTTCAAGAATATTAAAGGCAGACTATTAAATATATTTATTTAGTGCTGCATGCAATGGTAAAATGCAGTCATCATGACTTTAAAGCTCCAGTCAGTAACTTTTTTTAAGTTAAAAATAATCCAAAATAATTATATTAAAAAAAAATTATTCTGCCAGTGGTCAAAACTATCTGCTTGCCATAGCTAGATTCAAAACGGTTAGCTTGTAATAATGATTTTAATTCCAGTGGTACTGGTGGGTTTCCGCGGGAAATTCGAGCATGTCTTTGCGTCATTACGTCACACCCGTACACATAAAGAAGGAGTTTCGGCTAGCCGGCTATACTGCGCGTGACGAGATGTTTAGATGTATAGGCTTTTCTTGCAGGACTTTACATAATTAAACTTATGGCATCCAGAAAGATCCAAACAACAATCATCAGTGTCAACTGGAGATTCAGCAGTTATAAAACCCAAAAGACTTCGTACTTCGGATTAAAGGTGGCTAGAGAAAGAGAAAGAAACCGTCTCATGCGAACACAAGGATTAAACATCGGCGGGGCTTTTGAAAAGTGCGTGAACTCCGTGTTTTGAAGGGGTTCAAAACGGAAGAAGAGATGGCTTTTTTCTGCTGAACAAGTATTCAATAGTTCAATCGTGTAACAGTACGTTTTCTTAATTCACACAGTTATGGAGTTTCCTTTGTTGTGCCTTTCTCGTTTTGCTATTATGGAGAATATGAATTCTGAACTACACAGGTAACCATAAAACATTAAATTTAACATTAGTCACGCAACGCTGATGTTGTTAACATGAACAATTTGAGAACAAAGTAGGCTATAATTTGCACGGTTGCTGTAAATCGCGTTGATTAAATCTAACGAAGCTTATCATGTCGAAGGCTTTTTCCCCCTTAGTTGGTCAGAACAAAAATGGATTTTACTTACTTGTTCAGAAGACATTTTCTTATGAAAATTCTTATGTTGGTCAAACTTTCAAAAAGTGAATCTGTGATTCTGTATGGCAGTATCCACACAGCGCGGTGACTGACAGCAGCACTCGCCTCAAAGCACTGTGTTCATCCGCGCTGTTTCATGCCGATTTACAACCCACATAAAGATGATAATTCCGCGAATCACTGCAGTTACAGATTTCGAACAGACAGATGGCGACAAAGAGGAAAAGATACGGACTGCAGCTTTAAAGCTGAAATGTGTAATTTTGTGACTCTCAAAATGCTTTAATATGCAGAGAAAACTATATTCATATTTCCCCTTCAAATGCAAATGGGATTGTGTAATTGTTAAGTGTTTGCTGGCTGTAGATTCAGACATGAACCTGTGGGATGTTTTGACATGTATTTTCTGTCTCATTCAATATTTAACATCAGGTCTCCATTCACCCCCTGACCGGGATTGTGGATGAAGCTTACAAGTTCCAGCTGTTGGAGAGACACACAGAGATCATGAACAGGCTTCATACGCTGGGCTATAACACGCGTCTACACCCTCCCTTCAGCGAGTTGATTGTCAACACCTACGGGATCCTGAAGGAGACGCCTGGTGCCCAGGAACGGGCCTACACCAACCCTGAGTTTTTGCAAAGGGTGATTGTTGAAACTGCCCCGTCCCGGTTGCTGAAGGATCTTCTGCTGCTGCTCAGCTGCTTGTGTTTCATGGCACGACTGGATGGACGGAGTCTGTTCCTGTGGTAGAAACGTGTGTCTCAATCCACATGTCCCATCCTGCTTTGCTCCTTTCTGAAAATAAACAACTTAGAAATGCCAGAAAACACAGAGTCTGGACTGGAGGTGAATGGAACATGTTTGAATGTGTATGTTAGATCGGCAGGACGAATAATTTTACGTAAGCTGGATGGGGGAAAACTAAGTTTAAGCTAAACATATAAACAAGGTATTTCAAGGTAGCCTATTTGTTCGGTCCCTCATTTTAACTGTTAAAATGAGAAAATGCACATTCAAGTCTGCACATGTCAACATATACTGTATGTATATTGTAAAGCAGTAACACCAGCAACAACATATTCCCCCAAAAATAAGCCAGTTTCAGCAGAAGGGCTTTGCGGAAGTGCGCGCACACACGGGGATGTGTACGTGCGCGCGCATGACCTACTATACTGTATGCGTGCGTGTAGAAACCGCTGGAGGAAAACGAGCAGGAGAGACTGATGACTGATGAATCGGATTCACTGAATCATAAAGGTGTCCAATACACGGACTGACCGCAACATCAGCTCATGTTCAAAGCAAAGCCTGTCACGCGCCACAAACAGAGTCAGGTAAGACAGGTAAACTTTACCAGCTCGCGACTGCTGCCATTTCCGCCCTGCTAACCGGGATCTGGTCACCAGTGACACGTGACTGTAGGTAGATTACAGAAAGCCGTAACAGGGTTTAGACGGGAGAGGGAGAGAGGGAATACAATTGTAATATGATAATTTCGCGCAGATGCAGGATGACGTCAGCACACGTGTGGAGTTCATCATCTTGCATTAGATCCAGTGCATGTTTGGACCTGTTTCCAATTACATGATGCATCTGATTTCATTATTCATCAGTACGCATTAGAATCATATCAGTGTCGTAAATGCTCTCGATCGATAAATCAATAGGCATTAATCCATTTGAGTATGCGGTCAACAGAAGATCCCTGCTACTGTAAGTCTCTAATCTCTAATGCACTATTGGCTCGTGAATAGCAAACTGCCATACTATAGTATAAACGTTACTGTTTCTGCAGTACATACTCACGAATTATCCAGGGCTGGTGGTAGAAATGCACCATGATCCTCTGATGTTTATCTATTATACATGTCATAGTATCCTGTTGTAGTTATAGTGCTGTTTTGCTGACAACATTTTTATGGATGAGTTCCTTCATTCAGAAACCCTACGACTCAGACATATCCCATGATACCTGGGTGATATATTATACAGACAGTTGTGAAATGTCAAGCAATTGAAGTAACACAATTTTGGAGCAGATGGAGGTGTGTTTTTGCATTATACATTTGTTTTTACATTTAACGCCAAGGTCATGGGTTTCATTCCCTGGAAATGTATAAGTCTGCTAAATGCATAAATGTAAAAGATTTATTACCTACAATTTGAAAACAAACCACCAGTTGAGAACTGAAACATTTCATTGAACGTAAAGGAAAATAAATTCTAACCAAAGGTTATGAAAGCATGTTTCTCCTGTTCAACAGGCTGCGTGGAGATTATTGTGTTTGTCAAAGGAGCCATTCACAGAACAAATGCATTGAAAAGAAAAGGGATTGTCAAAAGCCATCCACTAACTGACTAGGTGTATAGAAATGTTGTCAACTTCTCTGAGAGCATTTTAGCTTTATTTTTCTGGGCTTTCATTAAGACAGACTAGTCACATCATGTTGTTCAAGCCAGTGCTATTTTAGTTGTTATAAATAATTTGAATATTTTCTATTATTCTAACATGGAAAATAGTCAGTGTGTCTGAAGTTTTGACTGCTGTGTGAAAGGGTTATTTTAGTATCATTGAGATACTGTTTTTGATATTTGAATATTCAAATATTCTATTCACATTTTCAATTTTAGTTAAAGTTTTTGTAATGTTTATTTGTCCTTTTGTAATTTTTTTAAATGTCTTTATTTTAATTTTAGTTTAAGTAATTTTAGTACTTCAACTTAAACTAAACTAAAACGAGAAATGCTTGTTGGCAGCTAGCTGAAATAAAATACGTTTCTTTTTTAATATACATATATTTTATTTTAGTTAACGTTTATTTTATTTCAAATACATTTAAAAAAAATGTTTTTAGTTAATGATAATAACCTTGGTTCAGAGTTATTTTATTATATTTTATTTCAAATAACTTACATTTTTTTATGGTTTTAGATGTAGCCTAGTTAGAGGAATAGTTCACCCTAAAATGGAAATTATCCCATAATTTACTCACCAAGCCGTCCTAAAGGTGTATATGACATTCTTCTTTCAGCTAAACACAATCAGAGTTATATTAATTAAAATCTTGGCTCTTCCCAGCTTTGTAATGGCTTTGAATAGTGCCGGAGTTTTTAAAGAAAGTTTTTCGTAATACACTTGCATACAATACAATCCACTGACTTGACTAGTTGATTTAGTAAATACAATTTCACTTTCCAAATGTTGCAAACTTTCTAACATTTTCACCTTATTTGTAATTTTGCCACAGAGTTCGAGTGGTTATGTGGAAGATCTGAGATGAGAAGGCTTCTTTCCGTGGCGTGCGGCGCTGAGGCATGTCTTTAAGAGAGTCGCCTTTCCCCAACTGTTTTCTGGAAGGTCTCCATGCTGTAGGATGGAGTCTCATCTTCCCGTGTTTCTGGTTCCTGGACCGTCTCCTCGCCGTCTGCGTCTCCACCAGTCTGGAGCGCGTGCTGAGGCGCGAACAGGAGTGCTACCTCCACCCGCTTAAGCTCGTCTTTGGCTCCGTCCTGTTCTTCATCCTGTTTATACTTTCCACACCATTCGCCTTCCTGGGATTCGTACTATGGGCTCCACTCCAGGCCGTACGCCGGCCGTTCTCGTACCGCCGTCAGGTGCGGATCGTTCACATGGAGGATCGTAATTCTAGATGGGAGGACACGAAGAAGGTCAGTTTTGGGTTTCTGACAGGCAACCTGTGCTTGCTGCCCGACGGCGTAGCGCGCTTCAACAACCTCGGGCATTCGCAACAGCGCGCGTCAATCATCGGGAAAAGCATCGTGCAGGGTGCCACTCGCCCGCACATCCGTATTTTCGTAGATTCTCCGAGTAGCTGCGGCACCGTTACCCCGTCCAGCAGTTTGATTCCGCATCCGATCCCGTCCTCGTACGGATCTGTAGACTTTTCCATCACAGGTCAGAAGGACGGGACTGAAGCGGATGAAACCAATGGCCCAAACCAGCAGCAGATTCCCAAACCCAACTGCAACCAGAACTCCAAGCAGCACAAGCACCCGCCTCGTTCCTTAAGAGACGGCGACATGCTGATGGAAGTGTCCAGTTTGTTCCCGTCCTCTGTGGATATAGTTTGCCTCCAGGAGGTTTTCGATAAGAGAGCCGCTCTGAAACTCTCACGGGCTCTCGGGCCGCTCTATGAACACGTTCTCTATGACGTTGGCGTTTACGCCTGCCAGCCTGCTGGAACCTGCTCCTCTTTCAAGTTTTTTAACAGTGGTCTGTTCCTGGCCAGTCGCTATCCCGTGATGGAGGCTCAGTACCGCTGCTTTCCAAACAGCCGAGGAGAGGACGCACTGGCTGCCAAAGGCCTGCTGGCTGTAAAGGTGCAGCATTCAGTTTAATATTGCTGCTGATCTAGAATGTTTTATATATAGGTTTGGAAATTAAAGGCCCCGGTAAACTCACAGCAAAGTTATTTTCCGCTCTTCGCTTAGGGGTAAAAAGAAGTTCAAAATACCCGAGCAGCGCTATCCCAGCCAACTGGGGACGTTCTCAGAGTTTTGGATAATGTTTTCAGTAGCACCTCAATGCAGTACATGAGATCCACGGGGAGGAGTCGGATCAAGATCCAAGGGGTGGAGATGGGTAGGATTAGGGGTGGGGTTAGGGATCAGGGGGCGGAGATGGGTAGGATTAGGGGTGGGGTTAGGGATCAGGGGGCGGAGATGGGTAGGATTAGGGGTGGGGTTAGGGATCAGGGGGTGGAGATGGGTAGGATTAGGGGTGGGGTTAGGGATCAGGGGGCGGAGATGGGTAGGATTAGGGGTGGGGTTAGGGATCAGGGGGCGGAGATGGGTAGGATTAGGGGTGGGGTTAGGGATCAGGGGGCGGAGATGGGTAGGATTAGGGGTGGGGTTAGGGATCAGGGGGTGGAGATGGGTAGGATTAGGGGTGGGGTTAGGGATCAGGGGGCGGAGATGGGTAGGATTAGGGGTGGGGTTAGGGATCAGGGGGAGGAGATGGGTAGGATTAGGGGTGGGGTTAGGGATCAGGGGGTGGAGATGGGTAGGATTAGGGGTGGGGTTAGGGATCAGGGGGCGGAGATGGGTAGGATTAGGGGTGGGGTTAGGGATCAGGGGGTGGAGATGGGTAGGATTAGGGGTGGGGTTAGGGATCAGGGGGCGGAGATGGGTAGGATTAGGGGTGGGGTTAGGGATCAGGGGGCGGAGATGGGTAGGGTTAGGGGTGGGGTTAGGGATCAGGGGGCGGAGATGGGTAGGATTAGGGGTGGGGTTAGGGATCAGGGGGCGGAGATGGGTAGGATTAGGGGTGGGGTTAGGGATCAGGGGGTGGAGATGGGTAGGATTAGGGGTGGGGTTAGGGATCAGGGGGCGGAGATGGGTAGGATTAGGGGTGGGGTTAGGGATCAGGGGGAGGAGATGGGTAGGTTTAGGTATATGTAAGGTGGGAGGAGTTGGATCTGGATCCGACTCTTCCCCGTGGATTTCATGTTCTGCAGGGAGGACCATCTCAATGTTTTGGCAAGGTTCTCTCAAAGTTCTTCCAGTAACGTTAATGTTATCTAGTCTTTAAAGTCCCCGTGAACCGGAAGTTGCAAACGACTTTTCTCCAGTGTTATGACGTATTTCCGAGAGAAACGGAATACTAAATGAGGCAAAATAGTGGGCGTGGCTTTTTTTCCAACTAGCACCTGATTGGATCTAGAAAAGTTGGTGTTTCATTCAGAAATGGAGGCAGATCTTTATGCAACAAGCCTATGGTAACACTAATTGGAATTATAAAACTATTTTTATTTGCTATTACTGACAAAATGGAGTGTTTCCTTAAAGTCCCCCTGTAGTCAATAATTGTATCCCTTAAAACAAGTTTTTGACCACCAAAATGACATATTTAAGTTTTTTTTCCTTGAAAAAAAAAATTCTTCATGCCTTAAAATAGATTGGATGTAACTCTACACCCTTGCCTCTTTTAGCACGGTTCTATGAATATGCAAATTAGCCCCGCTCAAGTCATGTTTTATAAATATGTGCTTCACGATTTCCTCTCAATAATTAAACACAAGTAAAATGACAGCGGTGAGAAAACAGCAGTTGTGACGTGCATATGTTCACACCAGCTCTGCAATTTGGCACTCCAGTCGAGTCACGTTTCTTTATATTGCTTTAAAAGCAAGCAGCTTTACAATATTAAACATGAAAAACTGTCAGTGTCGCTTTTAATTAGAATTACAACTTCAATTTCTACTATAAAGAAGCTCTCCAGTGTGTTCATGTTTTTACTTGCATCTGACCTCAATGGACTGAACTGAAGAAATGAGTCAAAGAAGGCGGGGCCTCAGAGCCACACCCACCAATTATGTAATAGTAGTGTTTACCCACAGGACGTTAGTTTAGAATTTGTTTCGAACTCCCGAAACAAACTTAATTTTGGCCTGATTTTGTTCAAAATGATGTGACACCAGTTTGTTCTTCTATTTTGCTTGAAGTTTATCGGGGCCTTAAACTAACTATGCTAAAAGGTGTGCCTAAACCAAATGATTTTCTCACACAAGGTGGAGATAGGGTTACAAAAAGGGGAAAAGAAAATGGTCGGGTATATTAACTGCACTCATCTGCACGCTCCTCAAGGCAAGTGTGTTGTTATTGTTATGATGCATCTACAGAAATTGTTCATCTATAAAATTAATGTTTTTGTTTGTTTATTCGCCGTCATGTCTTTCCAAACCTGTATGCTGTTATTGTCTTTTCTACAGCAGGGAGTCTCAAACTTTTTTGGTCAGCCTAACTTCTTTGAGCTGAAATATTTACTTAAAGTCTCCCTGAGATGTTATAATAATATTTCAACATAAATTTCTCACGTTTACAGTTCCGGTTAATGCTTACATTACATGCAGATAAACAAATAAGATATTTCATATCTTTAGTGTTTTATTTTGATTGTTTTTATTTTAGTTAATACATTTTTTATGATTTATTTAATTTATTTATTTATTTATAAAACAATAAAAATGTATATTTTTATGATTGATTTATTGCTTTTTATCAACTCACAAACTCCAGCTAGAGAAACCCTGCCACACGACAACAGTTCATAGTGACCATGTCTGTGACAAAAACACCATTAAAGTGCCATAAAAGCATCATAACAGTAGTCCATCTATCCATATAACTTGTGTTTTATATTACGAGTCATATGATAGCTTTAAATAAAAATTAAATCACTTGCACCAAAGCACTCAGATCTCAAATACAGGTTTGGAACAAAACAAGGATGAATAAATAATGACAAAATAATATACATTTTTGGATATTTTGTGTAATGTAATCCAATTAAAATTAAATTGTATAGAATCCCAGTGGGTTGTTTTTCGCATACTTAAGTATTATTGTTTTGCCGTCAGTTTGAATCATGTACAAATTATAATTGCACAACTAATACTTATAATTGCAAATAATATAATTGCACAAATATGTATAATAATATGCTTTGAATCATATCAAATATGAAGACATTTCTGGTGTTTGATCAGGGGATGGAGAGATACGCTTTGAGCAGCTTAACATGTTGACCAAATGGATCAGTGAGTTTCAAGCAGTGACCAGGCGAGAAGATGAAATGGTGATGTTTGACGTGCTTTGTGGGGATTTTAACTTCGACAACTGCTCCCCTGGTATGTACTGAACAACACACCACACACTACATGTCTTGATTAAAGATCAATATTTATGCAAAGGAAGTTCAGAAAAAAATGCCTCATTAAATCAGCATTTTTCATGTGTCTTTCACATGTTTTTACTAGATGACAGGTTGGAGCAAAGCCATAGTGTGTTTGAGGAATATACAGACCCCTGCAGAGCTGGACCCGGGAAAGAGAAGCCCTGGGTCATCGGTAACACTCTCGTTTGCTTCTTAGGCCCTGTTTACACCTGGAATTGAGATACGTTTTAGTCGATCGGATCACAAGTAGACGAGAGACACATACCCGTTTACACCTGGTGTTTTAATCCGTTTCTTTTGTCCACTTTCAACCACTTCTGTCCTGATTTCATCAAGGAGACGGTCTATGGGTGGGTACATGAATGGACTTTTTCAGATCTTTTAATCTAATGGACAAAATAAGCTAGAGCAACTTACATATGAACGCACACAGACAAAACATACTGAGCATCAGCTTTAGTTTCTGCTCTGACAGTCGCAAGACCAGCCGAACGTGTGTGTTAGAAATCAGGAACGGTGAGAGAACATTGTGCTGCTTGGTATGTTTTTCCATCGTCAAACCAAACTTGGATCTTCAGCCGAGAAAGTTTAAATCCCGTCTAGCTAGCCGCTTCCCATAATGTTTGTGCATTAGGTCAGTAGAGAGAGGATATCTTTTGTGGCTGTTCGAAAACATTCGACCAGAAGGGCGTTTACACTACGACTACCGGCAGCGAACTACTAATGCGGTTTTGTTCGAAAGTAGACAAGCTCAAAACGTTTTACACCCCGGCCCGTTTATACCTGTATTTATTAGTGTCACCTACTTGTGATACGATCGATCAAAACTCATCCTAATACCAGCACATTTGAACACGCTTTGTAAAATGAACGTACATTTTGGAGTGGAAAGTTGCTGTTCCGGATATTCTGTGGTTAAATAAAAACTTTTTTATTTATTTTATTCCACTTTAATTTGGGTATTACTATTAGGATGTTGTTTCTTTTCATTCTTTATTGTGTGCAATTGTATTATATAGTTATAGTTTTGCATGAATAATTTAAAAAATTTAAATTATTATGTTTTGTGAAATTCCAAATAGAAATATTTAAACACAAAAACTTTTGGTTTTATTTGTAGGAACCCTGTTGGAACAGCCAACACTCTATAATGAGAACATGAGGACTCCAGACAACCTGCAGCGGTGAGATATGGATATATATATATATACACTTGAAATATACATATAGGCCTGGTTTCACAGACAGGGCTTAGATTAAGCCAGGATTTAGCATTAAGTTCAAAGGACATTTAAGTAGCTTTTTATAAACGTGCCCTAGAAAAAAAATTAAGGGGGATTAAGTTTATGATGAAATGAAGCATAGCATAGACAAATCTGCATAGTTTGAACAGGTTTTGATTCGGTCAGAGCGTTCTGTAACTAATCGGGCCTTGATCTTCTCTGTAGAACTTTGGAAAGTGAAGAACTGCGCAAGGACTATTTATCCCCGCCGGTGCCGGCGGACGGTGTTCCTCTGGTTTATCCTGAGCCGGATCAACCCTGGGTGGGTCGACGGATCGATTACCTTCTGTATCGAGAGAGCTCCGTCACCAGTCACTGCAAAACGGTGCGTTTCCTGCTAAGAATGACATGTTTGTGCTTCAGTGTTTAATACACTTGCCGTAAAAGTACTTTAGGAAATAAATATGTTCTGAAGTATTTAAATCTTTGTCTTTTTCCCGTGTAGGACGTGGAAGAGTTCACATACGTGACTCAGCTGGCTGGCCTGACGGACCACATTCCTGTGGGCTTTAGACTCTCTGTGTCTCTGGATTCAGAAGAGATCAGCCCATGTGTGCTTTCTAGTGGACCAGACTGCTGACACTTTCAAATATCTATAAGTAATGAATGCTTTAGAGGAATAGTTCAGCCAAAAAATTATTATTATTCACCCTCATATGGGTTTGGAATAACATTGCCTATCATTTTTAAATGCTTGACATGTGGAGAAAACACCAAATATCACTATATGAATCACTATTTGAACAAAGCAATAGTTCTGAAACTCTGTCACTCTTTCCTATGCATATCCTCTCTGTACAGTGCCAGTAATGTGGATAGATATGACACGCATAGTTTAATTTCTGTTTTTTTTTTAATGACACTTTTTCATGACAACACAGAAATGATATTGGAAATATATTTTAATAAAAAGGTAGATTTTTTTTTCATATCATGCCTCTCTTGACACTTTTTTTCTGAGGTGTTTTTTTTTTGTTGCAGTTCTCTCTGAAAAGAGGTATTATTGTATTATGAGCATATCAGTTTTCTGAGAATTGAGATCTAATCTAGATCAATCCTGATGTTGTTTTGAATTTAAAAAAAGGCCAGGCCAAGAGAATTCAAATCAAATGCTTTATTTTCTTGTCAGAAATAATACATTTACATGACCTACTTTTATTTACATTTTTTTTTTAAATGTATACCTTAAAATGCAATGCAAGTCACTTTGGATAAAAGCTTTTTACCAAATGCTTATTCGGTTTAAATACCACAGTATTTAAATGTTACAATGTATTAGTATGTATCAAAGCACCACAGTCTTATCATCTGCTAGTATCCATGTACCTGTACTTTCTTGTAAGAACATTTTTGAAATGTTTTTTTGTTGTTGTTTTTTTTTGCTGTAATGCATAAAACCCCGGAACCCCGTTTCTGCCAATCTTAATTATGACATTAAAAGTCATAATTTTTTTATTTATATTAGTGCTGTCAAATTGATCGCATCTAACATAAAAGTTTGTGGTTGTAATATGTGTAATATTCGATATCGATTCGATTTGACAGAACTACTTCTTTGTAATAATTATGGGGTAAAAAAATTAGCCTACGTATAACGAGATTACAAACATAAAACGGTGTTAAATAAAATATCAGCATACTGTACGTTATTTTAAAAGTTTTTTGGGGGGTTCTGCTTTTACTTTTATTTTGAAACAACTTCTGCCTGGTGTACCAGAGGCGTGAATTCTGGCTTCACTTTCACAATAATGGCGGCGTCGGAAGAGGCGACGTATTTCGTTGTAAACAACATTCCTGGCCGGCTCCGATCCGCAGACCTGAGGAACTATTTCAGCCAGTTTATAGAAAGTAAAGGATTCGTGTGCTTCCATTATCGCCATCGTCCGGAGGTTCGTGTGCAGTTTCCCGCGGCAGAGGCAGGAGTCAGCGAGCGGACGGAGGATCTCGACGGTCCTGGTGGGAAACACCCGGGTTTGTGTTGTTGTGTGGTGTCGGTTCGCTCACAGGAATCCGACAGATTCATGAAGATGTATTCAGGGAACCAGTGGATCGACTCTAAAGGAAACTGCCTGCGGAGAAAATGTTTGATTCGGAGAGTTAAAGTGTCGGAGCAGGCCGGTGAGTGATCTTTCAAAAGAAAAGTTCCACCATATCAATACGATGTTTTGGTTTGTTCAACCAGTGTTCAAATTTCTACTTTTCACTGGCCCTAAACCATGCCCTGCCTAAACACACACACACAAATTATAAAATGCACTTTTTTTTAAATATAATTTAAGATTTATCGTTTAATGTTTATAATTAAATGTGAAAGTAATAAATTATTTTTTTCAGAAATTAAGATTGACCGATATTTACAATATTTTATATTTACATTTAGATATTTTTATAATCAAAAGTAAGAAAATATAAAGGTAATTTTTCATAAATTGAGATTAATCGTATATTTATTTATTTTAAAAAATGAAAATGTTAAATAATGTAAATGCATTTTTTCATAAATTAAAATTTATTGTTTTATATTTACATTTATAATTTTATAATTAACATTAAAAATATACAATTATTTTTTTCCATAGATTAAGGTTTATTTTTTTATCTTTACATTTATAATTTCTTATGATTAAAATAATATATATAAATGTCATTTTTTTATTTAATATTTACATTTATATATTTTATAATTACAATGTAAAAAGGATAAATGTTTAGATTAAGATTCATCAATATATATATATATATATATATATATATATATATATATATATATATATATATATATATATATATATATTCATTAAAATAAAAAAATATATTTTTCATCATCAATTAATTTTTATCATGCTGTTTACAACATTTGTATTTTTTGTTGGAATCCGACAGATTTATAAAGATGTATTTTTGACAAATATTTTTGTAATATAAAAAGTTTAAAAAAAAATTTGTTTTAATTCTATGAAGACTCTGGGTTTTATATGTGGTATATATATATGAGACTTAAAGGCACACTGTGGAACTTTTCAACCTTTATAATATATTACCAAAACCCATTGAGATGGTACATCAACTTACAATAGGTTGAATGACACGTCTGCCGTAGCCTGAAGGTGTCTGTATCGCTTTTACTAGCACTATGTAACTTCGGGTTTCGGGTAGGAACCCGAGCACAAAAAGAACTACAAAATTCAACCGCTTTACGGCATACGTCACTTCCCCCACCACCCACAACTTCCTCAGATTCTGACGTGAGTGCTCAACTCGCGTTTGATTGCCGTCTGTATGTTTTCGTCATGGCCGAACCAACAGCTACAAGGAAGAAGGCAAAGGTTTTGTCAGAGGACACAAAAAAAAGAAAGAAAAAGCATAGTGACAAATGTAAAGCCAGGACGAGGATCACCATTGGTCCAGCGTTCGCTCGCTGGCGTGAGCTACAGGAGGAGGAGGGGTGCCCGACCGATGCTGACGCTTGCCTGCACACAAATGCCGTTTCCAAGGTGACCCAGATAAATCATATAAGTAGTGTTGTATTTTCTGGTATTCCGGCCACAGCCGATGGTGTTATGAGTGTAATAAAATGCCCACAGCCCATTGTTCATTTCTACACACAAACACAGCCCGCCACAGTGCAGGGCTCGCACAAATAGTCGACTCATGTCAAATGTACATTAAATGTAGTGAACGTGCCCACGACTCAGTGCCCACAAACACTACACACAACATGTCCCACGGTTTCTGTAAAACGAAACCAACACACATAAGTTACAGTCAGCTCAGGCCGACGGTGTTTTTAGTGCAGTAGAAATGTGCCCACCGTCCCGCGCCCACATTCACTCACAGACATGTTAGCACTAAGCCCCACGGGGCTCGCCCCGCTCGCTCTCTCTCAGCAGACTGCTATAACCCCTCATTTACACTGCACACGTCTGCGGCGCATTACGGCTGCGACACGGTTTTATTCCGTCCTTCACACAGTGCCAACTCACTTCTGGGAAGCTTCTGAAACGCGCCGCTTCGCGGCCGGTGTAAACACACGCATTGACAAGAATGGCCGCGATCAGCTCCGGTAGCCGTGTCGCAGCCGTAATGCGCCGCAGACGTGTGCAGTGTAAGGGAATCGAGCGCGGCAAGGCTGCCCGCCTCAAACACTGCACACAATCTAAAGACACGGGAGGCTGACCCACTGTCTATGGGCTGACCGGTTGACTGTTTGTTGACTTTTGCGACAGTGCTGCGGAGCTTGTGGCCTCTAGGGACGCTAGACGTGAAAGTTACTGGTCGAGCGCCACTAGTGGCCAAAAGTTCCGCGGTGTGCCTTTAATGACCATGTGAGATAAAACAAACAAAGATTCTTGTACATTTTTGGTGAAGTTGTTTAAGGGTGAACATGAACCGTCTGATGGTATTAAATTGCAAAGGGAAAATGGGAATTATTGATAAGGGTCACACAGTTTGAAATGTCTCTTACAATCTGTCTAAAATGCCTGCAGTGCTCAATGTAATAGCCATCTGATTGTTGCATGAGCAGATAATCATCATATTTTATCTCTCTCTGTTTCTAGATCATAATTCATTCCCCTACAAGACAAAGATTGAGATGAGACGCCACCTTGCCCAATCAGAGCATTTCACCATGACTGACCTCAAGGGCCTTCCGGAGCTCAATCCACCCTCCCTCATGCCATCGGGGAACGTCGGGACACCTGTGACTGTTTTCCTTCAGCTCATTCAGTCCTGTCGCCTGCCGCCGCGCCTCATCCGCAAGCTGGGTCTCACTTTTCCCAAGACGGGCTCGAATCGGCGCTACGGCAACGTGCCATACCTGTATTACAACAGCACAGTCGTGAGGTCTGCAGAGGAGAGCGTGTTTACTGCGGGAGGAGTGGAGATCTCGGGCCCCGGGGGCCTGGACACGCCCACACAAACAGGAGACCAGGACACGCCCACAACCACTCTAACAGGAGACCAGGACACGCCCACAACCACACAAACAGGAGACCTTGACACGCCCACAACCACACAAACAGGAGACCTTGACACGCCCACAACCACTCAAACAGGAGACCAGGACACGCCCACAACCACACTAACAGTAGACGAGGACACGCCCAGTTCACCTGTCAATCAAGAGTCACAGGAAGCAGGAAGTGAAGAGGAGCTGTCAGGCCCTGATGATGTGAGTTAGGGCTTATATTAAATATATACACTACCGTTCAAAAGTTTGGGGTCAGTGAGAATTTTATTTTTATTTTTTGGAGGAAAGAAATCAATACTTTTATTTATCAAGGACAGTAAAGACATTTATAATGTTACAAAAGATTCTATTTCAAACAAATGCTGTTCTTTTGAACTTCCTATTCATCAAAGAATCCAAAAAAAAAAAAAAAACTGTACAACTGACAGACCAACAACTGTTTCAACATTGATAATATTAATAAATGTTTCTTGAGCATCAAATCCTCATATTATACTGATTTGTGAAGGATCATTTGACACTGAAGACACTGACACTGGTGATGCTGAAAATTCAGCTTTGATCACAGGAATAATTTACACTTTACTATATATTCACACAGAAAACAGCTGATTTACACTGGAATAATAATTAATACTATAACTGATTTTTGTTGTATTTTTAATCAAATAAGCGCAGCCATGGTTAGAAGAAGAGAATTCTTTTAAAAGTATTTAAAATCGTACCGACCCCAAACTTTTGAACGGTAGTGTACATCCATGAGTGAAACATTAGTGAAGATGTTCCTTTATACACATGCAACTCATAATACAGTATTTCAGTTTCTCAGAATGGCTCTGTTTTATATTTATTTGCTGGCAACCCACTAATGGTTTAATGTTTGAAAATGAAGAAATAAAGACTAAATATTAGTATTGTAATTTTTACAGTTGTACTATAAAAAAAGTTATTTTTATTAAATACTCTACTTTTTATTTTACAGTATTATTACAATACATTTCTTATTTTGTTTAATATTTGTATTTAATAATAGTCACAATAATATCTTCATAATTATTTTTATTTTATAGTCATATTGAAAGGGGTCAAAAACAGTGGGAATGTGGCCTCTGAAAACACAAGAGATATTTTTTAAACCTTTTTGGTTACTGAAAGACGGTTCTTGTACAGAAAAAAAAAAATATTGCATTGTTGTTTTTTTACAATATCGTACAGCCCCAATGCGAGTTATTTACAGGGACTTTGATTTGATGATGAATGTTTTTGTGGCCAGATGAATAATATTTGGTCAAAAATCTGCATGTTGGATGTGTGCTCTCCGCAGGACGATGACCGCTGTGAGGAGTGGGAGCGTCACGAGGCCCTCCACGATGATGTCACCAGCCAGGAGCGCTCCAAAGAGAGGCTCTATGAGGAGGAGATCGAGCTCAAGTGGGAGAAGGGCGGATCCGGCCTCGTCTTCTACACAGACGCTCAGTTCTGGCACGAGGAAGAAGGAGGTACCATTGGCAAACAGTTGTGGTTGATGAAATTTCCAGCCCAAGTTCTAATAAAATAGCTGAGTACGTCCAGTGTATTATAATCTTAACCTTATGAGATGCGCTGCGTCTGGAGCTGTATGAGTTCATATTGAAAGAATAAATTGAGGATCCCTGTTGATCCAGTAGATCAGATTTCAACTTGCCCTGAAAAAAATTTCATTGACCCCCCAAATTTTTTTTATAAATGTAATGTAAACCAAAAGAAAAAATTATATTATATTGTATAATATTCTTCATATATATATAAATACATCCATGAGTGAAGCACTGTGTTCATTCACACGCATGCAACTCATAATACAGTATTTCAGCATCTCAGAATGGCTCTGTTTTATATGTATTTGCTGGCAATCCGCCAAAATAAAAGCTTAATGGTTTAATAAATGAAGAAATAAAGACTAAATATTAGTATTGTAATTATTACAGTTGTGCTATAAATTGGTTAGAAAATAGTTAGAAAAAAATATGTAATTTATTTTCCATAAATTAAGATTTTATATTTGCATTTGTTTTTTTATAATGAAAAATAAATAAATAAATTTTTCTTTCATGAATTAAGATTTATCATTTTATATCTGCATTTATCATGTATACAATATAATCAATAATAAAATCATGTAAATTAGGGTTATAATTTTCAATAATAGGGAAACTCATAAACAAATGTATTTGTTTGTTTATTTTTACAATGAGCAAGTTGGTTTACATTTTCTGCAATGTAATTTATTCATCATGTTGTATTTATTTGCACTTTATCTAATAATTTTCAACCTATTCTTACTGATTCTACCAACCAAGACTATCACAAGTTATTCTAGGAGTTTTGACTAAACCTGATCTGTGTTAGTGAAATAGTTTAACCAAGCGGACAAGTTTAACAAGGCCATCCTTATTGAATAGGAAAAGATTCTCGATGTGCATCATTATTATCAGCACACATGCATTATTCAGTCTCATGTTGCTCATCTTTCCCCTTTGATTTCTCACAGATTTCGATGAGCAAACAGCAGACGACTGGGACGTGGATATGAGCGTCTATTATGACCGAGGTACATCTTCATGATTAGATAATTAGGACTGCTTTGATTTAAGCCCGACACAATTACAGGCTGACAACACCTGAGTCCTGTTTACATGACATCAAACACAATGCATTACTGTGATTGTGTGTCCTCAGACGGCGGAGACATGGACTCCAGAGATTACGTGCGCATGCGCTCTGAAAGGAGACTTCGGGAGGGTCTGGACGGGCTGCCGGGACGCCAACAGAAAATCGGCAACTTTGAGAGGTTTACAAAGGTTTGGATGTTTTTTATAATCCACCGCTTAATAACTCACAAGTGTAGACTAGTGATAGTTCTTCACTTACCAGTTTCAATGTTAAAAAACATACTTTTGTACCGTTAGTCGCACTTTAAAGGGTTAGTTCACCCAAAAATGAAAATGATGTCATTAATGACTCACCCTCATGTCGGTCCCAAGCCCGTAAGACCTCCGTTCATCTTCAGAACACAGTTTAAGATATTTTAGATTTAGTCCGAGAGCTTTCTGTCCCTCCATTGAAAATGTATGTACGGTATACTGTCCTTGTCCAGAAAGGAAATAAAGACATCATCAAAGTAGTCCATGTGACATCAGTGGGTTAGTTAGAATGTTTTGAAGCATCGAAAATACATTTTGGTCCAAAAATAACAAAAACTACGACTTTATTCAGCATTGTATTGTGTTCCGGTTCTGTTGTGGATCCGCGTTTAGTGCCGCCGCTGACGTAAGACGCTGCTGACGTGTGTCTGGTGTGTGTGTGTGTATTCCGGTTCTGTTGTGGATCCGCGTTCAGTGCCGCTGCTGACGTAAGACGCTGCTGACGTGTGTCTGGTGTGTGTGTGTGTGTATTCCGGTTCTGTTGTGGATCCGCGTTCAGTGCCGCCGCTGACGTAAGACGCTGCTGACGTGTGTCTGGTGTGTGTGTGTGTATTCCGGTTCTGTTGTGGATCCGCGTTCAGTGCCGCTGCTGACGTAAGACGCTGCTGACGTGTGTCTGGTGTGTGTGTGTGTGTATTCCGGTTCTGTTGTGGATCCGCGTTTAGTGCCGCCGCTGACGTAAGACGCTGCTGACGTGTGTCTGGTGTGTGTGTGTGTATTCCGGTTCTGTTGTGGATCCGCGTTCAGTGCCGCCGCTGACGTAAGACGCTGCTGACGTGTGTCTGGTGTGTGTGTGTGTGACGTAAGACGCTGCTGACGTGTGTCTGGTGTGTGTGTGTGTGTGTGTGTGTGACGTAAGACGCTGCTGACGTGTGTCTGGTGCGCCCGAGCTTCGTTTACAGTCTGAGGGAGACGCACGCTGGAAACAAAACAATCTTCGCAAACATGTCTAAGGATTTCCACACAGAGGAAGACTTGCATTTTTTTGCCCAGCCATTTTTATTTGAACCCGAATACACGGGCGCACCAGACACACGTCAGCAGCGTCTTACGTCAGCAGCGGCACTGAACGCGGATCCACAACAGAACCGGAAGACAATACAATGCTGAATAAAGTCGTAGTTTTTGTTATTTTTGGACCAAAATGTGTTTTCGATGCTTCAAAACACTCTAACTAACCCACTGGTGTCACATGGACTACTTTGATGATGTCTTTATTTCCTTTCTGGACAAGGACAGTATACCGTACATACATGTTCAATGGAGGGACAGAAAGCTCTCGGACTAAATCTAAAATATCTTAAACTGTGTTCTGAAGATGAACGGAGGTCTTACGGGCTTGGACCGACATGAGGGTGAGTCATTAATGACATAATTTTCATTTTTGGGTGAACTAACCCTTTAAATCATGAAACGTTTTAAAAGGACCTGCGCTTAAAAGCTGTTGTGTGTTGTAGGGATTCGGCCGGCGTGTGATGGAGAAACAGGGCTGGAAGGATGGAGAAAGTCTCGGGAGCAGTCAGGTGGGAATAACAGATGCTTTAGAGAGCGAAGGACAGCATCCCAACTGTAAGAGAGGCTTTGGGTGAGTGTGGACTGATCTACTGCACCGCTTTCATTACTTCACACACGATATCCTGCTACTATTCTTTTTTTGTTAACAACTGTTTATTGAGTTTTCTTTTTTTAAAGTCAAGAAACACGAGAATACAAAGCAAAAAGCAACTATACAAGTCTAGAACCGAACCCACCCCACCCCACCCCTGGTAGACTTCAAGAAAATAACAATAAAATACAAACATAGAATGTAGACCCCAAAAAATATATATAACATTTTTTTTTTAATAAATAATAATAATAATAAAATAAATAAATTACATGGATGTTAAAAGGGTTGACACAATATTAAAAGCAATATCCTGCCACTATTCTTAATTCAGAATGGATCAGACTTTCTACATCTTTACTGATTTTTATGAAGTAAACATAGGAATAGCTTCTATATTGTTAGTAATATTTCAAGATGAACAGTTATTGAAGCAACGTAGGTTTACTTGATAGTCCATACATTATTAATGTTGTACAAATGCAAGTATCAAATATGATCCATCAGGCTTTTGAGGAATGTTTATTTGTTCATCTCTCAATCATCATTGTATTGCATTATATGTTTTGAAACTTCAGAGCTTTGATCATAAAAACTAAGCATTTAAATCATCTTTCTGAGACACATTATTGGCAGATAATAATGACTGATATTTATATGCATTATATGTTAGTAGTCCGATATAAAGATCTCATTGATTTACAATACAAGCTATCAGAATTTCATCTTTTTGCATATTCTTTTAATACATTGGTGTTTTTTTCCCACTCCATATTCTCACTCTATCATACTATATGAGCCATAAAATCCTGATGTATCAAAAACACATATCCGAACTTCATAAAAGTCATGGAAAATGTATTGGTCAAAAGGTGTAGGAAGTCTGTAAATTACTTCTTTTTATCCACATTAGTAATATTTCCTTTTATAATGCCGCTTAAAGGATTTCTACTCAACATTTGTGTGACTTACAGTAGACAACATTTAGGCTAGACTGATACATTATGACTAATGATTTAATTTCATATGTCTTGCAGGTACCATGGAGAGAAGCTCAGCTCATTCCTTCCACTTAAGAAACCCAGAAAAGAATTTCATATATCAACAATTTATGATAAACCTAAAGACATTGATAAAGGCGATGAACTCCTGCGGCGTCAACCAAGCACCAGCATGAAGCACAAACTCTGGCGGCCAGCGGGCAGCACTGACTCCACCAGATGACCGCTGTTTTATAGTGATATTCACTAACATTTTATAAAGACTGGGTATTTATTGTCTGTCAAAGAATGTTCTTACACAGAGCTGTACATTATTTTTCTGTAATTTCTGTATTAAAAGTGTTCAAGGGAAAGAAACACACTTTGGTTTTGTCTGAATAATCTTTACACTGTTATGATGTGAATGTGCAGATGTCGTCTTCATCATCATCATCATTATTACATAGATGCAATTGTATGAACAAATGTTAGATGTGTTACAGAAATTACCTTCTAAAGTATTGACAATGTAAGAAAATGTATGAAAAATCATTAATGCAATGTCATATTTTATTTAAAAAAATTCAATATTTATTTTGCTAACCATATAATCATACACCCTCAAAATGACTATTAATAATCTTTATCGCTATTTTATTTTTAGAGTAGGTTCTAAAAGAAAACAATTATACTAATGTGGTGGCAAACAAAATTCTATCACTGAATAAGTCGAGACAAACATTTCCAATTGTCTTTGATGAGGTTTATTTTCCTGCAAGAAAAGGCCAGCAGTCGTACAGTTACACAGAGTGGCTGCAGTGTGTGACTTCCTCTTTTATAGTCTTGACTCCCAGAATGTTATCTATCTAGACCAATTGATGGTATTTTCAACCATATGTGGAACATTCTCAGACTTGTTCATCATATTTTGCCCTTGAGTGGAGGCCCTCCTTTCACATACTCTTTACCATTCCAATACAATTCCATATTAGAATGAGGTTTGTGTTAGCTCTTTTACTGTCATTTAATGGTCACACACGTCTTAAAGATATAATTTCTTCCACAACTAACATATTACATAGAGACTTTTATTACAAAATGGGACTTTTATCTGTCCTCCAGAGGTCATTTCCTGTTGGTGTTCGCTGACTGTCGCTAGATTCCCGCTGCTGTATTGACACGTCACGAAGGTCAGGAACAAACTGATGGAAAAATGGCGTCCACCTACAACACCTTTAATCTGTGAGTATTAATTCATTACTCTGATACTCTGATTGATAACTGATTATCGATTAGATTAATCGAAGAGAGATCATTGGTCATCTTTGATCTGGTGAAGTCTAACGGTAAATAGTGTTTAGGAAGCAGCAGTGACTTGCATGTTCAGTGAACTAGCTACAGGCGCCCTGTCTGTGGCTGTGACTCAAAACCTAAGTGAGCTGACTACCTAGAGAACATTTTTGGGCAGCATTCTAGTGAAGTGCTTGTCTAGACCGCATGTATAGGCAATATTATTCCCCAAAATGTTAGTATGTTGATAGGTCGTGATGTTTTGAGACACAGCTTGTGATGCTGGTCATCAATCATGGAGAATCAGATTCCAGTCAGTTCACATCAAAAATCAATTTAGTTCAACTAAAATTGTTTTATTGATGTTCAGCAGTAGATTGCTTGAACCTCTTTGCAATTCAGCTACCTCACTTTAGTTGCTGGTGTTGTTGATGCAGATGCCAATATCTTACATAAATGAAAATATAAACCATTTCAAGAAATAAGTCCAAGCAGCATACTTTGAAAGAAATGTATATAAGATGTGATTGATAATTTCAGTGGCGCATATGAATGAAATGAATGTAATACAGACATGATAAGTGAGTGTAATGCCCTCGCCCTGTTCCTTAAACTGGATTTTACTACATTAACTACATATAATCTTCACTCTCCGCTCCTTTCACAGGCACACGACCCCTGAGAAGTTCTACATCGAAGCCTGTGATGATGGTGTTGGAGACGTCCTCGCCATTGACAGGGTGTCCACAGAAATGACCCTTACAGGTACAAAAGAGAACTGGACGCTTGAAACGCAACTCAAATGCAAATGTTGCTCCTGCAGTGTAGAATTGATGACAGACACTGTCTGTATCTGTACAGACCGAAGGCTTTTTCTGCTGAAAAGTAACTTGCCTCATTTTATGAGGGTGCTTATTGCATAAATGCTTTGAGTTGAACGCTCTTTTGAGGTCACAGAAGCGTTTGAATGAATCATGTGTTTCCCGAGTCATTCCTTAGTTAAACATCAGCAGAATTTTCAACCCAAATTAGGATGCAAACGTAAAGTCATATTTGGAAAATGGTTAGAGAGGTAGATCGCAATACATTCTGCAGGGGTTGTCGATAGTTTACAGTTAAATATCTAACATTATCTGATAAGTACTCAGAATAATATCAAATATATCATATTATTTAACATTAAATAATATTAAAATTATATATTTTGATTATTATAAGAATAATTATCATTATTTATATAATATATATACACTGCCCGGCCAAAAGAAAAGTCGCTGTCTGGATTTAAATAGACAAATGCTTAAGAGTCTATGATTGGATCATTATTGCAGTGATTATTAATTTCTAGCATGTTATATGTTTGACGTGGTTCTTCTAACCCTAATTGATGGAGTGTGTAGCTTTTTATTCTTAAACCAGACACATCATGACCATATTCCAGGATGACAATGTCAAGATTCATCAGGCTCAGGTTGTGAAAGAATGGATGGGAGGAATATGAAGAATCATTTGCACTCATGAATCGTCTCCTTAGTCCTCTAAAGTCCAGACCTTAAATTCATTGGAAGTCTTTGTGATGTGCTGGAGGAGACTTTACAGAGGCTGTACTCTTGCATTGATGCACGTTTTGATGGAAATAACATCACATAATTTCTCAATTATCAATTTGAGGTCAATGCATCTTGACATCCTGGAATATGGCCATGATGTATCTTTGTACATGCTTGTTTAAACCCTCATGTGGTGTTCAAAACCCTATAACACCTGTGGTCTTCCCGGGTCAAAATGGCCGGCCTATAAAAAATAGCTTATAAATCACTCATTATACGATATTTTCACCCAATCTTGGATTCAATCTTTTTGTCAACTTGTTCTCTTTCAATTAGGGCTGGTTTTGTATTTAATTTTCAAATGGTTTAATTGTAGGAGTCATTTATCCGAGCTTATGCACCTTAGTTTTTGAGTGAAAAAAGCATTATTTTGACCCGGGAAGACCATTTTTTTACTCAAAAAGTGAGATGCCTACTCTTAGATAAATGAAGCCCACGATTAATCAGATGCAAATGAAAATACAAAACCAGTCCTAATTGAACGAGAACAAGTTGACAAAAAGATTGAATCCAAGATTTGGTGAAAATATGGTATAATGAGTGATTTATAAGCTATTTTTTATAGGCCGGTCATTTTGACCCGGGAAGACCACAAGTGTAACAAGGTAACAAACCCCCCCTAAAAAAAAGTACAATTTTTAAAAAAAAAAAAACATTTGAGAGGTAGTTATACCCTTTGGGAACAAAGTCACTAAGTTTCAGTCCAATGCGATAACATTAGCTAGTATTTTTGGGAAAAAGAAAATCTTCTCCGGGTCAAAATCACCCGAAGACCACATGAGGGTTAAGAAATGAAAAGCTACACACTCCAATCAATTTAATAATATAATTAAAAAATATTTTATATTTTTCCTATGATAAAAAAAAAAAAAAAACAACACTGATACGAACAGATAACCTTAAAACTCTGTCTCTCTTTCAGTGAGGAAGGACGTCCCTCCTTCAGCGGTGACTCGACCAATATGTGGCATCATGGGAACCATACGGCTGGTGGCAGGTACGATCTCTGGAAATGAATTGTGAGTCATAAAGTACTCACCCTGTTGTTGCTCTAATGCCGTTTGCCCTTCTTTCTTTAATGGACCACAAAAGGAGAATTTAAAGAAAATGTCCTGCTCACGCTCGTCCATATATTGGCGGCGAATAGCGACCAGCATCAAGCTGGTGTCACAGACTGAAGTATCACAGAATGAGCCCATACGACACATGCCGCATATTCCAAGTGTTCTGAGGTATACGATATGAAATTTCAAATTGTAGTTCACTCTGTCTCGCCCAGAAAAAGCACACAAAATCAGGATTAAGAAACACGCGTACCTTCTTCTCCGAGGTAAATATATTCGTCGTATCAAGAAGTTATCGAGTTCACATCAAGGTTATTATAGTTTTGCGTTTTTATTTTAATATCGTTTTCAATTTTGCTTTAAATTTCAGTTTAGTCTCCAGAGTTGCTTCATAAATTTAATCCCAACATCCCCAATCAATGTATAAAATGCAACTTAGAGATAGGAACTTTATACCATTGCTTATGGAAGTGCCCTCAAGTTCAACTTTATTGGGAAAAGGTTTTGGACTTTTTGTTACTGGTGGTGAAACAGAATGTCCCCAAATGTCCTAAACTTTGTATATTTAATATTTTCCCTGTAACTTGCACTCTAACTAACTCTGGTAAGAAAATGTTGACCTTTTGTTTATTACAAGCAAAACTTGTAGTTGCTCGTCATTGGAAAAACGCAGAAATCCCTAATTTTAAACAATGGTTACAGGAATTGTCAGGTTGTTTGGCTTTGGAGAAACTCACATATATTGTTAAAGGAAAATCTGGAAAGTTTTTCAAAGTATGGAACCCCTTTATAGAATTTTATTTCGGTATTATTTTCGGTGTAACCAGGAATAACATTTACCATGTTATGATATTAATGTACCATTGTCTTGACATTTGTATAGTATAGATGTTGTCGTCGTTTTAATTTTTTTATTTTTTATTTTTTTTGTATATTATTTTCATGTGCTTGTTTTAATGTAAATGTTTCTAAAATCAATAAATACAATGTAAAAAAAAAAAATCAGTTTAGTTTTAGCTAGTTTCATTAATGGTTTTGTTAGTTTTAGTTTAGTTTTTATTTTGCAAACACATTTCTATTTAGTTTTTATTTTATTTAGTTTTAGTAATTATAGTTTAGCAGAGCAAACAGAACACTTCCAGTATAGACCAAAGCGAGTGGCTTAATTTCAGCAAAGTTTAATGTTTGCACAGATTACTGTTAACTCTTGTGCAGACATCTTAATAATAACAATAAAATAATGGTTTGAGATTGTACAAAGCACCAAATAAATGGAACTTAAAAGTATACAAGAAAAAACTATGAAAAAGTCTGACAAAACACATTCTCACATTGTGTGCTTTTTCTGGGTGAGACAGAGTGAACTGCTGCGCTAATAGTTTTACGAACACGCACGTCACGTACCTGTGCACAGACCAATGGCCAAGGTCAGGATTTTCGTAAAATCCATTCAATTTCACATCGTATACCCCAGAACACTTGTAATATACGGCACATGTCTTATGGGATCATTCTGTGATACTTCTGCATCTTTTTTAAAAAGCTTGATGCTGATCGCTGTTCACTGCCATTGTATGGAAAAGTGTGACATTTTTTAAAAAAATCTCTTTTTGTGGTCCATAAAAAAAGAAAGAAGGGCAAACGGCATTAGAGCAACAACAGGGTGAGTCATTTATGACTTAATTTTCATTTTAGGGTGAACTATCCCTTTAAATTCCACATTTAATAAAACATCAGTTGAATCTGTTAACATTAGTTAATGCACTGTAAACTAACATGAACAAACAATTAACAATTAGATTTTTACTAACATGAAGAAAGATTAATAACTGCTTTAAAGGGGTCATCGGATGCTCATTTTCCACAAGTTGGTATGATTCTTTAGGGTCTTCATGTAGAGTTTGTAACATACTTCGGTTAAAATTCCTCAATGGTTGTGTAAAACAACACCCCTTTTGCCTCAAAAACAGCTCTGTTCACAGCGACCCGTTTCGGTGCATGTCTCTTTAAATGCTAATGAGCAACTGCTCACTCCACCCCTCTCTTCCAGTGGGTGTGTCGACACAAGACACGTAAAGTATTGCCTTGGCGGACAGTATAGACCTTATTCGCAAACACCGGAAGTAGCTTACCGCGGCCATATTGTTGACATGACATCTGTCCTGCTGCCTTTAGCCGCGCGCAGATTTGAGTTGAGGGGAGCAGTAACGTTAGCCTAGTGGCTTCATCTCGTCGGTATCAAGAGAAGATAAGCTTGATTGGTGTGGACCCACATCAAATAGACCCAATAGCATTAAGTAAAGATCCGTCCTTATTGCCAGCCGTAACTTATCCGGATATTTAAAACAATCTCGTTCATACAGTATCCGTATACAAACTACAATTTACCTCAACAAGGCAACATAATGAACGACACTCGTCTCATTCGTGGAGGTGGAAAAACAAGTTCTTTGTGACATGCAAGATTTGTTGTATTAAAATGTAAATGCAAAAGAAAAGGCATGAGAGTCGGTTGTTTTCAATTTTAAGTTTCAATTTAAAATGTTTGCGATTTTAATATAAGTACATGGTTACATATTTGACCACTTGCTTGAGCAACTTAATATATAGAAGTAATGCATGGAATAATTGGCTTACGTTGTTAAAATAGTGAGTATGTGTTAAAATAAAAATAGTGAGTACCGGGGTGTTTGTGGTACAGCCGCGGATCATAATATATGCACTGCAAACGCAGCATATTATAAAGCACTATAGCGCGTCCTGCTTCTGTACCGTATACGCACGGCACACGGATTATGTGTGAAACCTGTGGTAAAATGATGGGAACAGACTTTTCTGTGGGGATCGAGTTGGCTGAAAGTTTAGCCTATTTTTCCTTGCTAGCCTCTCCTGCGCTGGCTCAACTCTGTCTCCTTCCCTTCACGTTTTCTGACAGTCGGTAACTTATCGCATAAAAACTAACTCCGGGGTTCTTATTGCTGTTGTTAGAACAGCCGTGTATTACACAACACACCATCACGCTGTTTAAAAAAAATACAGTGATAATACTAGGGGTGGAACGGTACACAGAAGTCACGGTTCGGTTCATACCTCGGTTCAGACATCACGGTTCGGTACGTTTTCGGTACAATGGAGGGAAAAGCAAAACAAAAATGCAGAAGGCATTGTATTTAAAAAAAAAAAAAATTTAATAAAGGCATAGAACCAGTTTATTTGTAGTGCACTGACAATAGTTTTATATAATTAGTTTATTAATTAAATTATTAAAAAGATAAAAAGACCTTGCGATATGTTTGGTAATTGTACCTGAATTAATTGAAAATTATTTTGCTATATTTCAGATCAATATATTTGTTTTCCTTAATTTTAATTAACATTATTAATTGACAATGTAACATTATTCTCTTCTGAATTATAAATAATTGATTTCTGTTTAAAATAATACTACCATTAAAAACACATTCACCTTTTAATCAATGTAGAATGTGTAAGATTAGTGCTCCGAGGACAAGAAATGGAAACCAATGCAATATGACGAATGTCCAAAAGATGGAACACACAGACTGTTTTGAAATGGAGTTGGATAAATGTTTTGCTTTTAAAGCCACACCATGCAGAAATTGTGTTTTTGTCAAACAGCGACCCCTATAGTCGCTGTGGAATACTTGCACTGTCGTAAATAGCTAGCTAGACATAATGTGGAAATTACTGGACAGGTCTAATTATCAACAATGGATGAATGAACAGCATCGTAAAAAAAATGACATACTACAAGCAAGCGCAACAACATAGAACGCAAACAAGTTTAGAAATAAGAGATTTATTTACTAGTCTATCAACAAGATAGCCAGGTCAGCATCGCTGTTGCATCCAGTGCTGCTTTTTAGCTCGCGCCAACTAGTGAAAGCCCGACCGAGTGGGACTGTCACAACTCTGAAGGAAATAGTCAAAGGATTCAGTTGCGAGTAAACAGTAATTTATTGAGCACAATAGTAGATAGCCGTGTGGGTCAAAATGGAAGCAGGCAGAAGAAGACTCAGGCTCGGAAAAACAGGGACGCAGTGGGCAGACACATATGCAGGAACAGGTAGAAATTCCTCCGGGAAAATCTCAGGAAAACACTGCATGGGTACAGGAGTGGAATGCAGGAGAACACGGTGAGTAGAACCCTGGTAGCCTCAACTACCATCTGACATAGACAGGACGAGGTAAAAAAATATATATATAGGACATCCTCATTCAAAACAGCTGGCGCTGATCAGCTCATCAGCCGCGCTCACTCACACAACACGCACACACATAGCGAGGGCGAATCAGGGACTCTTTTCCAGTTCCTCACGCGGTCAGATTCTCTTTTCCTTTTCCTAGTCTCTTCCGACCGTGTTTTCTTTGCCTTTTCCATCGTCGAGTATCACGTCTGAAATGCACGCAAGTGTCTTCGTGCTTCATATATTGTTGTTGATGTGTGTGACGTCGTTGCCGTAAAGCATGTCGTTATTCTCGCGAGATTTGTCGGGGGCGCTCCTCTCAAACTTGCATTGCTGGTTTTTACAGCGGCGTCCCCCCCAAGCTTTACTACCAGGATGATTCGCCCTACTGTGAGTTTGTTTACCACCGAAATGACTTTGAAGCTGTTATATTAAGGTACAATTCTTGCATAGTGTGCCTTTAAAACAGTGTGTGTGTGTGATTTTGGTTGGGTGACAACCAAGAGACAAGAGTTTACAGTGTGACAAAAGCACAATGTTGTGTTTTATTGCGAGTGTACACAAATATAAGTAAACACTTTGCAGGTTTAATGATCTGAACAAAATGACGGAGTATGTTTTTTGTTTCCACTGTTCGATCCGCCAGCGCCTCTCTCTCTCTCTCTCTCACACACAGTTCGATCGCGCCCGCGCACCTCTCTCTCTCTCTCGCATTGCAATCTTGACATCGCTGCCTGTTCATTATGAAATTAAGAAACGTCAAATTCGCGTCTAGTTCGACGCTAGTCCAAAGCGAATAGGACGCGCGTATAAAGCCAACGTTTGAAGTGAACGCGCGTTCAGAACTAAGCCGATGGTACAGATTATGTGTCCCTAAAGAACCCGCGTATCTAACAGTAGTTCCGCAATACATTAATTAATTTGCACGCGAGTTTTATTTATTTTTATACCGTGTATTCTCCGTGTACATTCGTGCACCGAACCGTGACGCCCGTACCGTTTCGGTTCGATACGAATACATGTACCGTTCCACCCCTAGATAATACCATGGATGATACCGACGCTGCCTCGCTTGTCAATTGACAGACTGACAGTTGCCGTGATTTCTATGTCAACAATATGGCCGCCGCAAACATTGATGACGCAGATCGAATAACATCTATACAAATGTCTAGGGGCAGAAATATGCTAATACGGGACAGTTCGTCAGCGGTCGTGGGCGGAGCATGAGTAATATGACATCATATTGCTCAGAAAATCCAAACGCTTGATTTATTGACAGTGTTCAGGCTTTTCGAGGATTAAAAAAAGGGAGTGAATGGATTTTTTCATTGTATGGTGGTTGTGTCCACACACTGCAAAGACACATATGTAAACACCTTATAAAAGTGAATTTTTCATCTGATGACCCCTTTAAAATATATTGCTCGTTAATGTTAGCTAATGCATGTACTAATGTTAAGAAATGAGACTTTATTGCACCTTAAAATGCATTCTGAACTCTCATTCTGCATTCTGAATGATGCTGAGCCCTGCTCTCTCTGTTTTTTCAGGCATGTATCTCATCGTCATTACAAAGAAGAAGAAAGTGGGTGAGCTGTTTGGCCACGCGGTCTGGAAAGCGGCTGACTTTGACATCATTTCATACAAGAAGACTGTTCTGCATCTGACTGATAATCAGGTTGGGTCGTTTTCCAAAAGCATGCGTAGAACTCTCTTCCATCATGTGCGTCACTGGTGTCACCGCAGGGAGTTATTATTTTGACTGGATTTTTGCCCACGATATTCATGGGACTTTTGAGCATCTCTTTATTTAAACAGAACTAAACCATGATCTTGAACCATTGAATTCTTCAAAATGTATTTATAGCCGGGATATTTTTGTTTTGCTTTAAATGTGGAGCGTGTATACTTTAGCTGCCTTTTCTCATGAAAAGTTATCCAGGTCACATTTTTCCCCAACAATGATATTATATTAATATAATGCATAATGTGCTCTTTAAACAGGCTTCTTTTTATTTAAGCAAAATATTATTTGAATGATTTTAGGGGGATGTATGCCCAACTTTTATAGTTTAGTGTGTCAAATAAATCAACCAAAATTCACTAGAGAAACAATGTGACATTGTCATTTTTTTTGAAGAAGTCACACTTGTAAAAGTCACACTCTTAACATGTTTATTGACTACTATTAGCAGGGCTTGACTTTACCTTTTTTGCTCACCAGCCACTGTGGCTAGTGGTTATCCAAAGTTACTTGCCATTCAGTATTTTCACTGGCCACAATTTTGACATTGATACCATGGGGGAAACCTGCCATATAGTTTACTGCCATAATTGAATAATTTGGCTGCTGTCACTTTAAGACCTGATGCACTGATCCATTATTCTGTTACACATGTATTTTCTTTCACAAACTGTTTACGTTCACTTAAAACATAACTTACTGTGTTTGCATGAATATTGCCAAGAAGACTGGCATTTTGACATTATTTTGTGTGTTTTTGACTGTTTAAGCGCAAATAACTCAATTTATTACTGTGGGGCCTTTATGTGCGCGCACTTTTAGTCAGCAGAAATAAAAACATTATTTAAGTAAGTTGGGCTGCTTTCTCAAAACATTCCCTAAATGCAGCCTAACTTAGAAACTTTGTCTTATCGAAACTAATAATGTTTCTATGGATCTTCCAGATGCAAGACGACAAAGCCTTCCTGTCCATGATCAACAGCGTCCTGAATACAGACGGTTTCTTCTTTGCCACGGACTATGACCTGACGCACACGCTACAGCGCCTGGCCAACACCAGCCCAGAGTTTCAGGAGATGACCTTACTGGAGCGAGTGAGAGAGATGCTCAGTTTACATGCGTTTAGCAGACACTTTAATCTAAGGTGTTTTGGGGGTCTACTACAATAGGTTTTTATGCTTCTAAGGGTTCAATAAACATAATTTTTCTCATATTTTATATTGTTGCAGCACCTCTCTTTCCAGTCTGACAGTTTAGTTCCTGTCTCTATGATTTTTTTTTTGCAGGATGTTGTTAAGTTATGAACATATCTATCATGTAACATCACAATTCTGTAATGCTCATTGCTTAAAGAGGTCTTATCATAGTGTGTTTATGGTAACACTTTACAATAAGGTTCAATTAGCTAACATAGGATAATGTATTAACTAATAAGAATGAGAAATACATTTGTTACAGTATTTATTTACATTTAAAAAAAAAAAATTTTTACAACTGATCCTTGTTCATGTAAGCTCAGTTCCATTAAATATTATTAACAGGTACAACTTTTGATTTTTAATTATGTATTAGTAAAATTAACCCTACATTTCATTGTTAGTTCATGTCAACTAATGTAGTTAACTAATTTTAACAAATGGAACCTTATTGTAAAGTGTTAATGTTTTTATTTCATGTTTTTTTTAGAATTTGGTGCTTTCATGAGGTATGACGGATGAAACTGTTATTATAGCCTCTTAAAATTGTTTTATACAGGCGGATCAGAGATTTGTGTGGAACGGTCACCTTCTCAGAGAATTCATGGCACAGCCTGAGGTAAACGCAAGATTGTTTTAGGTCGGGCTACTATTTTAAGAGTAACTCATTTAGACATTGTGTAGAATTCTGCAAGGAGCACCACATGTCTCTGTGCCTGATCATATGTAGAAAAATCTTTACCTAAAGAAGGAATGAAATCATGAATGTTTCCTGGTTCTTTTTGACGTTGTGTTTTCTCTTACAGCTACACAAATTCGTCTACCCGGTTGTTCACGGCTGTATCCTTTAACCAGACAAACATTTGTCATCTCTGACACATTTCCGTCCACATCGATGTGTGTAATAGAAGTGTCTGTGTTCACATTCAGACAGATGTATAGTCCTTAATCTCCGCTCACAGTCATCACTATGAAGTCGTGCTGCATCAACGGCAAAATCTTTGACTGGATCATCATTTCCAGGAGGAGCTGCTTCCGCGCTGGCGTCCGCTATTACGTCAGAGGTACGCTTGTGCGGTTTTAAACAGTGGCTATTTTTGATTTATATGCTACTAAATGCTGTCTTCTCTTCCTCTTCCAGGTATCGACTCTGAGGGTCACGCGGCCAACTTTGTTGAGACAGAACAGATTGTTCAGTTTAATGGAGGAAAAGCATCATTTGTTCAGGTAAGCCTCTGAAATGTAAGCATCCAAATATCAGTTTTCATGCTAATCCATTTATTGAGGAATCATCCAGTGTAGTTTCAGTGGATATTCTGGAGGAATTATTTTGAGCTCTTAATGTTGGAGTGAATCTACATGGTAAATGAAACCGTTATCTTTTTGGTATCTCTCCTAAATGCCTGTCTGTCGGCTCGATTCTCAAGGGTACAAAGACAAAGGCAGCAGAGATGAATGTCACAGTGGTTTGATGAATCATGAACCACAGATATCAAATAAATATGCGCTTGTTTTTGATCTGTGAATCCATGCAACCATTTGATGTCACGATACTTACAGATTTAGACCCTGATGTTTCCTTTTCCCACAGTCGGGAGAGGAAACTTTCTGGAATGTTGCTCTGCTCTTGTTTTATTTTTCTTAAACTTGTCTCCAATCTGAATGCTGGTTGCTAGAATCCCAACATTTCTTATAAGACAAAGTTGTGCTTTCTTTTGATATCTGTTAATGAATGAAGGAATAATCCAGTAAATCTCTGTTATCTTTGTCCACAGACTCGAGGCTCCATCCCGTTCTACTGGTCTCAGAGACCGAACCTCAAGTACAAACCAAAACCACAGATCAGCAAAAGCATCAATCACGTGAGATGCTTTCTTTATTTTTCTTTCTTTGTTTTGTTTGAGTCAGTGCAAATAAAGATGTTCATGATTTTAAATATGTATTAGTAAATGTTGCAATTAATAATAACCGAGATTAATATATGCTTAAATATATTTTGTTTGTGTATATATATATATATATTCAATATTGTTTATTGTTAGTTCATGTAAACTAATGTAGTGACTAGTGTTAGCAAATGAAAAGTTATTGTAAAGTGAGATAGAAAATCTTTTGTATTATTATAATAACTAAAGTTGTAATGTAATGACATATATATATATATATATATATATATATATATATATATATATATTAGGGCTGTCAGTTAAACGTGTTATTAACGGTGTTAACGCAAACCCATTTTAACGCGATTAATTTTTTTATCGCGCGATTAACGGTCTTTTTGGCCTAGCAAACTTTGCCGTTTTTTCACATGCTTTTGCAACAGGATGCGCCGCGCGAGGACGTTTTGTTGCTTCGTCGACCAAAACGCAAGCGGATCTAGCTAGACCGGAAACAAAACACACTTGTTTGGGCTTGCGAGCCGGCCAAATTGGTGGTTAACGTTACGTTTTGAGTGGATGACGAGCGCGAGACGCCGAAATGGATGCCAATAAGATTCTGAATGGAAAGTTTACTTTTAAAAAGTTGCCAAATGGTCCCATTGACAAGACCAAAGTGATCTGTGTGTTTTGTCGTTGTGAACTGAGCTATCATCATCGCAGCACGTCCAGTCTGAAACCACTTGATGATGGCCAAGCACAAGCACACACACTCACACACACACACACACACACACACAGCTGATGCGAATTCTCTTTCACCCTTTTATTGATGGACAGTGTTACATTGTGTGAGAGATTATTTGCTCCAAGTGAGAATGTTAGTGTGAATTTGAACACAGTATATGTCAATGTTGTTTTCAATAAAAAACATTTGCCCAAAGCAAGCCGATCCACTTTTCCATGTTGATAAGAGCATTAAAATGAGAAAAAATAATGGGACAAAAAGAAATCAAGAGACATTAGATGAGATAAAAATGTGCGATTAATTGCCATTAAATATTTTAATCGTTTGACAGCACTAATATATATATATATATATATATATATATATATATATATATATATATAATAACATCATACAACATTATATTATATAATATATATTAAATAATAATAAAAGCCCTTAAGTTATTGAGATGGGTTGATCTCATTGTTTATTTTAAACTTTTTTTTTAACCAATTATAAAGTTCTATTTTAAACTTTATTTAAAATTGAATTCCGAAAACTTGTTTATTATAGATAGATATAGATAGAAAGAAAGATAAAAGTATTTCTAAGTAGATCAATCATTTTAAATTGCTTATATTAATCAGTCTGCCATTTATTGTGTGTCTCCACTTGTGTACCGCTTCTCTTCTCACAGCTGGATGGTTTCCAGAGACATTTCGACTCTCAGATCATCACGTACGGCAAACAAGTGATTCTGAACCTGGTACGTTGCCTGTATTTGCTCCGTTTACACTGAGGTGTCGCTCCCAGGCTGGAAATATCTCATTAAGATTTCTTTTTATTCTCCAGATTAATCAGAAAGGCTCAGAAAAGCCGCTGGAACAGGCCTTTGCAAAGATGGTGGGCAATCTGGGCAACGGCATGATCAAGTGAGTCGATAAGAAAATCTCATAAAGCACTGATACAGATCCGCAAAGGCCGAACTCATACTGTGTTCATCTGCAGGTACATCGCGTTCGACTTTCACATGGAGTGCAGCCGTATGAGGTGGCATCGCCTGCAGATCCTGGTGGACACGGTGGCGGAAATGCAGGATGAGTTTGGGTATGAGGTGTTTGCATGCAAAAAGAGTTTTATCTGTTAGAATCTAATGCTCCTGGGCATAATTTGAATGCTCTTATTTGTTTATTTTTTCAACAGCTATTTCCTGGTGGATTCAGACGGATCGGTCCAAAAACAGCAGGACGGGACGTTCCGAAGCAATTGCATGGACTGTCTGGACCGAACCAACGTCATCCAGAGTCTGCTGGCCCGTCGCTCGCTGCAGTCACAGTTAGAGGTGTGTGTGATGAGACTATTGATTATCCTCCATGGGACTGTCATTAGAACAAAATTCACATTGAATTAAGGGTGTGTGATGTCACGATTATATATATAACAGATATCACCAAGTTATGGAAATGTATAGGGAAATTTTAGCTATATTGCCCAGACCTACGTCAAAAGATGAGTCATTATTTGCGGTCCGTTTTGCCAGTAAACAAAGACTGTACGGAGACTGTTTAAAATGTGTGTAATGTCTTATATAAGCTGAAAAAATCATCTTTTAGGAGTACACAAACATATAGATGAGATTTTGCTTCTTGTCTTTTAGCTGAGAGGTTTCCTCATATTTCATGTCTTGTTTATATGTAGAGGATGGGAGTTTTACATGTGGGGCAGCGGATTGAAGAACAGGCGGATTTTGAAAAAATATACAAGAATGGTGAGCAAAAACTAATCCTGATATTCAATTGTCTGGCTGTGTGAGACTGTCTCATTCATACCCTTTCTATTCTTGCTTTCTTTGTTTTCATTCCCTGCAGCATGGGCGGATAACGCCAATGCGTGTGCCAAACAGTACGCTGGCACTGGAGCCCTGAAGACTGATTTCACACGGTAAGAAGGACCGGCTTCTGCTCTGCTTGTGTCTGAGAGCAGTGGCGGCGCCAGGGGGGGTCTTGGGGGGTCTCAAGACCCTCCCAAAAAACGCTTTGACCCCCCATTTGACCCCCCACTCCCTTCCTGATTAAAAAATATATAAAGATTTTAAAATGTTTCTCTTCAAACTACGCAGAACAATAGTAATTAATAATTTATTCGACATATAAAAAAATATAAACATAGAATCACTGCGACGCCCCACGAACGTCGCTGCGGCTTGCGTCATTGCGTTCAAGGCGCTCCCGCGAGCCCGCAAGAGCTGCTACGCTACGGCGGGCACGGATGGTGGGAATCCTGGCGGCTGAGTGGATTTAACGGGGGATTTAAGCCATGGCCCAGCCGAGAAACCAAGACAGCCTCAACTAAAATCATACCCGCGTCGTTCTTTTGGATCGCAGGGGCAGCTAGCATCCAGGGGTTTTAGTTGCTCATGATTCAAACAGTACCAGTGGCTTGAATAGGCTATTCTGTGTCAAAAAAGACGCGGCTTTTTGTTTTGCCTGTCGTAATTTTTTTCACAGTGTGCATGGATCTGGTGGTCACTCATTATATCCAGTCTCCTCAAAAAGTGTCAATTTTAACATGCTATATAAAATTATCTGTGGGGTACCGGCTACGTAGCCTATTTTGAGCTAAAACTTCATATACACACTCTGGGGACACCAAAGACTTATTTTACATTGTATGAAAAGGGCATTATACCAACCCCTTTAAACTTTAGTTTTTTTTGTGAGTAGGCTATCAATAAGTAGCCTATTTCAATCCTCATTGAAAGTCAATTACAGCTACAACTTCAGCAGGCACAAGACAAAATTTACGAAATGGCTGAGCTGAGACATCAATTAGACAGAGAGACGCTTAAAAAAAGGAATGAGAGATGATCTGTTTTATGACACAGATTAAACACTGACTACGTTTACATGCAGCCAAATTTCGGGTTATGGTCGGGTTAAGGTCACTATTCGGGTTTCTGAAACATTAGGGATAACCCGTTTACATGCGTGAGCAGAGAGAGTTTCTCCTGTATACATGGAATTGCAATATCCCGATGTAAACGCGACGCGCGGTTAGCGTCAAGACGTACGGACAACCTTAAGACGCAATATGTGTCATTTCCGATTCTTCTTCCTGTATCCAAAGACAACAACAACAGCAGCACGCGGATAATGAATACTTCGGGGCAGATAGCGATCGCCTTTGTTTGCGCTTTGGTGCTGGTACTGACCTCGCTCCAAAAGTATGCTGTGCTGCGTCTCGCCATGTTTACTTCCGGTATACTGCACGCAGGTTTTTGTATGCGCCGAGAAGTTCCTCTACTCAAAAGACCAAGATTCCTTGCGAATAGAACATGCGCAGAACACAAATCACTATGGGGATATGCCGATGCGCGTTTACATGACCAAAAATTCGGGTTAGAAAAGGGGTACCCCAGGTATCATATCCCGGTTTTTAAAATCCGGGATATGAGCATATTCGGGTTTTTGCCGGGGTTTACATGGCCGTGCGCGACCGGGTTATTGCTAATATCCCGGTTTAAACGGGTTATTGGCTGCATGTAAACGTAGCTACTGTTAGGTAGTAGGTACATTACCGTTCAAAAGTTTGGGGTATGTAATATTTTTTTATGTTTTTGAAAGTCTCTCATGGATCACCAAGGATGCATTTATTTGATAAAAAACTGTAATATTATAAAATATTATAACGGAATTTAAAATAATTATATTTTAATATATTTACAAAATGTAATTTATTCCTGATGGCAAATGGCAGAGAAGACAGGAGGAGACTGGACAGAAGTAGGGCAATCAAAAGGTAGTGAGAGCATGACAATAGATACTATTTTGTAAATATGTTTTCTGTCATGGGTGTGTGTGGCTATGGCAATTAAAATTCAAGCATATTGTTTGCAAAATGCAATTGATTAATTAATTAAAAACAAAGTAGTTGATATGCTGTGTTGTTTTTGTTGTTAAGTAGCAGTAATATGAAGTTATTAGCCGTGTCCACTGTATTTTTTGTTGGTTTTCATGAGACCCCCCTTGAAACGACCAGGACCCCCCATTGCCCCCCCCAATCAAAATCTGTCTGGAGCCGCCACTGTCTGAGAGTAAGTGTTTAGATGGAGTGTAGAAGATGATTGGTTGTCTGTGTGCTCAGGACGGGAAAGAGAACCCAGTGGGGTTTGCTGATGGACGGATGGAACTCCATGATCAGATACTACAAGAACAACTTCTCGGATGGGTTCAGACAGGTGAGCCTCACATGGACAAACCATTGTTCCTTAATTTGTCTTAAACACATTTTAAATAGTATTTTAACATTTAAAAATGTATGATTTATGGATTCAGAAGAAACTGTTGGCTCTTTCCGCACCATTGACAAGATTTTTCGTCATTTATGACAACGCTTTCCCGCCGCAATCCATGTTTTCACTGGACAAAGTATTTGACAAAAACGTGATTTTCTCAGTTTTGTTCAAAATGTTGCTTTTTTCATGAAACGTGTAAATAATCTGTTCATGAAAAGTGTTGATAAAAAAACAAAGAATGCATGAAACTAGAATATTTTTTAGAGCAGGGGCTCTGCTCTTTCTTTTTATATGAATTCTGTGTTCAGATATTCATACAACAAAATATTCTGGGGCCATGAAATCTATGTGAAAAATATATCTTTTCTTTTTCCAAACCCCTTTGACCAGAAATATTATTATTGAAATACTAATGCTTAAATAATTTAACAATACATTTACATGTTTTAAAAAAATGTATTTCATCTTAAATATAGAATTTTTTTTTTCATTTTAAAATAATTTATTATTATTATGTATTTTGTATGATGTAATGAATTTTTTGTAATTGTTTTATTTTCATCGTTTTTCATTTGCTTATTTTTTCATTTTACATTTTTATGATTTAATTCATTTATTATTTATATTATGAATTATTCAAATTATTTTAATAAATAAATAAATAATACATTTTTATCATCTCAGCTTGGAAAACCCTTATCTAGTGTAAATCAGTAGCAAATGCAAAAAAGACATGTTGTGTTTAATTTCTTTGCTGTGTCTGTAGATATTTCAGTCTGTTTCTCGAGCAAAGCATCATATGACTTCAAAAGACACATGAATCCTATTAATGATTTATAAAATCCAAATTTTTGCAGATTGACAGATGTGTAAAGGAATTTTACACTGATCTGTAGAGTGCAGGAATTAATCCTGCTAATAATTTTTATTTTTTTCTCCAGGACTCCATTGACCTGTTCTTGGGGAACTATGCAGTGGAAGAGGCCGATATAAACACTCCTCTACATGAGCCCAAAGACTGGAAGTTCCTCACGGTAAGAAGCTCTGAACCCAGAGGAAACTAAATTGGCCTTTGTCCTGCTTGTCTTTAGGTCTCATTATTTGTTTTCAGCAGCAGAATACAGCAGGGTTATTAAACCCCGCCCCTTTTTTACAATCCACCGAGACTCCATTTTTAAGTGTCACGCCCACATCTCAACTGACACATACAACCAAGACCCGACCTACATTTTTTTTCTCCAATAATCCATTACACCACAATGTACATCCACAATATGAAAAAAAAAATCTGTCGCTACTTCAATTTCTTCTCAAATTTAAACATTTTGAATCTATTATTTTTGGCATTGATATGGAGCTTGAGATTAATATTGTCAAAAGGCTAAAAATGAATACAATCAGTGCTGACGTTTTTCCCTCCTCACTTTCAGCTGCCGATCATCATGGTGGTTGCTTTCTCAATGTGCATCATATGTCTCCTTATGGCTGGTAAGACACTGATTAACATAAATATATTGATATTAAGGCAAGACTCTACAGTCAAAACCATGTTTTTTCGTGCACTGGTCAATTTTGAGATTTTGGATTGTTTTGCTTCCAAAACATGTCTTCTTTCAGAATAATGGAAAGGAAAATTAAGTGTTTATTTTATTGCACTTTGCATCTGTATATTTCAATGACAATACATATCTTTGATATAATTATCAGTGAGTTTTTCTCCTGCACCGAGTCAGAAATCTCCACCTCAGCAGCTTTACATACACCAAACTTTACAGTTTTATTCATATATCATTCACCTGATGTATTTAACATTTATTCCTAATAACTAACATTTATTTTCTGTTTGTTGGTATTTTCTGATTTTTCTGATCCAAACTTTTGTCAACAAAATTGTGATCCTGGCTTTATCCAATGTTAAGATTTCTGGTCTGGAAATATATGCAAATATGTGCATATTTAATTAGATAATGCCTCATTTGCATATGTCAACACCTTTTCAGAAAACTTTCAATGCAACATTTTTTTTGCATTTCTTCTTGTAATTAATCAACTGTGGAAGCATGGCGATATCTATTAGTTAACATTTTTTTTTTACTCAATTCACCCTTAGTGTCTTGCCTTATTAGTAACATTGTGCTATTTGAAGTAATATCAGTGCCTGTGTAAACGGTTGCTCATTCTCCTTCTATTACCCAGGCGACACCTGGACGGAGACTCTGGCGTACGTGTTGTTCTGGGGCTTGGCGAGTGTCGTGACCGGCGGCGTGATCCTCTTCAACGGCCGGGACTTTGTGGACGCGCCCAAACTGGTGCAGAAGGAGAAGATGGACTGAACCTGCGTGTGTGGGAAGCAGCTTGGTCCCATCGAGTCTTCATCCTCCTCCTCCTCATCCTCAGTCCTGTCTTACTCTCAGCTTCACCGGGCCTGGAGCCTGTACTGAGGAAGAGGACGAAGGCCTGGGGCCGGACGGGACCGAACGCACGCGCTGCTCTCCACACGAGGATCGTATCACCCGGGACCATCTCACAGAGATCCCATAATTCCATCTACATATAGGCAGCTTTACAGGCGCAAAACCAAGCACCTTAGACTTGACCATGAGGTTCTCGGCCCCGTCCTCGTGGTCCACACGTCCCGACAGCGTGTTTTCATGGACGCCCGTGTCTAATCGCACATATTCCACCGGCTCTCACAAGTCGCAGCTCTCGGACTGTTTGTGTAAAACCAAACGCATTTATATCGCATCTGCCGTCACGTCAAAATCATCGTCTTGTTTTCTAATAAAGATACGTGCACAATAAGATACATTGGTAACACTTCACAATAAGGTTTGATTTGTTAACATTAGTTAACTACAACCAACATTTAATGCATTTTTAAAATCCAAAGTTATTTGTGAACACTGGACAATTGACAAGTATTGCTCACTGTTAGTTCATGTTGGTTAATATATTAACTTATATAAACAAATGAAACCTTATTGTAAAGTTTTACAAGAAATGTTTTTAAGGTAATAACTTTTAAGGTTCTGTATGTTAGCATTGGCTAAATGCAATTGCTAGCATGAACTAACAATGAACAAGTTTATAGCATTAATTTCTGCATACACATTTTTAATATACATATGCATTTTTAATTAACTTGTTATAAATAAAACCATTTAATCTATATTATTTTCGTATTATCTGTATTAAATTCTGTACCAAATTGTTCATTTTCAGTTTGATGTGAACAAACCGAACGTTATTGTAATAAGTTTTGTTCTCAGCAAATATATTTTATGCTAAATTCATTTTTAGCAAATAGTTTTTTTCCACCTGTTTTAAGCAATGCTTGAAACAAGAAAAAAACATTACAAAAATCAATGTAATTTAATATATGTTTTTGAAAACAAATCTTAATATCTTCAATTCTGCATTACAGGGAATTTTTAGTTGGTTCTGAGAGTGCTTTATAATTTATTTATTTTTACTAGAAAACAAGACGAGCAGCATTTTGCATTTGCATTTTGTAGTGAACGTGAGACGGAGCCAGGCTTCAGGTGCGGTTAAATGGACTCGTTTTATCCTCGCCTTCAATATCACGGTCTTCCTCAGTCTGAGATTCGGGAGCTTTTACGAATGAACTGTTTATTAAAGTGATTCAGCTGAATGAACTGATTCTGTTTGTAATCAAGACTGATTCGTACGGATCTTAACTTGGGACCGCAGCGTCTCATTGTCCAAAGGAGTTTACAGCAGGACCGTCCCATCACTGAACCGCTGTGCCATATCTGTGTTTCTCATGAGTCTGCGTCTCCTGTGAAGGATCAACGATGCCTTATGTTTGCTGTGCTCTTCATTCGATCCCTGTATCTTCACCGCGGGATGTTCTTCTCATGTCTGGCACCTGCTTGGCGGAGAACGTAAAAATGATGTGTATTATTGTTATTAAAGTTATTATCATGAAGTCAGTTTCGGTCTTAATGGAAAAGAGTAATGACGAACGCCGAAAAAAAAAAAAAAAAAATGCATTACTAAATTACAAACTGCTTGCTTGATGTCACTCAAACTAGTTTTATCTGCATTGACTGGAACATGTTTGCATGACATTCCTGGTAGGAATTTTGAAACGTGTGTTGCTTTGATCGAGCTCATATTGAATGGGAATAACAGGCTCAAAATGCCACAGCAGATCAGCCGAAGCGACCCGTGAGTGACCCGTGTGTGTGTGCAGGGGTTCGTCCAATTAACAGCATTCTCTCCACATGAACTCGATGGCCAGTCAAATTCAATGTTTTTGCAAGAAAAAGTTCACCTGCAAATTATAAATTCTGTCATTCATGTGCGTCGCTCCAAACTTGCATAACTCGGAGACATTCAGTACATTCATAGCAATAATTCATTGTGAACACATCTGTCAATGTGCAAAAATTATGATTTTATAAATCATTAATAGGATTCATGTGTCTTTTGAAGTCGTCATATGATGCTTTGTTCGAGAAACAGACTGAAATTTAAGTCGGACTCTGCTGAATAATGTTTTTCTCAGAAACGTCACAATACAAAAGCTAAATGTATTGCTAATGCCATTTCATGTCGACTTTAACGAGCAGGTATGAATGCTATGGCGAAGAAACAATATGAAACATGAAAACCCATGTCTTTGAACATTCAGCAACACTAAATCTAGACATTTATTTCAACTTAACTTGTTTTTGTTTAGCGATGTGATTCATTTACCGGTACAGCCTTTGTTTATTTGAACATATATTTTCCATGCATTTTCAAGATTCAAGATGCTGAAGACCAATAAAGTAAATATTACAGAAATGCTACAAAAAAAAAGCTAATGCAAAACACTCCCAAGTTCAAGACTATAACATTCTTTGATATGATTCTGTGTACAGTAGGATACATTTCTTTATTAAGTGCAGGCAAACAAGATACTGACAAAGACCAGACAAACAGTTCATCAGGACTTCAACTCAATTGAGCCCAATTAAACATACAATTTATGTTTTGGCAAGAAATATATTAAGATTATTATCAATAATTCACTGATACACCACATCTCTCTCTCACTCTCTCTATATAATATATATATCATAAATCAAGAGCAGAAAATAATGAAATACAGGGGAAAACGTTCATTTGTTCATTAGGCATACAAAATATTATGATTTGACATGTACAAAATTTAAATTACTACTAAAGTAATACAAGAACTGCTGTAAAAAGTTATTTACACATAGTTTTACACAATTTCATACTGCATTTACTGTAGTTCACAGTCCAGACATTCAGTGTTTGTAAATGTATCCGCTGGTCATATAATGTGTTGCTGTAAGAAAAAAAAAAGTCCTTTTCATGAATCAGATTTTCATATTTTCTGTAGGAAATGTAAATGTGAAAATGTTTTAGTCCTAATAGCTAACTGTATTTGTACAACCAACCAAAAGCTGAAAGTGTTCATGACACGTGAATGCAAGCATCAGTCAGATATAGAAATATATCGTTTCTCCAGCTCACAAAGTAGAAATGGTCCCAAACACGTCTGTTTCCCGAGAGTCTGAGTTTAGATGTCGGAGGACTCGGTGTTGAGTGTTTGCTGAGGGACAGGGGTTCCTCGCTGCTTCCTCCGACAGAAGGCGTAGAGAGCCGAGAGCGGGACACAGCTGACCGAAGACACCAGCAGAAGAACGATGAAGACCTGACCGTACAGCGGATACTCCTTCACCACTGACTTACCCTGAGGAGGAGGAGGAGGAGGAAGGAAACAAAGAAACACTGCTATCAGCTGAACATTCCTTAGCTTTGAACCTAGAATTGTTTGGTTATAAGACCATTTATTTTCATTTTACATTTTTATGATTTAACTAACTTGTAGTGAGAGTTTATTGTAAGCTAAATTTTCATTTTACATTTTTATGATTTCATTTATTTGGGTGCCACTTGACAATAATGTAAACTCATTTGTTAACATTAGTTGATTTATTAACTAACATGAACTAACCATGACCGATACATTTGTTACTGTATTTGTTTATCTTTGTTAATGTTAGTTAATAAAATACAGCTGTTCATTGTTTGTTCAGTGCACAAATGCGTTAACAAATACATCTTTTGATTTTAATAATGTATTAGTAAATGTTTAGTAAAAGATTAATAAATGCTGTAGTGCAGTTCATTATTAGTTCATGTTAACTAAAGTAGTTCACTAATGAAATCTTACTGTAAAGTGTTATTTATTATTAGTAAGGGTTTTATTTAGATTTTTTTTATTTTAGAATTATTTAAATTTTTATACGTAATTTTTAGTAAGTGTTTTTATTTTTAAATGATTTATTTTTATATGACATTTTTATAATTTAAGTACATTTTAGTAAGTGTTTTGATTGTTTTCATTATTTATTTTCATTTTACATTTCCATGATTTAATTCATTTCTACTAAGCGTTTTAGGTAACACTTTACAATAAGTTTTCATTAGTGAACTACTTTAACATAACCTAATCATGAACTGCACTTTTACAACATTTATTAATCTTTGTTAATGTTATTTTCAATATTTACTAATACATTATAAAAATCAAATGTTGTATTTGTTAACATTCATAAATGCACTGTGAACTAACATGAACAAACAATGAACAGCTGGATTTTTATTAATAACATCAACAAAGATAATAAATACAGTAACAAATGTATTTCTCATTGTTAGTTCATGTTAGTTAATACTGTACATTAACTAATATTAACAAATGAAACGTTATTGTAAAGTGTTACCGTGTTTTATTTTTGATTGTTTTTATTTATTTGTTTATTTTAAAATTAATTTTACAATTTTATAATTTATGTAATTTTTACTAAATGGTTTATTTTAATTGTTTTTATTGTTTTCATGATTTCGTTCATTTTTATCATTTATTTTGATTGTAAAAAAAAAAAAAAAATTCATTTTACATTTTCATGGTGTAATCCATTTTTAGTCTGTGGTTTATTTTGATATTTCTTTCGATTTTATATTTGTATTGTTTAATGTGTCATTTGCACGATTTAATTCCATGTGAGTTTGTCATCCACTCCTCAATGCCCTGGAGGTTCCTCCGGCAGAAGCCCAGTTTGACTCGTGACGTACCAGATCTTTGTCCCAGGCCTGGTATGTCGGTGTCCCGCCCTGGATGTAGTTGATGATGTAGAAGATGAAGAGGCTGATGAGGAGCACGGGACTGATCACGGCCCACATCAGCTTCCAGTACCAGTTCGGCCGATGCCCCAACATGTCCTCGATGTCTTTTTCAAACCTGTGGAAGATCAACAACAAAAAATCAGAATCAACGTCAAAATCATCAGACACAAGAAAATCTGTGCAATGCATGCTTTATTTAAACTTAATAATTGTTTCCTTTTTTAGTTTTACAAAGTCCAAAGAAGAAAAAATAACGAAACATACAAAGGTTAGCATAGGCACTATTTTATTTATCCCATATATTGCATTCATGTATGTTTGGGTTTCAGTCAAACTCATCAGCCCAAACTATATTAAGGGTTAAATATAGTATTTGAAATCGCATAAATCATACAAAACAAAAATATTTATTTGGCCACTTAGGTGATATGGGCACATTTTTTATTTGGTCTGAATAAATTAATAAAAAATTACTTTCTTCCAATTCTTCATTTTAATATTAACTGATGTAATTTTTTGGTCTTTTATCAACCATTTCCCCCAGTATGATGAAATTGGTCAGCATCTTAATAAAGAGGTCACAGCTTTTCCCACATTTTGTACAATTTCGTGCCATTCATATTTAGTTGGAGGATCTTCCTGTCCTAGTGATTGCATTTACTGGCTGCAAGTATTATTTTAAAAAATGATCTGTCTTTCCTGGTTATTTTTGTAGAAGAAATGGGGATTATAAAAACCTTATTATGCTTTTCCATACAAATATCCTCCAACAGTTATTATATTATTCACGATGCAGGGTTTGATGCAAGAATTCAATTCACAAGTGTCAATTTTCAATTTAGGAATCCCAGCTAGCAAAAATATGTTATAAGAACATTTTTCTAACATTCCTATAAAGTTATAAAAACGTGATTTCTGAATGCTCTCTGAAAGTTATTTAAGAAATATAAATTTTTTAAATGTTTTTAAAAGGCTTTTTATTGGTTATGCGAATGTAAACGGAACATTCCATTTCACAAATGTTTGTTACTTTTGAATGTTCTCTGAAATTCCAAAACGAGTAACATTAAACAAAAACATTAGAACGTCCAACTAAATGTTTCAGGTTTTGTTCCATTAATGATGTATAAATAATGTTTTTGTGCTGAACATTATTAACGACCCGATAACTTGGCACGAATGTTTTATAAACGTTACGTTTGTTCAAAACTTTGAGAGTACTTCAGCTAAAGTTCTGAGAATGTTCCCTGTTGGCTGGGATGACAAGAGACATTTACTGAATTGCTTAAATTCAACACTTTAAAAACTTCTCAGGTGTTTTGTTTGTTTTCCATCAAGCATTCTCACTTCAGTTCAGGCATTTCCTAAATGAACATGTATGTATGAAAAACAACCATAACAAGCATTATTTTAATCCTCAAAGAGCTGTGCAGAGCTTATGAACACATTTACAGATGATTATGTGACGTACAGTGAAGAATTACGAGAAACAGTAAGTTATGAGTTTAAATGCTGCAGACTTTAGTCCTGACGATTATAAAAGACAATGCTTTTTAATCATAAAAAATGTAAAATATTAATTTTGACATTCTGAGGTTGAAAGGATTCGTAAAGAAAACTGCTTTTACAGACCATTAAGAAAAACACAAGAAAGTGAAATGCTTTGTAAGAGTTTTGCACCCTACTTTGTGCTTTTAAAGTGAATTCAGCCCTCATCATTGGAGCCTGTAAAGTAAAGAGTCATTGAATTTCTCACCTTCTCAATCCATAGACGTAACACACACTGATGACTTCAATGAGGACGATGAAGAGCAGAGAAAACGTCGCGGCGTATTCATTGAAGATGGTGAACCAGTAGTTGCCCGAACGGCTGGTGAAGCCGAAACCCAGAAGTAAACAGAGAAGACACACCAGACCTGGCAGAAACCAGAGGAAAACTACAGTCAGTAACCAGACTAGACCTGAGAGAAGCGCTCATGAAACACATATACTGCTGAACACACGATTTCACTTAGGATTTAGAAAAAAGCAGAAATATAAAGAGCATCTGTGTTATAATACCCAGTGTTAAATCAACACTGATCAGAGCGCATATGGTTACACTCTACAGAGTGTTAAAGTAACACTGAAGCAGTGTTAAAGTTAATGAGATAATGAAGTGATTATAATTGAGTGTTGATTGAGCATTAGTGATGAACACCTACTGTTAACAAGCAGAATCACTGAAGGAAAGAGAAACACAAGAACTACAACTGACTTCCAGTCACAGCCTTAAATTAAATCAGATGAAGATAAAAAGAAGACATAAAATCTCTGAAGATCTCAGCAGAGGAGGATTGAACAACTCCACAAACAGCATTAACAGCTTCACTTATTACTAACCAGATTGACTTTATTTCTGTCAGACATCTACAGAAGGTCTTATTGAGAATTAACAGAGGTTTAGATGTTGATGTTTTAAAATCACCATTAAAAAATCACCATTATGGTGAACAGTGTTGCACATAAAAAAAAAAAAAAAGATTACTGACCAGTAAAGGCAAGTTTAGTGCCCGTTCATGCTGGGTTCTGCTGGTCAAGCTGCAGTGATAAACACACCAGCATTAACCTTCTTACCGTTGATGGTCTCGTTGCTGAGTGTGCGTGACAGAAACTTGAGGTCTCCCAGTGGAGTGATGATGGCCGTGACGTTTCCCAGCATGCTCCCCATCCCTAACAGCAGCAGCATGATGAAGTACAGCACAGACCACAGCTGAGACAGAGGCATGTTCTTAATGGCCTCACTGTACACTATAAACGCCAGACCGGTGCCCTCCACCGCCTACACACACACACACACACACACATTTATAATAAATGTTTCTTGAGCAGCAACTCATCATATTAGAATGATTCCTGAAGGATCATGTGACACTGAAGACGAAGAGAGTAATGATGCTGAAAATTCAAAGAGACTTGAAAAATGTTAATGTTTCCAAACTTTTGACAGGTACTGTATTTACACAAATATTGCTACACAGCGATTTTTACACCAAGTGATCCAAGACTGACCAGTTTACCATAGTAAGCTTATAAGTCATTGTTTTTTTTTGTACCTGTATTGCTTGTACGGTCTGTTTCTGATACATTGTATAACTTTAATGGGTTTTTTTTTGCTCTGAAAAATATTAATACAAATATATTTTACCATCCATATTGCCATTTTTTTGTATATTTTGGAATATATTTAAAAAATAAATAAATACAATTAAATAAAATAAAAATAAATAAAATTAAATAAAAATAAATAGATATACAATATTCCGACGGTTAATTGTTCAGTCATTGATCACTGTCGCTGTGTAGGAATGTGGACAGTGATCTTATGGTGTGGGTGATAAACTGGTGAGTTTACCGTGTCTAGTTCCGCCTCTAGACTGCAGTCTTCGATCTTTGAAGCGATGGCCGCAAACCTCTCAGGATGAGTGTAGTTCAAATGACTGATCCAAGAGCTGACGTTCTCAACGCTGATGGTGTCCTCAGACAGATCGAATGTGTTGAGCAGTAACAGCCTCATCCTGGATCAACATTAACAGCACAGAACACGCTTTCTGAAAACTGATCTGAAGAGCTTCCTTGGGAAATTACAAGAGTTTCATCTGCATTGGTTATTGGGCAAATAACACGCATACATTGATGCTGTACTTTTTTTTGGATGTTAATATACTTTCTTGTATCGCAATTTGATGTTTAAGACTCCCAGATGTCTTTCCGTGCTCACGGCCAAAGGAGTATACTTTGAAACTTTTTACTTTTTTACTTTTGTCTGACAATATTTTGATTCCCCAAATTAAAACAAGCAAGTTTACAGGGATATTCAGATGCCTGTTCACATACACTCACCTAAAGGATTATTAGGAACACCTGTTCAATTTCTCATTAATGCAATTATCTAATCAACCAATCACATGGCAGTTGCTTCAATGCATTTAGGGGTGTGGTCCTGGTCAAGACAATCTCCTGAACTCCAAACTGAATGTCAGAATGGGAAAGAAAGGTGATTTAAGCAATTTTGAGTGTGGCATGATTGTTGGTGCCAGACGGGCCGGTCTGAGTATTTCACAATCTGCTCAGTTACTGGGATTTTCACGCACAACCATTTCTAGGGTTTACAAAGCATGGTGTGAAAAGGGAAAAACATCCAGTATGCGGCAGTCCTGTGGGCGAAAATGCCTTGTTGATGCTAGAGGTCAGAGGAGAATGGGCCGACTGATTCAAGCTGATAGAAGAGCAACTTAAAATAACTTGAAATAACCACTCGTTACAACCGAGGTATGCAGCAAAGCATTTGTGAAGCCACAACACGCACAACCTTGAGGCGGATGAGCTACAACAGCAGAAGACCCCACCGGGTACCACTCATCTCCACTACAAATAGGAAAAAGAGGCTACAATTTGCAAGAGCTCACCAAAATTGGACAGTTGAAGACTGGAAAAATGTTTCCTGGTCTGATGAGTCTCGATTTCTGTTGAGACATTCAGATGGTAGAGTCAGGAAGTTGGCGTAAACAGAATAAAAACATGGATCCATCATGCCTTGTTACCACTGTGCAGGCTGGTGGTGGTGGTGTAATGGTGTGGGGGATGTTTTCTTGGCACACTTTAGGCCCCTTAGTGCCAATTGGGCATCGTTTAAATGCCACGGCCTACCTGAGCATTGTTTCTGACCATGTCCATCCCTTTATGGCCACCATGTACCCATCCTCTGATGGCTACTTCCAGCAGGATAATGCACCATGTCACAAAGCTCGAATCATTTCAAATTGGTTTCTTGAACATGACAATGAGTTCACAGTACTAAAATGGCCCCCACAGTCACCAGATCTCAACCCAATAGAGCATCTTTGGGATGTGGTGGAACGGGAGCTTCGTGCCCTGGATGTGCATCCCACAAATCTCCATCAACTGCAAGATGCTATCCTATCAATATGGGCCAACATTTCTAAAGAATGCTTTCAGCACCTTATTGAATCAATGCCACGTAGAATTAAGGCAGTTCTGAAGGCGAAAGGGGGTCAAACACAGTATTAGTATGGTGTTCCTAATAATCCTTTAGGTGAGTGTACAAACATCATATTCAGAATAAGGCTGCAACCTGAATTTCAACAGAATTTCGTGTGCATGTACACACAAACAAACCTATACCAAAATGTATTTAAAATACATTAATTTCATACTAAGTATAACCTATTTCAAACCCATTAACATATTTACTGACATATCGCTTGAGACTTGAAAGTAATACATATTACTTTATTTGGACTAGGCTACTTCTTTATTGCACAATGCACATTTCTTAATATTAAGCTTAAAATGTGTTTAATATCACTATTAATAATGATAGTATGATCACTGTAAATATCTTTAAATGCAAGATATTTAAAGTGTACCTTAAGTATTTTTTACTTATATTTTAGTTCTATAATGTTTTTTATTTAATATTTTGTATTTTTAGGGGATTTTATGGTACTAAATTATATTTTCGCTGTATTTATAATCCATTTATTCACTTTTTGATAACAGACCTGAAAATTTAATTTCCAACTTTTACTGTCGTAAATTTTGAATGCTTTAGAGCACAGACTTAAGTTTGATCTCTTTTCAAAGATGACACTTGGCAGATTATTGCTGAAGGGAAAAAAGTTTACAAATTTTTTTTACAGAATTTTACGTTTATTGTTAAGGAAAATGTGCAAAAAATATTATTTTAATTTTTTTTATGAAATATATAATTTCAAAAACATGTTTTACTCTAAAACTGTGAGAAATCAAAGCCATAAAAAAATCAAAGCCATAAATCGAAACAAGTTGTGCTCAAAATATGAGCCTGATATCTAAAAAAATTAGCTTTCAGTAAGATTTTACTTGGCCGCAGTATCAAAAGTGTTCACTAGGTGAAATTTGACCGCAAAGAGTACAAGTGTGACTATTTTTTTTTCAGGACCATTTAACCTGTTCGAATCATGTCCAAGATTTTTTTGTGTGTGTTCACACAGCAAGTTTCGTACCATTCCAATGAAGAAATAAAAATAAAAAAAGTAAAAAAAATTTACGCATACAAAATGAGTTGTTCCGATTGGGCAGACTTTAAGTAGGCTATATCAATTTACCAAAAGTACAATTGCAGGGTATTTATATTAAGTTCATAAATATGTGAATGTATTTGTAGTGTACTTAGCATCAAATAAATGTATTTTAAATAAATTCCAATGGAATAGTGTCCAATGACAGATGAAGGAGTGTTTTAGGAAACCTATTTGAAAACCATCAGTATTTTGTTTTTAAAGAACATCACATGTTCTTCTCTTTCTTCAGTGAATAATTGATGGATGATACTCTGATTAGTTTTCATATAATGTCCAAAGCATTCTGAACGACGTCATCTGAAACAAACATTTATTAAAAATAACCTTAGATAAGAGATCATAAAATGAACAAACTGACAACATTCAGTTTAATGTTTGATGGAATAAAATAATGAGAAAACGATCATTCATTCTGCACATCACAGGACCCAAGAGGTTTGTGAATCTCTTGATAAGATCACAGATTGACTAAACCGGATGTTTAAACTCATATACGTTAGAACATCGCTGGCGTCTCACCTTTCCAAACAGCTTTCGTAGTTGAAGGTGGCTTTAAAGCCGTAGATGGCGAAGGTCACGATGCTGGCGAACACAGACGTGCCGCAGTTAATGAGTGACACGACCACGGCCTGCCTCTCGAAGTTATTGTTGTGGTGGTTGTAACTGGCAAAAGCGATCAAAGAGCCGAAGCCCAAACCCAGAGAGAAGAAGATCTGAGTGGCAGCGTTGATCCATGTTTGAGGGTTTGCCAACTGCTCCAGCTAAACACACATGTGTTTAATGCACACTCAACTACACAACACAACACTCAGAAACCAATGAAGAAGCAACCAATGACTTTCTTACCTTGGGTGTGAACAAGTACTTCACTCCGTTCCAGGCCCCGTGAAGAGTGACTCCACGGATCAGATAGATGATCAGAACCACATATGGAAACGTAGCTGTAAAATACACGACCTGTGGAGGAAAGTCAAAGGTACAATGGGTTGGAAAATTAAATTAGTAAAATAGCTGTATTTTAAAATTTTCCGGTGATCAAAGCTGAATTTTCAGCATCATTACTCCAGTCTTCAGAGTCACATGATCCTTCAGAAATCATTCTAATATGCTGAGTTGGTGCTAAAGAAACATTTCTTATTATTATCAATGTTAAACACAGTTGTGCTGCTTCATATTTTTGTGGAAACTGATTTTTTTTAGGATTCTTTGATGAATAGAAAGTTCAAAAGAACAGCATTTATTATCAATATAACTTTTTTGTAATATTTTTTAATTTAATAAATGTCTTTACTGACTTTTTTGATCAATTTAATGTGCCTTTGATAAATAAAAGGATAATTTATTTATTTTTCTTCTTCTTCTTTTAAATCTTACTTACCCCAAACTTTTGAATGGCAGTGCATCATAATTAAAAAAAGTAAATAACTAAAATAAGCAGCTAAAACTGTTTTAATAAGAAATGATCTTAGAATAATTTCTGAAGGAAATATGCTTCGTAATGATGCTGAAAATTCAGCTTTGATCACAGGAATAAACTACATGTCAAAATATATTACAAAAGAAATTAAATTGTAATAATATTTCACAGTTTTACTGTGTTTTTGATCAAATAAATGTATAAAAAAAAACTTAACGTTTCAAAAGATTTGACCGGTATATATATATATATATATACCATCATATACTGTATACTGTATACCATCATACACTTCATAAAAACAAAGTGTGTGTGTGTGTGTCACTTCCTAAACATCACTATAAAGCTGCTTTGAAACAGTCCATATTGTTGAAAGTGCTATATAAATGAAGGTGACTTTGACTGTGACTGTGTGTGTGTGACTGTGTGTGTGTGTGTGTGTGTGTGTGTGTGTGTGTGTGTGTGTGTGTGTGTGTGTGCGTGTGTGTGTGTGTGTGTGTGTGTGTGTGTGTGTGTGTGTGTGTGTGTGTGTGCGTGTGTGTGTGTGTGCGTGTGTGTGAGTTTATGAAGTGAAGGCCGACACTTAAACTATAAAAACAAGCCTTTCAAATATTTCACAAGATCATAATTAGTCAATTAAAAAACATATGGATTAATTTCAATGTTTGATGTTAAGGATGTTTCTGTTTACTTCTGTACAACAGACGGTTTTGGTGTTAGTCACCAGTTGAGAATCAGACGGTTTAGTCTCACCATTCCGGTAGATTTGACCCCTCGGACGATGAACAGGTAGACTATGATCCAGGCCAGCAGGAGACACAGCGCCTGGCCCATGTGAATGCCTCCGTTCTCATCGATGGAGGACGAGATGTTCAGCGTCTCGCGGTAGAAGAAGTACTGTGTGGGTGAAGCCACCTCACACTCCTCCAGATACCCCGTCCGGTTACTGTTGACGGGACACTCGGCCCAGGGCAGCACTGACTGCAGACGCATTAACACACAAGACATGTATGATCCACAGATCCAGGACAATTACTTCCTAAACTACAACATCATACTCATTATATCAAGTTGTTCCACTTGAGTCGAGCAAATCTTTTCAGAAATTAAATACGAGCTACTAAGAAAAAGTTCTCATTTTAGTTTAACTCTTCAACACTGAATAGATTTTAAGATTTTAGATTATGTAGTCATTTTCTGCATGAGTAACAAAGTTTAGTTTGGTTTACACATCAAAAAGTGATTTTCTGGTACAAATATTCTTTACTTAAGATGCAAAATAACAGGCTTGTTTTGATAAAAGTTCAGTTTAAAATGAGAAAAAATATCTGCCAGTGGTTTTTAGAAAAATCGACTTATTTTAGAGGAAGTTTCTTTTTTCTGAGCCTATTGACTGATTTTTTTTAATTTAGTTTTAAACATAAACATTGAGTTAACTTAATATTTTCCTTGTTTTAAGCATAAACAATCACTTAATTTTAATACATTTCTCCCAAAACGCATGTTATTTTGCATCTCACATAAATGTATCTTGTAAGATTCTACTGGAAAACAAGACAAAAACACTGAGGAAGAAAATCACTATTTGCAGTGTAGAGAATTAAATCTCATATCAGTTGCAAAATTGTCAATATATTTTCAAATGGCTACCTTCATTTTATGCAGATCCTATTCGCTATTAGTAAATTATACTTAGCAAATACACAAACATATTCATGTGTAACATATTTTGATGGATTTGATGATGCTTTTAGCTGTCAATCCACATTTAGTCCACAAAGTCCACATTTAGTCCACGTCCACAAAAGTATAATCCACATTTTACAGTGAATAATCCATTCTCTGCAGAATTAGCATAAAGTGTTGGTTTGGACCATCGGCCTTCCTCATCTCTTTCTATCAGCATTGGGACAATTGATAAGCACATATGAAACATTATTCATAGAAACATCTACATGTATTTTTCAGTAAACTAACCTGAAATGAATGGAAGAGATACCAGAAGCTCCATGCGTTGATGACGTTGTAGTACAGACACAAGTACATGGAGGTCACAACACTGGCAATGCCTGAACAATGCATACACACATGAGGATGATATCTGATCATTTTATGGCATTAAATGTCTGGTAAATGAAGCACGGGACACTGACCCAGTCCACCCAGATACGGGCTGATGGCGGTCCACGCTCCGATGCTCCCCAGACGCATCTTCTGCCCGATGGCCAGCTCCATGCAGAACAGAGGAATCCCCTCCAGCACCAGCATCAGCAGATACGGGATCAGAAACCCACCTGGAGGAACACAGCACACATAACAAGAGGTCACTTTAAAGTCAGCCTAAAACGGAAGTTGCGATCGCCTTTCCTTCCCTATTGTGACGTATATTTAAGTCAAGTGGCTTTTGGAACAAGAAAAAATTATATTGGGGAATTGAATGGATGGTTGTGGCTTGCTATTTGTGGATCTCATGTGATTGACAGGTTGCCCCGCCCTCACGCAAGCAATCACATCACCAGAGAAGAGATGTTGCTGCAAGAGGGAGGGAAAGTTATTTTGATTAGAGATTACGAGGATACATGCAAAAACATTGAAATATGACAATATTTCATAAAAAAAAAAGAACTTTAATTTCATGGTGTGTGAGAGAGAGAAAGAGAGATTGCGTTGAGCAATCTCAGATGTACAAGTGTGTGTGTGCGTGTGTGTGTGTGTGTGTGTGTGAGAGAGAGAGAGAGAGAGAGAGAGAGAGAGAGAGAGAGAGAGAGAGAGAGAGAGAGAGAGAGAGAGAGAGAGAGAGAGAGAGAGAGACCAGTAGCCTTAGAGATTACTATCTCTGTTTATCAACACCTATTTCATCATTGTGTGGCTTCATGATGAAGGACTAAAACTTATCTATCTAAAACTAAAACCATAAAAAAATTGAAAAAATCAACAAATAAAACAAAAAACAAATAAAAAATCAGTTGAAATGAAAATCAACATTACCTGAAATAAAATAAAATGTATAAAAAAAACTTTAAACACATTTTATTTCAGCTAGTTGCCAAGGCAACATTTCTAATTTTCATTTAAGTTAAGTTAAAGTTTTAAAATAACTAAATTTAAAATGAAAAAAAAAAATATATATATATATATATATATATATTAGGAAAAACTTTAATAGCATATTAGTGATATAAAAATAACACTGCATGTGATTTCATGCATTTTTTACCAGAGAATTTCAATGACTTTTTCAGCCATTTGTAATTCACTTTTACAAATCAGTTTATAGAGATTTAAGGAGCACATGTCAGGAATTTATAGATTAAAAAGTTGGTTGTTATTCATGAAATCACCATTTTGAAATTACTTTCATAATATGAAATTTGAAATAATTTAAAAATATGCAAATTCTAGATGCATATGAAGAACATTTCATTCACTGAAAATCATGTTAGGTACATTCCATGTTATTTGTACAGTGTAAATGTGAGCACTTTGGAGGTTGAGCACTCTAACTCTCTCTAATCCTCACAGGAAAACAGGATTACTCTGGATAATGAGGGAATTTAGGAATATTTGACAGCATCATGGAAATCAGCAGTGACTGACTGCGCATAACATACCTTCCTTTACGTGTGTACTTTGATCGCATTGCTAAACGGTAAACAAAAGATTTGTGAATTGTTATTCAGGAGATGCTCCTCAAAGATGCACTGAATGCATAACCAGAGACGTTTAGCAGACGAATGAAACGGAGGAGAAATGCTAATCAGTTTCTGCCAGATGAATCCAGAAGAGCCTCAGCTGAAGGAAAGCAGGAATCTCAGTTTGACTTTCCGCTCCACACAGAACTCCAACAACACTAACTTAACAACTGATATGTGCTGAGAATCTGGATGAGATGCTCAATGAGGTTCACGGACGATAAAACTCGAGAACACTGACTTTCTGCACAAATGAGTGCACTTGAAGAGACAGTAAACTAGAGAGAAATAGATCTAATATATAAACACTTACTTCACTAATCTAACACTTATCTTACTGCAATTTCATTCAAAGAAAATTTTAAAATCGAAAAGACCTGCATGATCTCGCTCTCTCTTTCTCTCTCTCTCTCACACACACATACACACTCTTGTACATCTAAGATTGCTCAACGTAATCTCTCTCTCTATTTCTCTCTCACACACACACACACACACACACACACACACACACACACACACACACACACACACACACACACACACACACACACACACACACACACACACACACACACTCTCTTGTACATCTGAGATTGCTGCAGTGCAATCTCTCTCTCTCTCTTTCTCTCAATCTCTCTCTCTCTCTCACACACACACACACACACACACACACTCTTGTACATTGAGATTGCTGCAATCTCTCTCTTTCTCGGTCTATCTCTCTCTCTCTTTTTCTCTCTCTCTCTCTCTATTTCTCTCTCACACACACACACACACACACACACACACACACACACACACACACACACACACACACACACACACACACACACACACACACACACACACACACACACACACTCTCTTGTACATCTGAGATTGCTGCAGTGCAATCTCTCTCTCTCTCTCTTTCTCTCAATCTCTCTCACACACACACTATTGTACATTGAGATTGCTGCAATCTCTCTCTTTCTCGGTCTCTCTCTCTTTTTCTCTCTCTCTCACACACACACACACTCTTGTACATCTGAGATTGCTGCAATCTCTCTCTCTCTCTCTCTCTCTCTCTCTCTCACACACACACACACACACACTAAGATGAGAAAAATCAAAGCAATTGCTATTAATTAATAATAGTATAATAATAATTGTTTAAAATGAGAAAAAAGTGTAAAAAAGTAAATATTGGCAATTTTTTACTATAATGAAGTATTTCTACCTGATCTGCGTGTGAAAAAAAAACTTTTATTAATGTAATATATTCATTTGGATTTAGTCCTATTAAACACAAATGAGCTCATTTAGACTTTGCCACATGAAGTCTTTTTTGTTCATTACATTAAAGGCATAAGATGACTGACATCATGTTTTATCATACATCATGTCATCTTGTATGCATTGCAGTTAATATGGACCAAAATAACATCTTCATTTCATGTCCAAATGTTCAGACCTTTATGAAGAAGTTTTTGAAAGGATTAAACTTTTATTGAAGAGCCATGCTTGTTTTCCCACACGATGCGCATCATCATGGAGGATCAAGAGAATGACTACAGTGTAAAATACATATATAATTATCCAGAAAAAAACTCTTTATACATACAGATAAACTTTATTTAATTTACTTTTTTTTTTTTTTTAACAAAGTATGAGTTGTTTTGATATTTCTAAGATTTAGAAAGCAAACAAAATCTATTAATTTGTTGAGAATTTTTTGGAAAGAAATATCAAATTGCACATATTTTGTTTTGTTCTGTTGTTGTTATCAATGTCTCTGTCAAGAACTAAACAATCTACACCGCAAGCACGAGGAGAACAAGTCAAACTCATCATCATCTCACCTCCTCCATGCATTTGGCAGAGATACGGAAAACGCCAGACATTCCCAAGTCCCACTGCATAAGACACACATGCCAGGACAAACTGCATAGGACTGTCCCAGGACGGACGGGCTTCCAAGCTCATGATGATGATAATTTCCTTCAACACTGTCAACTCGCACAGGAGGAGATCAGTCACACACTGCACTCTGCAAACACACAAATCCCCAGAGAACGACGGAGTCTGGGAATATTTCAAAGTCCAGTGGGCAAATGTGAAGTTAGACTCGGAGTGTAAAGTGGGAGTTTTCTGATGAAGCAGGAGGGAGGGACGGAAACTTTCACTGGCTGAGTTTATTTGCGTAATTCAGGTGAATGTTTGATCATAGTGTGTCATCTCCTCGAACATTCATTATAGTCTTTTTATTGCAGACTTTGTAAAAGAGCTGTGAAGACAATAATGAATCAAGGCTTTGAAGGGGTTTTAGTCCATGCCTGTCTGCCGCTTCAATCTATATTTGATGTCCTACAAGTGTTTATCCAGTTAAAGTGTAAAATCTTGCTCTTCTTGAACACTTTTGACTTGCATAAATATTTATGACATCATCCTGAACAACTTTTGTCCAATCAAATGCTCTGAAGAATGAGAATATCCCTCCCCTATAAAACCGCCTGCAAATGATGTCCGAGCGGCTGATCACGATAGATTTTTTTTTAAAATTGTGTCTTGGGCTTGTTGGTCACACACTGTTTTTACTCAATATAGTGAAGTTTCAGCTATATAAAGTATTTAAAGTGTAAAGTTTAATTGTGTATTAAGAAATATCATTGTTTTAGTGGACTCGATTAAAATAAGTTCAGAGCACTCATATTGTTTTTATAAACTTAATTGAATTGAGGCAATCGGTTTCCTCAAATGAAATGAGTTAGCTTAACTTGTTGGGTTTTACAGTGAGACGTTTTGCATTGTAAGATAATGCGTCAAGTTTAAAACAGCTCCGAAAAAAAGTTCCATTCTGCAGTCTGTTCTATTCATAAAAATGTCAAATTAAAATAAATAAATATTCTTAAATAAAACACTTACACTTTGCAAAAATGCATTCTGGATTCTGTTCCATTTTTTGTAAAAAAAAAAAAAAAAAAAAAAAAAAAAAAATCTAAATTAAAATAAATAATTTTAAATAAAAACAAATCAAAGTAAAACATTTAACTGTGCAAAAATGCATTCTGTTCCATAAAACAATCATCCATGTGTCATGACCTCAGGATGACAAAGGTCATACACACCTCAAACTTCATTTACCTTTAACCACAGACTGAGAATGCAAACGCTTCTGGGAAACATCTTTAGGCTATTAGCTGGCTGTCCTTTAATAATCAACTAATTTACAATAGTTGTGTACGTCATGTAGAGCTATATTGTGCTCAGCATTTGACGTTTTGTATGTTCACAGGTGTGTGACCTTGATTACATTAGGAAATAAGAAAAAACTCAAGCCTGTTTTACACAATCAGCGTACACAGTGAACATTATAAATATGATATGAATATGCATCACTAATATGCACCGCAGACATGAGATGTATGAATCAGGCATTCATTTTTAAATGCCTCTTTAAACATGCTTGACTTCTGTGGATGCAGTATCGTGCAAAACCAAATGATAACATATCAGGGATGCCCACACTGGGGCTTCAGAGTTGATGAGAAGCTAATAATTAATTAAAATGAAAAAATTATTTAAAAATAAAAGCCAATCAAGATATTAAATAGTATTAAAAAGATGGAATATTTTATGTATAACTGCATGTCATGTGGCCACATTAACCATCGAAAAAGCAAAAGTAAATATTTTAGCTCAAAGAGGCTCGCAAATACTCACATACATACTTGCCATTATTTAACTAAAACCAAAATACATAAATACATTTTAATAAGAATAATAAAAACTATAATAGTAGGCCTGGCCTACATGAAGCATTCTAAAAAAGTGTCTGATAACTGGGGGGTTACTGAGATAAAGTGAGTAGTATTTGCCTCGTCAAATCGGGAACAGACAAAAAAGGGAAACATTTCCCCAATGCAATGGAAGAGTTTAGTGACAGGTGCGTCCCATCTGCGGACGTCTCATAACGCACAATGTGACCGAAGCTTTCCTCTATTGGAGGATCGCTGCAGGCGACACAGCTGTAAAACTCTGCGAACTTGTTTTTCCTCATGCATCCCACTGGTAGGACACCCAAACGCATGCATTTGCTCCAGGAGTGACCCAGGATTGTTTGATATCTCAGCAGCTTCACTGCTCGAGCCGCTCTGTCCCGCAGTGATGACGCACGCGATCATTGTTCTGGAACTGGAACAGAACGTGAAGCCGCTCAGCGGGACGCGCACAAACACACAAATCTCTGCACTAAACGGGTACAGGGGCCTGTTTCAATAAGGAGGTTCAACCAACTCTGAGTTAAAACTTGAACTCTGAGTTGATTTACCCTGCGATGGGAAACTCTGAGTTTTGGGTTTCAGAACAGCTGAATTGAGTTAGTTTGATCGACTATGAGTAGGTTGACTCTGAGTATAAGTTACCTCTCTTTCAGAAACGGGCTTGACTTACTCTGCTTTCTTGGGTTTGACATACCTCACATTCTGAAACAGAAAACCCAGAGTTTCCCCTCATTTCAGGGTTAACATACTCAGAGTTTTCACTTAACCTTCTTTCTGAAACAGGCCCCAGGAAAGGCCCGGCTCACATGAGATGAAAGGTGGGCCGGGCGGGCGGGGGGGTTGGGGAGGCGGATTGGGGGGGTTGGGGAGGGGGGTGAGAGGGTGTTCTTTAATGCTTAAGTCTCACATGTCTATTGATATAGGCCTAGTTTTAATATCTGTTTGTTTGTTATTGTTGTGTTTGTTTGTATTTTCTTCATTTTCAATATTTTTTTGTATATATTTTGCAACTATTTAGTAACTTTATATATATATAGATAGATACAAATGTTTAATATGTTTATTTTTACATTCTCTCTTTTTGCATTTGTAATGTTTTTATACCCCTTAACAGATCTTGTATCAATTAAGTAGCCTAACTTTAGATTTGATAAAAAGGGGCAGGTCTTTTAAAATATACAACTATTTACATCACTATACCATTTACAACATCAGCTTTTTGCTCATTTTAGAAAACTGTTACAAACTAAAAATGTTAATTTTATCTGAAATGCTGTTTTTCTTAAGAATTATTCTCACGTCTGTTAATATGGTATAACATTACAGATTTTTGACCATTGTTATTTTTTTTACATGTATATTTAGAATCTTTTTTATAATATTTTCCTTTTTACCACACAACAGATCTTGTATCAGTTTAGTAACTTTAGATTTGAGGAAAACAGGTCTTGAAAAAGATCTACTTATATCACTATAATATTTTACAGTATTAGCTTTTTTTGCTTTATTTATTTTTTATAGCTTTATTGCTTCATAATTCATCACCTCCGTTTTCCTCAAAGGCAGCGAAGTGAATGAGCTAAGTCTGTCTCGGAGGGGGTTGGGAAGAAAACAGAAAATAACATCTGGAGCAAAATTGAATATCGCACCAATTTTGTGATTGGCTGTTATGTGGTGAGGGCAGGGTGGGCCAAGCTTCTGATTCACACTCACCCGGGTTATGCGAAGTGGAAGTGACTTTAAAGGGGTCATATAATGCCATTTTTGTACAAGCTAATATGATTCTTTAGGGTCTAAATTAAAAGTTTGTAATATACTTTAATTAAAAATTCTCATTAGTATTGTAAGAAAACACTTATTTTACCTGGTCAAAAACAGCTCTGTTTTCAGCACGCCGGTTCAGTGCATATGCCTTTAAATGATAATGAGCTTTGCTCACCCCGCCTCTCTGTTCTGTGCGTACATCGTTTGTAACACAATACACAATAACCATAACGCGTTGTTCATTATAAACGTGGGATTATGAATTATATTGAGAACGTCGTACATAGAAAACCAGCTTTATACTGACCCTCGTTTATAAAGCAGTCTGGTGTGAGAAATGATTGGCGTAAACATGAGAGCATTGACGTTGCTTGTGGGGAATATTCCCTTCGAAAACAAACTCAGCCACTGCGTCTTCAGCGGTTCGGATTTAGGAACATTAAAATGACTGCTGTGTTCGTTATTACACCCAAGAACAGAACACCACAATCGCCTAGACCAGGGATGGGCAACTTCGGTCCTGGAGGGCCACTGTCCTACAGAGTTTAGCTCCAACCCTGAAAAAAAATCACCTGCCTCTAACTTTCTAGTGATCCTGAAGACCTTGATTAGCTTGTTCAGGTGTGTTTGATTAGGGTTGAAGCTAAACTCTGCAGGACAGTGGCCCTCCAGGACCGAAGTTGCCCATCCCTGGCCTAGACGCCATTCTGCTCATAGACAGTGCTCCAGCATATCAACAATGACCGCGCCGGTCCGCGCAGACTATGATTGACAGCTCCCACGAGCGAGGGCGGGTCTGTGTTGAAACGATGCTGTCAATCAACACTCGCGGGAGGGGCTTCCGAGCGTGTGACGTCACACGGTCGAACGGCTTGATTTGAGACAGGGGAAAACATATAAGGAGATTAAAACAAAAACACTGGATGGATTTTTATCATTTTATGATGGTTGTGTACAGGCACTGCCAACACACATTTCAGTACAATCAACTTGTAAAAGTGCATGTATCATTATATGACCCCTTTAAAGAACTGGCAAACATTCTTCCGGTAACGTAACAAAACATTAATTTAAAATGATAGCACAAAAAAAAACGGTATTTATAGCCAACATCGTTCATGGAATTTATTTTTTTCCCCTCTGAAACGTTTTAGTTTAATGTGTTTTAGTTTAATGTGTTTCAGTGGGAAACTAAACTGTGGAAACCGTCACCCCCAAACAAAATCAAATCTTTCAGAGACTTGATGCCAGAACATCTTGTCAAACCGAGAGACTAGTTCGTCCTCTGTGCTCCGTGTATAAACCAAAACTGTTAATAGAACTCTAAAGAAAACAATTAAAGCTCTGTAAATAAGACTAGTTAAAAGCCACCCATTGCAATTAAAAACTGACCAAATTTCGTTTATATATAACTTCAAGTCTAACACTTCCATCTACTGGTATTGCATCTAAATTGCATTGCATCAGTTTATGTGCAAATCCTATATGGGGAGGCTGCAGACCTGGAACAGGTGTTCTAACGATTCATGCTACCCATCGAGATTTGCTACTTACTGGTTATGCGCATGTGCAGACTCAGTTTTTTTTTAACAAAAGGTACATTTTCATGTGTTATAAAGTAATTTCCCTTTTAAAAATGCCAACTACCATATTAATATTTGT